CATAGACACATTATAATCGATATAATCACAAAAACAAATAAACCTTGGCATACAAACTGAGTGATAACGGTGACACATTTTGAAGGGAATGGAATAATTGATTCACCTTGAAGATGTCGTTCATCAGATTTAAGGTAAATGTTTATTCTAGAGATAATTATATGCTTGGTTCAAAACAGGCCATAAGTAGCCCACGAAAACTATTTTCTCTTCAAATCTAATGATAATTATTTCTGAAAATGTACGAATTGAATGTGTAATATGTTTTAAACAGATACCTAAGAAACTCTCACTATTTACCATTCTGTTCTTCCATTATATATTTTGAAAGTAAAATGGCAACAAATAATTATCCCTTTTTATGCTTTTTACAAGATCGTCATTGCCTTATACTCATCATTTCGTAATTCAATTAAATATATAAGACAAGGAAAACATTACAAGTCTTTGTGTTCAACGGAAATACTGTATCTTTCCCATAATCTGTTTTACGAAAATCAACTAGCTTATTATCAGCTTTAATTACTAAGTAGGTTTATTTTCAATTTGGCGTATATTTCTTAGATCTATAGCAGTATTTTGAAGTTTCCATTAACAGTAAAATAAGGTATTTTTGGGCTCAAATTCTTCCATCCGTTTTGCATCAATACTCCTTATAAATCGTGATGTTTCTCTGCCCGTGGAATTATATGACCCCAAAGATTTCTTAAGGTTGGTTCTAGTAATTACTCAAAAATAACATTGCCCCGTCTATTCGTTGTCATTAACTTTCAATACCTACTTTTCTCATTTCAATTTTACCATCGTCAGTCACGAGAACATAGCCTACGGCCATCAATGATAAAAATCAAAAATCTTGACTGTCCATCTTCATTTAAAATTTCAACACTACCTGGCGCTGGAGCCTCAACAGAAAAGACAAACCATGACCGTGTCTTCGAGTTACCCAGGCTTTGCAAGCATGTTTAACTTGCAGTCCAACTTGATCGAGATATGTGTCAAAAGAAAAAAAGAAAAATAATGACAAAAGGCAGAAAGAGGGGAAAATGTGGCATAATACCAAAAATAAGCATCAGAAGCTAAAATAAGCAAAAAAAGGTAAAATGAAAACGTACTAATACAACTCCAGAAGTGCAATTACGTGATTCTTAATGCAAATGTCAAGAAATCGTAATAATAATAAAAAGGCATTTTGCCTAACTTCTGGACTGCAGTTATAGTTAAATCACAACCGATTGTTGAATCCGATCACATTTAAAATTTCATTTGATAGGGGATCAAAAGCATTTAAAAACCGAACCCAAGGGTGTTATTTGGGGCATTCCATTCAGGTGCATCTAAAACAGTTTCAAGACATATCCAGATGAATCATTTACGATTTCCGCACTTTGAAATGTCCAAATCAAGATAATTAGAAACTCTTCAATAGGTATTTCTTTGGTGAATTCAGACAATTTATGCATGGCTCAGTTGCACTAAACCCACTGACAAGGTCAGAAGTCACATGTCGGAACAGTCAAAGGCCGCATTTATGCATAGTATTTATCATTACATTCACAGAAAAAAACTTAAAACATTGTTTTTTTTTCATTTCATGTCTGATAGTTCATTTTATTTGTTTTTAAATTTCTGAAAGTCCTCTTAGGGGAAAAAATTGACAATTCGCGCCCTGGCGGCGCTGTGTTGGCAGGACGGGGCGATGGGCGGCGGCGAGGGCGCGGAGGCGGTGGCGGGCGCCGTGACGTCGGAGGGGCTGTCGTGGCGCCGTCTACACATGAGCCGCGCCAAGCTCAAGGCCACCGCCACTACTTCAGAGCTGCTCTCTGGATTCGCTATGGTGAGTACCTCTACTACAACACTGCGACACTATTTGAAGGTGGCCCAAAAAAGGAAACATTATTTTAAAATATTATTTTCCTTGTTTTATTTATACATTACTTTCAATTTGTATGTTTTAATTTACAAGGTTTATTAATATCTTAATTTGAAAACATAATATACACATCCGACATTTTAATAAACCTTTCTATTATAATACTTTTTTTACGAGAACTTAAAACTCGGAAGCAGCCTTTGAAATATCATACATTACTTACATTTAAAAAATGCCTAATTTGTTAGGTGTGATAAATTAAATTTATAATAATTCATATTTGAAGCATATTTTGTTTTAAAATAATTTTCAATTTTCGTATATTTTCAAGGAAGTACTTGTTCCCTTCGCACTGTCATTACAATGGCACCCTTGCACAGAATTATAATTAGGTCACAAACAGTTTTCGTGAGATTTTCGTTATTTTAAAGGAGCATTAATATTCATAATATTACTCGTAGTCGCGGGACACTGTTCTTCAGTAGCCTAAGTAATAGAATATCAACTGCGAAGGCGGTTGATTGAAGGTTAGAATTTTTTGTTTGACTAAAATCACGGTGTTTTAAATAGTTTGTTTTTTAAATTCAAATTAATTTATTTAGTGTAATTTACAAATATTTAAATATGCAATATACCCAATTATATTTAAAATCCAATATTACAAGAATAAGATCAAATTAGTAAAAGAGACAAAAACATTGTGTTTCTAACTGCTAATAAGATTGATATTCAAAGAAGAAACATATATCAACTGCCCTAATAACTGGGCTAATGAGAGCCAAATTTCATTACTTTATCCAAGCGCTTTCTTTTGTGTGTTTCACTAAAAAAAACAAACTGTGTGTTAATATTTCTTTACGAAGGTCATTGCAGTACCCATTGGGTACCAACGAGCGTGGGGGGGGGGGAGGTCTACAGTGGATCTCAGAATAAGTTGCAGAATAATTGAACGGAAATTCTAAATATTTACGAACTAATAATATATTTTTGTGTATATATTATATATTTTTTATATATCAACATACTACAATAATTTTATGCAAGTTTGAGTTAAGATATATTCAATTTCTGAGGTAGAGGCAAGAGCATTTGCCATATTTACCATATTTTGAACATTTTCTGCACTTGCAGTACATTCCGTTGGGATGTCCAACTCCTTTTTTTCCATTTTCTTTTATCTTTTTAAAACTAGATCAACACTCACTACTTTGCTCGGTTTGCACAACTGGCATCTGTATCGACATACACTAAAGAAATTGCAATGAATTTATAGATGGTTCTAATTGTAAGAGAACGCTCGAGCTTCGACGAAGCGACTACGCATGACGACGGTTTCAAGTTATTTTGTATTCATCCTATAAACATTGAAAAACGAATTTATCACGTAGGGTTGAGAAAAGTTCTATTATTACAAGTCTAAAGTGTTAACAGTAACTACTTATTGAGACAAAGATAAAGGGAATAAATGAATCGGAAATATCAAAAACGTCTGATGTCCAGGATCTTCCAATTTTGAACAGCAAGCAAAAAGGTTCTAAATTCCGGACATCGAACATTTTTTCTTAACATTAACAGTTGGAGGACATTCTACGGACATCACAGAGGCACAGACAACGAACTTCTATGCATGGAACGCTGAATATATATTTTAAGAACAGATTCCCACTGTTAACTCAAAACCGGCAAAATGTGACATCGAACCTTTTCGTTTGCTACTATTCAAACTACATTGAAGCTCGTCGTTGACCTTCTCATTGGTTGGTGACTTCTTCATAAAACGGTCTTTCGTACGTCAGACAAAAGGAATATTTTCAGTGTTGAACTTCGCGATGGGCCCTTCCATATTTGTTTATAATAGTATATGCCTTTTCAACTTACAAATAACTCTTCAGAATGGTTGACGTCTAGGGCAAATATCATCTTCTAGCATGTCATAGACCACTTTTATCAATTACCACATAGTGGTAATCTCTTCTAACGAAATTACATAAGCGACATTTCTGAAAGCTAGCTCTATCATTGGTAGAGGAATCTGCACTGGTGTTTGCCGTGTATGAGGAGACCTGCCCAGTGTCAATGACACTATTAAATTGTTTTTTGTCTTTATTGTTCAGCTTTGACTTCCTAAAATTCCTGAAGAGGAGGCCATGACGTTTGATAATATTGACGATTCACGTACTCTCACAGTCGAAGTTGAAGAATATGGTCAAAAAACTTAATACTGTCCTTTCCAGTGGGCAGGTCGTCCCCTGTTCGCTCGTTCACTTGACAAACACCACTGTAAGATTAGTTGCCTACAATCAGGCGCGCGCTACCCGAAATGTCTAGTGTCTCTTCGTTATGCCATTTTCCTCATGTTCATTGTCAATAATTAAATATCTTCGAGACCCTTACATGTCCAATTAGTTTGTAACATTTATTTTCTACAACCTTACAAAATGTCTTCTATGCCGCAAATAGATCGTTTGGTACTTCGGTCATTAAAACTCATTGTTTTGTTCAAACATTATGAGGGCGAAAAATAACTCAAAAATTGGACAACAAAAGGACCCGTATACGTTAGGAACACATAACAGTTTAACCTGTACCGTTTTACTCATCCGAGTAAATACGAGCATCTGCGGGTAAAACTGTCACCCTCAAAACTCATCAGCTCCTACGTTCCTTCAAGATAATAATGGTTGTTTGATTGTGCCCTGAACGTCTGTGCACAAAAACCTATACCTGATTGTCTTGTTAAGCCTCCGAGCGGTAATTGGTTCCCTTAGCAAGAGACGAGATAAACTCAAACTCGTAAAACGTGGCAATGTGGGCGCCTTAGGGATGCGGTTAAACATGGCACGCGCAAGCTCTTCGGGTACATCTGATAAGTATTCGTAACACATACAGCCATTTAACCTTTCTTCTTTATTTATTTAGGAACCTAACAACCACCTAAGACTCTCAATTGATCTTAATGTCACAAGAAAATCCAATATTTTATATGTTAAAAAATTGATGTAGTGTGGTAACACATGAAACGCCCTCTAAAAGACTCGATAAATCATTGTTAAAAATATCAGTTATATAAAAAATTAACACTTTTATGTTATAAAATGTAAAAAATTTAATGTAAGTAATTCGTATTAACTGTTTTCTTAACAAGTCGCCTTTCTTTGCGCGCTCATTTCGAAACAAGCATGTGCGTGTGTGTGTGTCTGCATTCCCGTCGATGTGTTTGTGTTTAGGTGGCGATGGTGGAGCTGCAGATCAACGAGCCCACCAACGTGCCCGAGTGGCTATTCGTCATGTTCTCCGTGTGCACCACGGTGCTGGTGGCCGTGCACATCTTCGCCCTCATGATCTCCACCTACCTGCTGCCCAACATCGACGCCGTGTCCAAGCTGCAGGTGGCGCGCCTGGTGGCCGAGTCGCCGCACGAGCGCATGCGCGGCTTCATCGAGCTCGCCTGGGCCTTCTCCACCGTCCTCGGGCTGTTCCTCTTCCTCGTCGAGGTGAGCAAGACTATGCCCCTTCTTCTCATTCGCTTTTTTATTCTATTCCTCTCCTCCATCTTCCTCGGGTCGTTCTCCCTTTCCAGGAGCACGCGCTTCTTTCTCATCTTCAGTTTTGCTTTTCTTGTTCTTCTCCGCCTCCTTCGGGTCGTTTTATTTTCTTTATCCTTCTTCACCGTCCTGAGGACCTTCATTGCCGAAGCCGACACGACTCATTCTCTTCTTCAGAATACTTTTCTATCCCTTTCCTTGCTTACTGGCAGAATGGCCCCTATCCAGGCTTACTTGGGGAGGCGCCGCGGGGATCTGCGTTCCGACAAATCCAAGTGCCCAAAGTACATGTATGCCCGCAGGTTGTGAGAATTAAGAAATAAAGGGCTTAGGTGCCCTCCCTGGGGGGTGTAAAACATCCTGGTAAGACGAGAACGTGTGGGGTAATAGCTCACGCACTGTGTATTCTATCCATTTCCCCCATCTCCTGGTTGTTCTCCCCTTCCGAGGGACTACGTTTTTTTCTCCTCTTCAGATTTTCTTTTCGTTTTTGTCCTCCCCGTGCTCTAGCTCTTCCTTGTCCATTTAGGTATCTCTCTTTCTCTTCACTTTTTCTTTTTATTCCTCTTCGCTACATTCCTTAGATCGTTTTCCCCTTTCTGAGTGGACACGTCTCTTTGTCTCCTTCAAATTTTCTTTTTATATCTTCGCCTTCTCCACTAACCTGAGGTTCTTCTTCGTCGAGGTGGGCTCGTCTGTTTCTCTTCTCTACCAACCTTTCTTCTTTATCGTCATCCTCTTCACCTTCTTCAGATTGTTTGTTTTCTCATTTTTCATTTTTGTCTTCTACATATCCCTCTGGTCATTCCTCTCCTTAATCGAGATGGTCGCTATCACCACCTTCGCGTCGTCTTCGTTTCCTTTGCCATGTTATTGATTTGTCCCTTTCCTCCTTCTCCATCGACGTCTTTCTCTACAATGTCGAGGCAGGAATATCTTTCTCCCCACAACACCCTATTTTCATTCTTCTTTACGTTCTCCACCTTCGTGGCACCACCCTTGCCCTCAATGATCTCCTCTCGAAGTTAATTCGTCGTTTTCTCTTCAGTTTTCACTCTTCGTCTTCTCTTCCCTCAGGCCATTTGTACATTTACATGTACACACCATACATGTACACGGCCACACGTTTCGGGAGAGCAGACCTTATCCTTTCGGCACCGGATCTCGCATCCTAGTGGGGAGCAACATCGCCACCACCCGGCTACAACAAACAACGCACTCTCTCTCTCATTCTCTCTCTCTCATTCTCTCTCTCTAATTCTCTCTCTCTAATTCTCTCTCTCTCATTCTCTCTCTCATTCTCTCTATCTCATTCTCTCTCTCTCATTCTCTCTCTCATTCTCTATCTCTCATTCTCTATCTCTCATTCTCTATCTCTCATTCTCTATCTCTCATTCTCTCTCTCATTCTCTCTCTCTCCTCTCTCTCTTTTTTTCTTTCGCCTGTTCCTCCTTCGTAATCGGTGTCTTCGGGGTATACGGGGTAATATACGTAGCAAAGAGAAATAGTGTGTAATACTGTGGAAAATTGATTTCGAGATTTCAACGAAAATACACGTTTTGGGGTCCCCTGATACCGAAAAATTGTCGTCTTTTTTCAAAACGTTCGGCTGTCCGTCCGTCTAGAGTCTGTGAACACTACTAGCGCCTAAACCATGAGTAGGATTTTTTCCAAACTAAAGAAACGCCTGTCGACCTGGCTCGAGTCGAAACTCTGAGAATTTGAAAAACATTCTTCAAAATTTGGGGGTACTTTACATGAAGCCCTCCGGACTATTTCAAAATTTTCTCAAAAACGGCTCCAAATGTTTCTTTAAATTTCTTGTAAGAATAGAGTAACATACACTTATGAAGGTCGCATAGCCACGATTGAACCCTTGAAACCGAAAAATTGATTCCATCTGTGGTAATAAAACGGGAGCCAGCAAGAAAATCCACGTATAAGCTCAAAGCTAAAACTTTTTGGTAAGTTAGCTAGTGTTATGAGGAACAGGGAAACGCAAGTATGGCATTCTGTACGTGTCGACGTTGCACTGCACAATTTTTTGGATGTGTCAAAAAAACTATATTATTGGGGAATGAGTACACAGATAATTCTTGTTGTGTAGATTTTAGATAACTGTGAAGGAGTTGTATGATATACCGATGTTGCGTCTCAAACTGTACTCCATATTGAATTCAAAGTGTCATTTTTTTAATGCTCTCTTGTATTGCGGTCTCAGAGCTATTTTTTTGCTCTAATAATACAAATTAATTTTCGTTGCCGGTTATGACACGCCATACCTTTTCGGCGTCTCTATGTAGCTGCCGTACTGATTCAAAGATGTCAAATTTGTCACTACTTTTTTTAATTTTTATTTTAATTTATACAGTATTCCTTTTTCATATCTATCAACTCTTTGCAATATAATCTTCTTAATTTATTTCCTTTTGTCTTCTTAACATGTATTACTATTACTGTTCCTTTCATGTAAATATTTGTTATCGGAAAGCATTCATAATTTAACGGAAAAAGCGCTTTTAAAAATCTCATCGTGATCGCAATAAAACAATAGTGCCCATAAAATGATAACTATTGCAATGTGTCAAGGTGACTTTCATTCGTAGACTTCTTACAATGAGATTTTTGTTTAAAAAAAATTGTTTGTTCTGCATCATTCCAAGGGAACTTCCTCCAAACCCCTGAGTGTAGGCAACCCACAGCACGAGTTGTTACTGCGAAATACATTAGGATGATTAATTTCATTAATTAAGAATATTTTCCACATGCATACAATTCAAACACCCATATTTATTACGATATAAGTTTCTTAAATTTTAAATAATGAAATTATTGGATTTTTTGCGTGTTAATAATTGGATGTTGTAGTAATTATTATTGACTTTGTGTTGTTGTATTTTTAATTAATTTTACGATAAGTGTAATCATCGTGTTATCTGTTTTATTGTGGTGTGTATGTAATTTGCAGTTTTTTCTTAATTGTTTTAATATATGTATCCCTCTACCTCCTATTCAGTCTTCATTTCACTCTTCTCCCATGTTTGTAACTAATTTTATTTATAATAAACCCGTCATTCTGTCTTCTCATTTTCATCTTTGTGTTGCTCGCAATCCACTTATCTTATTTTTTATCATTTTGATTTTTTGGTACTAAGTTACCAACCCCTTTGTCTTCGTTTTATTCTGGGTTTACGCGTACGTCAAGATACATAGTTTCTTGACTTGCAATTTCTGACGTAAATGTAAAGATTTCTATTGTTTCGTGTTTAATATTGTAACTAAGTAAAACCATTTAAGAGACTAGATCTAAGATCCGGTAATTTGGGTTGGATCTTATTGTTTAAATTATTTTCGTCATTGGTATTATTATTGGTATAATTATTATTATTGATATTATTATTTGTCTAATTCACGACTAAAGATGTTATGAGTCGGTTCAATATAAAATCTACTCCAGGTTGCAACCAGCTTCCTAAGTAGCAGATCTGAGGACAGTCGGTGCCTCTACAATACGTTGCGCAAAATGTAAGCTGTCCCAAATAAAGCAATGTCTTCACTTCCTAGTCTTTTGAATTAGCTAGCCGTTTAGCCAAGTTATTACACAAATTTTGCGGAACAAATCCCAGAGTTCCGATAACTATCGGAACAACCTGCGCTTCTACGCTCCACATTCAGCTCATCTCGATTTCCAAACTCTTGAATTTTAGATGTTTATCTACCTCCTCGGTTAAAACGTTTTGATCACAAGGGACAGCCACATCTAGAAGTAATGTATTTTCTTCAAATCCCGGATAACAATATACGGTTTGCTTGCCACAATCGAGCGATCAGTTTGAATTTGTTGGACGTACATTATGGTACACAGTCCAACAGACGTCACCGGCTTTCGTGAGTGTTCGTACCACTTCGAGCATGCGTTTGGAACTTTGAACGCGGTACAGATCTGTCGAAACTTTTCAAGTATTCGGCCTTTGATAGAACTGGACCAGCTGAAACATTATAATCTATGTTTTTTACTTTTTCTTTGCGGCATTTATCATCTTGGGAAATTTTGAAAACCGCCTTACCATAATGTCGTGTTATCAACGCCTGATTTTGTGCAGTTATTAAAACTGCTTCCGATTCTGGCTTCATTATTCTCCTTTTAAGCCGCAGAAATGGATGATCTTCATTGATCTGCAACTCGTCCATCTTTCTAGATACTATCCATGGAATGGTTTGTCTCCACGATTTCTTTAACATTTTTTGTGTCTCACGTTTCATGTTTAGTAGCATCGGTGTCTGTGTTAATCTGCGTGTCTTGCACACTTTTCTTCGCAATGCTTCTTGCGACACTAAAAATGCCTCTGTTTCCCATTCTTCGATCAGATTTAATGGCCAGTCTCATTAGAGGCATGTTGATGACTGACTACATACTTTCTCATCTCGACTATTGCATTGTGCCAAGAGGCTTCAATTTGTCTGAGGCCTCTTCCGCCTTCCTCACGTGACACATAAAATCTATGTAATCAGCTCGAGGGTGGGCGACATGATACATTGTAGGCAGTGTTCTAGTTCTTCGATCCATGATTAGAATTTCTTGCTCAGTCCAGTCCACTGGTCCGAAACTGTTCTCGACAACTGGCACCGCCAAACTACTTATTGCAGATATTTTATTCCGGGAGTTCAGAGCGGACTGCAGGACAAGTCTCACTCTTCTGTAATACTCCCTGCAACTACTCTCTTTCATTGTGTATTTCGAGATGTTCTCACAATCTTTGTTGCGCAGATATTCTTCTATTATTATTATTATTATTATTATTATTATTATTATTATTATTATTATTAATTATTATTATTATTATTTTAATATTGTTATTATAATTGTTATTATTATTACAACGCTTTCAATAACAGTACATAGGTCCATGGAAGTGATTTAAATATAGAATTTCTTCACATCTGCCAAATACATGATTTTATCTTGTTTTCTTGACGTTGAAGCATCAAAAGCGTGATTGCGGACGTGTGTTCAGGTGGCCATCTTGTGCTGGGTGAAGTTCTGGGACTACAGCTTCACGGCGGCGTGGGCGGCCACCATCATCGTGCTGCCGGTGCTGGTGGTGTTCGTGGCGTTCGCTGTCCACTTCTACCACAGCCTGGTGGTGCACAAGGTGGCCGCCACCGGGCACGACATGCGCCAGCTGGAAGCCATGAAGCGTCGCCTGGACTCGGCTAGCGCCGTCTGACCCGGCGAAAGGAGGCGCGGCCCGCTTGCCAGGAGGAATACGTCGCGAAGGAAAACGTTTTTGCCAGATCAGAAAGGTCGTGCACTGGCGGAGGGAAGCAGGCCTGCATTTAAAGTGTGCTCGACGCAATGACGACTGTGAATAACAGCAATGACGACTGTGAATAACGCATGGCCTTAAGACATGAGTGAGGTCTACACTCTATCTCTCGAGTGAAAATGACCGTTCCACTTTTTGAAATATATAGGACATGATGTAGTGGAGAGTTGGCAAAATTTTGCCCACAGCAGTTCTAAGTTTCTCACGCATGTCATGGATTGACCGAATTCTCTAAGTAAACTTCTTTGAAAACGATGGAATAAAGAACTGATTTTTGTATTTCAAAACCAGGTGGATTGTTCTTAAGGGATACAAACACGATTATTTTACTACAATGTAGAACATCAAGTTTATGTAAACCAAAATGTGTTAGGCGCCTTTTTCACGCCCCCGGAATTTTACACCCTTCGCATCGTTGCCCTATTTAGAACGATAGGTATAGCAACCACGCCGAATTTCCAGAACTAACGGAAGACAAACCTGCATCAACTCAAAGAAGTTACTGCTGAAATTGAGATGGTAGTGACTCGGTTTTCATGGAGTGGGAAGACGTATCAGGGAGGTCGAATGCTGGTATTGCATTTTTCGACGCAGCGCTGTTAATCGTAAGAACGGCTTGACAAAATCTGTGAATTTTCATTTTTTTCCCCTCCAGTGGCGGCGACGTGAGAATGAAATTCTGGCAACGGTGCGTATGTGAAGGATCATTGCGAGAAGGATGGGATAAGGTGGGAAATTACTGACTTCTTTGGCAATCGTAGACGGAAACAACTACATCTGAAGCGGTTATTTCCCTTTCTAGCCAACTCTCCCTGTTATAGACAGAAGAGCACAGAAAAAACAAGAGGCCAGGGTTATTAGATTCACAGGCGCCCCATATTTCAATGAAACGTTCCGCTCCCTTTCAATACATATACTACAGAATCAATTATCATGAAACAGAAATAATTTATAGCGGTTACTTTGAATTAAAAGTAAATTCTTTACATGATTTGAATGAAATATAATCGGGGCCTTAATTAAGTCAGGGTCTAGGAAATATTGACCAGCCTGTCCTGCCCCCTAACTGGACACTTAGGTGTAGATAGCACGCGTGGGCAAAAGAGATGTTTACACTTCTTTTTTACTGTAGCTTGGCACTGTTTGGAAACGAAAGTCAATGAGTAAGTCGAAGATAATTTCCCCTCGTTATCCTTTTCACAACTGTGATTTTGTGGAAGGCCGTGTTCGAAATAAATACTGAATTTCAAAATTCGCCTTCAAGCCGCAGTTTATAGACTCTCAAAGGGGAGATGGTGTTTATTGACACTTTATACCTGAAGTACGAATAATATATAATTGATTCTTCTCTCAATGTGCCTTTTTGAAGATTGTGTTAAGATAGAACTTGGCATAATTTCTTCCAATAAGTAAATTACTACTTGACGTTATTTCACGTTTACACGCGAACATCGCCATTCAAGGTTTGTAATTCCATTATCCGGACAAAGAAATATAATGAAACGAGTCTACGTCTACAATGGCAATACCATATTAACTAAAGATAATTACTGTACATTATTAATAATTATTCAAATGGAGCACATGATAATGAGAAAGTTCTTAGTTTTAAAGGAAAAACTGCTGGAGGAATTCAACATATTGTTGACCAAAATTGAACTTGTAATTATAAAAATTGTTTATTGTCATGTTTTGCAAGACCACTATGGAAAATATTTACATGGGGAAAAATCGACCGCAAGGAATAGTTTGTAGGTAAGTGAAGTACAATCATCTCGTAAACACGACTTAGATTCTATTTTTTTCCATTCAAGTCAATTATTTATTATTGTAGATGCTAAAAGATCCACAGATATTAAGAATATCATAAGCAAATTCAACTTGCTTCTTTTCTTTGAATTTGATTGATACCCACTTTCCAAATCCAATCCGCTAATCTTTGTCGGCTCCGCTGCGAATCGTTGTGCACGTAATATTAAACATTGTGTTATACTTTGATCATAAATACTTGGATATCGCTATCAGCATAGTGAGAAGATCTTTAATATACTCTTTGTGAAGATTTCAACTGTGCCTTTTTCTATGTCAACAAAAAGAATTGAACTGAACTGCAGGGTTTCAGAAGCACCCATTCACTCACAAAGTCCCTCTCAGAATGAATGTGGCGAGCGTGAATTTCGTTTCGACAGTCTCCGGCTCTCGCTTTCCAGTTTCCTTTTCTTTCTATTCTTTTTATCATCACTGGCAAACCTTTTTATTACCTCCTCCACATAGTGTTCCTGGAACCTACACCAGAATGTCATTTCAAATCTAATCAATCCATTCCTTTGACTAACTGAACTCCCAAAGTTCTGCTCTATATATAACGATTGGAAACATTAAAAACAAAGCAAATAAATATTTACTAAATCTGAATAACTTTGAACAATAAATGGTGTCAGAATAAATACAGAAGACAATGAAATGGCATATTCCTTGGTGTACACTTTTGCAAAAGAGTAGGGCCTACAGCACTTTATTAACAATTTCCTTTCTGATTTCAATTATTGTATAACGTGAATTTATTTCATTGCAAGAACCCAAACACCAAAATATCCTATCGATAACAAGAGTAGATTACTATTAAAATTACTACCTGTAAACAAAGTAGTAGGCCTATTGCTCATCTTGCACATTCATAAAGTCATTAATGAAAACAAATCACTTGCATCAATCCTGTTTTCTTATTTTATCTTATAGCCCATGTTTCTGAACAAAAATATTGTTGCATTTGGACGGTTTGAGACACAATTAGAGTTGCTTATACCACGTATTCATTCTGAGATATGAATTGAAACTAACATATTTCATTATATTTGTGAACAACGAACAGTCCAGAGAACTTTCCCCAATTGTAAATATGAAGCTCAAAGAACCAACTTTCCTTCCAAAAGCACATTTAAGTGATATTCAATGCATTCTAGTTTCATATGCCAAATTGAATACAGAATATGATTACAGTGCCAATGGAATTGAATAAAATGTTGGATTGTATTTGTTCTTAATATGTACCTAATAAAGTGAATTTTTTATGAAACTAAGATCTGAGAATTCAAATGTTCTTGTGTATAATGCTTCATTCTATTTGTAATGAAAGGTGGTAATTCATGAATATGTACAAAAGATTATGTTATTGAAAGAAATTTTTGTATATATGTATTATATATAGTGCTTTTTGAGAAACAAGGCCCTGTGTTTGTGAAAGTTTAGTTGTTCTCAGAGTACCATCATTTGTAAAAATAACTATTGCAAGAAGAGTTTGACTCATCACCCTAAAAAAAAATCATAGGTTAGTGTCCGATACACTTTTTTGTACAACTTTTGAAAGCAATTGCAATTCTACTATTGAAATATTTCATATGAAGAACCCAAAAAGACAGACCTGTGAGAGAATGCATTTACCACAGAGCCTTCTATATATCACATAACATTGCCATAGATCGTAAAACTTAAAGCATAATTAATCTTTTCAAAATTACAAGCCAATGAACCCGTTTGTAAACTTGCATACACTGTATACCTGTTAACTTATTGTATTGAACATTGCAAATATCAAATTCATATTGTAAAAGGAATCATTGCAACATTTTTGGATTTGAAGTCAGTTATCACTGTGGTATGTTTAAAGAATGTATTTCAACCTCCAGGCTTTTTAAATATCTCTCTCTTCTGAAACTGTTTTTCCTCCAAAAAAGGAGTTCACTAACTCAGCAACAAAGATACTGATCTAATTAAATAACCGTATAAAAATGAAAGAAATTTGGAGTCTTCAGAATTTGCTTACTAAAGCATATCAAATCATAGACTCTCTTTACAGACAATCTTAAACAAATGTCAAGCATCATGTCTTCTTGACCATCACAAAATGTTCTTTATTTTCACACATTTATTTAAGCTTAAGTAATTAAGAAGATGTATATGATTAATGATGGGGAAAAAAAGAAAAAAAGAAAGGTCCCCTAGTTCAAACTCTTCTACGCAGCAAACAGATATTCAGCAACATTTTCAGTGTTGCTTAATATAAACCACTTATGGAACCTGATGGTTGGTGAGAGGAGACATTCTCATAATAACTTTTGGAAAGTGACCATATTAATTTGTTTGTTGCTTATTTAGCCAGTCATGCAGTGCATTGCAGTGGAGAGTTGCTTAGTATAAATCATTGATGAAACGTAACGGTCAGCAAAAGCAAGTTTTCATTTTTACTTTTGCAAAAACCCAGTTTTAATGCAAATGACATGCTCTTTAGCCAACCACCAAGTGTATCATGAAGAAAGAAACTGTAGTCCACTCTTGTGCAATTTTTGTAATTAGAAAATTAAGTAGTGAAATGAAAATAATTAGAGATATACTCTACCCACTATATACATATATTACATGAAAATAAAATAACATTTATTCAGCTCCCATTTTGGATATCCTCCTAGTCCAATAATTCTTTTTTGTATGAGGAAATGAGAATATAAAATAAATTGTCTACACTCTTTAAGTTAATACAGAACTCTGCCTTCAAGTTAAACATGAAAGTCAAAAGACTCAAATAGCCCAAATCTCAAAAGTTCAAAAACAATTAGGGACACAATAAAATCACTCTAAATCTTCCTCCATTCCAACTCTCTTTACAGACAATCTTAAACAGATGTTAAGATTGAAACAGAATTAAGGAGAACTTAACAGAATTAAGGAGAATCAACATTTTACTCATTAGATATCTAATCATGAATATATATTTCTATCAAATCTATTTCAGGCTGGATAGTCAATTCCATGAATAAACAAAACAATTTATAACAATGTTCATATTAAGAGAGATCCAACATCGGCACCATCCCACATTTACATGAAATTCGACAGCAGATTTAAAGATTATTAATCCTATTGAAGCATTAAAAATAAACAAATTCTGAGGATCATAAATTATCCTTCATAAATTAACAACAAATTAATTCTAAAAACTTTCAATATAGAGAGGAACCTCTTTTGTAAAATCTGAAAGGGAATAAGAAGATAAATGGAAGTTACTTAAAAAAATAATAAAGAACTGTTGCATTATGAATTTAAAGAAAAGAGAAAGAAAAAAAAAAGATTTGGAAGGCCAAAATTGACAAATGAACTACTGCACACTTCTAGTTCACAAAAAACAAATCAATTTCCTAAAATAATTTAATCCTGTATATATTAACCTTCATATAGAATTTTTCTACATGAAACTTAATAAAACCCAGCAGCTTCAAGGGAAATTGATGAATGCATCATTTTTACCTAGACATCATGTTAAAAGCATACATATTTTCTTCACCAATGACCCAATTTACACTCTTCCTTTCACAAAAGATCTTGAGAGTTTTAGCAAACATTGCAAGCAATTGTAGCTTCTGAAACCTTCAGTAGAGATATTGCATATCCTTGTGTTTGCTAAAACTTCAGAAACATTCATCAAGACAAAAAATGTAATTGGGTATATGGTGGACCTTGTATCAAACTGCAAAATAGGAATGACATAAACATATGCCCGCAAGTTTATTTCTTAATGCACCCTCTGCAGCTAATTTCTCTCGGTAAGTAGGTAATGAAACTGTTCAATAATAATAACTCCAGACAAACAAGCCAGATGATAAACAACTGTCACTCATCAATTCCTTTCAATTTCAACCTCAAAAGGGAAAGAATACTAGCACTTTTCAGGCATAATAGCAACGGAAATTTGTAAAATATATTTTTGAGGTTCTTTGACTTCAGTTACCATAGTACATTCAAGTGAATGTGTGCATGTTCATGTATGAGGAAGGGAAACAAATTAAAAAAGAAATTCAGGATATCACGGAAGGTGATTAGGTTTCACTCTACACTATATAAAATTTTCAAGAATACATAACATTATTTTGTTGCGTATAATTGTGGACAAAAATGGGGCTACAGAGAATCATACAGAACACTACTATTTTCTCATTTTTTTTATTGTTTTAGAAGTTTCACAACCTGTTCCATATCTCACAAGCGCTCTGCACCAAATTCACAACATCAAAAAACCATGAGCACGCAAGAGAAACAACACTAAGGTAGAACACAAAGTATGCTAGTAGCATCTTTGATTCCGCTCCATGTTTAATGATGTTAATTGCACAATTTCAAAATGGACAGAAATATGGAAGAACATTCAAGGACAATGTACAAAAAGTAACAAAATGAGTAGACGTAACGAAGCACATTTACTTCAGGGTGGGCAACAATTGCAATGTCACATATAAAAAGACAAGCAAATAAAAATTCACTTAAAAAAGAATTCATTTTATACATAAAAATATGTTACATTACAATACAACAGAGGGAGACAAACATCCCCAACAACAAACCTACAAGAACAGATCATTCGCTGAAAAGTTCACAAACAAACATTTCCTCTAATTACAATATAGTAATAAATAATTTTGTGATGTACATACCAATTTTGGAGGAAATCTAGTCATGGAGAACTTAGTACACCTAGTGCGGTAACAGAAATCTACATTAAGCATCACAGTGTCAAAAAACAAATTCAATTTGCTCTTATGACTTTCTTAGGTAGAGATTGTTATAAAAATAAAAGCCTGGAAAATTCTACTTATCTACTCTTCCATACATTCCATGTCAACAACCATCTATACAGCCACTTACAGTTTTAGATACATGTACAATACAACTAGAATTCACTATGCAACTGTCAGCAGTTCAGTGTTTTTTGAAGTCTAGTAGGTAAAGGTATTCTCCAAATTATTCCAGTATTCGAGTATCTCTTTAAGACATCCACAATACTTATTTTCAATGGGCACATTCCAGGTAAGTGCATTTGTACTAAAAAATTGCTTGCTCTTATGTCAATGAGGATGTAATCACAGTCAATTAGTTTATAGTTCACTTCTTCCCATATTGCAATTATTCAAAATATCTTAATGAACTTCCGACCATCTGGTCTAGTTGACATGAAGCAGCCTCTCTTCTAGTATTGAGAAATGGGCTTGAAAGTGAAATGATTGTGCAGTGAAAAATAAGGCTTTGCATACAAAGAAAACATTCTATCTTATCAGCACATCAAGGTTGTTCTTTGGATTCAAAAGTACAATAGTACAGAATTTAGGACATTTAACTTCATAGTTATTACAATATATACTGGCAGTAGGAAAATTTGCTAACGCCAATTGCCAGCATTCAGATTTCTTTCGTTGATTTTCACAAAGGGAAAATCTTAGAAAGACTTCTGCCTTTGGAAAACAAGTCCATGGTACAAACATACCAAGAGATGGAAAGAAGAAACAACAATAGCTGACAATGCAAACTTCCCTGTGGTTATCACAAAGTGACTGATGGAATGTCGTGAAAATTAGTATGCCCTACAATATACCAAACAGTAACTTTTCTCTACTTAAAATCCAGCACACTCAATCACATTCTACCCTTCCCTTTGATGGCCTCTAACTGACTGTCAGGCCCGAGAACTATTCAATGCTCATGTAAGAAGGTCACGATACTGATTTCGTCTCAGTTCAAGCAGACCTTGGATTGTTCCACAAGAATGTCACACTTCATTCAGGAAACCAAAACATGCACTCAAGTATATATCTTCACGAAGGAAAATAGATGGAGGCTGTTTCTTTTTTAGCCAACATACACATGAAGTACAACAAAAGAAGGCTCAGTGGAGAGCTCCAAAACACATCTCTTCTTGGATCACCAGTCATTATTGCAACGTTGACTGAACCAAAATAGGTGATAGGCAAAAGATGCAAAATGAAACTAACGATGACTGGGTGCATACCAAGACGACTGGATGTGCCAATGAAGTGCTTAGCACCAAGGTCGCAAAGCCAAAGCCGCAGACTCCAGTCTTTGAGATTCATGTCAGACCTCCAGGTGCTTTGATGGAGGGTGGATGATGAACGGTTCACTCCACATGCGCCGCAGATCTCCCTGAGCAAACAAGAACAATTAAATATCTTCACTCTATCCTTTAATATACTCAGCCTTATAATGTCAACTCTAGCAACTACAGCATTCGATTAACAACTTTTCTTCTTGCGATATCCTTTCGTTTACTAGCACAGTGAAACTATTTATACATTTTGCACTTATACATTTTTTCACGTTTAAGCTTTGTTGTTTGTAATCTGAAATAAATTTCTATATTTCCCACATTTAATTATAATAACATTTTTGAAAACTATTTTCCCTTTAAAACCCTTTAAAAAGACTAATTCCGGCATACCTTGAGGTAGGCCATAGTAAGTAGAGGCAGTAGGGTGAAGGGCACCAGGTACAATAGCGCTGGCTGTGCCGCTTTGAACACCTCTGAGGACACTGTGGCTGTGAGCAGCCCCAGGAAATACCCAATCAGAGAGCAATGGAAGTAGCTGCAACAATCATAAGCATTTAATGAATGATTTAATAACTACACTATTTACACTTGTTTAAAACAAGTGAACACTATTAAAATTTTAACTCATTATTAATATCAAGAATTAGGCTTCTTGATCTGTTCCACCTCAAAATTGTTCACACCATCCCACAATTATTTCCCTCTTGGATTAGATTGTCTGATAATTTTACTTACTGTATTTACCCGATTGCAAGCTGACCTTTTTTTCTCTTTTTTGTAGTTCAAAAATTGACCCTCGGCTTCGGTGTCATGTTGCTGTAACGTAGTTGACACCAGACATCCGTAAAGATATCTATTTTTCGCCGGCCACGCAGCCGACACAGTAGAACATACATAAACTACCTCTGTTTCTTCAAACACAAGACACTCACAAAATCAGATATATTTCCTAAGAGCGTTATTGTACGTGCAAATGAAAAAGGGTGGTTTACTAAAGACATGATGTTACAATGGGTTCAGTTGGTGCGGCTTTGTCGCCTTGGCGCTTTGTTGAGGTTACATAGCCTCCTGATTTTGGACTCTTCCGCGACCCACACTACTGAGGTGGTAAAGGAGTGTAAAAGATTAGGGAACCAACTTGGCAATTATTCCAGGTGGACTAACATCAATACTTCAACCCCTGGATGTGTGCATCAACAAACCATTCAAGGACAGATTGAAGAAAATGTACAGACCGGCTCGCCAAAGAAGACAGAATGTTCACGCCCATGGGGCACGTGAAACAGGCTAGTCTATCCCAGTGTAGGCTAGGATAGATGATGCCTGGAAGAGTATTCCTAGAGAAGTTGTCACAAGAGCTTTTAATAAGTGTTCAATCCAAATGCCCTTGACCACCTTTTCATTGACAAAAGTGACAAAGAGTCAAGTGCCCTCTAAAACATATAGAAATCAGCGGTCTTAGTATATTAAGCATCAAATGTATTATGTTTAAATAAAGAAATTTCCTTTTTTTACGTTATTTAATTCTTTATTTCTTGGTGTCAGCTTACAATCAGTGTTTGCTTAAAATCAAGTACATACTGTACTCTATTTCTGGCATTCTCTGGATATGATCTTTCCAATCATAGCTGTTTTACTTTTCCTGTCTGTGCTGTAGTATAGGAAGGAAAAGCGCTGTGACATTAACAATATTATCGTGAATATCTATCATAAAATGTTTAAAATTCTTTTCAGCTGTAACTTTACATATCAGAATTAAGGTATATTAGTGCTTTTTCTAGAGATTGGTACAATTCTGTATCTAAAATCTATTTGTACGCAAGAATTGGTGCAGAAGTCAGGGCAACTACTTTTTTTCTAAAAACAATTTGATAATCATGCAATTTTTATTTTTCATGTGAAAGAAATGCAGTACTAGTGTGTGTTTACGACAATAGATGGATCGTTCAGTTCTCTATTATCACAGAGAGCTATGAGAAATCATTTGAGTAACTATTGCTGTGCGAGACAAATGTAATCCTTTCAAGTAAAGCTCCTATATAAAACAGACATACTCTGTGGAAGAAATGTATAGTATCTGACAGGAAATTAGCAGCTGTTGGGAATAATGCCCTTCAATACCAGACAGTTGCAACTCGCCCAGGAGAGTTTCAGTGAGGAAATGTAGCAACATGTGATCAGCAACACACGGGACGCTGGCAAGCGCAGAGCAATGTGGCATGAGAAGTAGTTGAACACCTGCTGGAGGTAGAAAATAAACGCTACTGGAGTCAAAGAGCAAAAGTAATATCGAGAAACACACACTCGCAAGTGGTCCTGAGCATTGCTGATAACAGGTTTCGGGAATGGAAGGTCATTATTCTCAACAGTTTGCACCAACTTCCACTAGGGCATTTCAGAATGGCAATCTTGATGTACGAGCATTGCTCAAACGGGTTACATTTATCTCAAACAACCGATTTCACATTGCTCTGACTTTTAGAACAATGTGTGATTGTGAACACACATTAGTAATTTTTTTTATTGTTATTTTTATTATTTTTATTTTTATTATTTTTATTTTAATTATTATTTTTATTTTAATTATTATTTTTATTTTAATTATTATTTTTTTTTTAATTATTATTTTATTTAATATTATTTTTATTATTATTTATTATTATTTTTATTATCCAACAGGCATGTAATGCCTAAATACATTCATATATTACATAGGTTTATACGCTCTTGAAGATTTACAAAATATTCATTGGTCATAAAATAAGTATTGTCAATTGTTGCATATCTATCCAGTGAAATCTAATATGAGTTGTTTGATCATTTTAGCTATTGACGTATTTCGAGTCAAATCAATTTCATTCATATATGTATTGGTGATTCTGGCTAAACGTGGTATAGCAGAATTATAGAAATAGACGGTTCTACAGTCAAATTCTCTCAGTAGAGTAGATCTTCGCATTGTGTATGGATAGTCATACAATTGATTCATATTTCGAAGTGATGTACTTTTAATTTTTAGTAATTTATTAATATTTTTTGTAATGCATTTCTTTCACATTACAAATACAATTATGTGATTCCAGAATATTTCTTTTAGGAAAAAAAATAGTTGCCATGAGTTCTGCCCAAAACCTTGTATTTGGATGTATGTCCAGATGGTTGTGTCACAACTGTCAGATTCGAAGATTTTGAGCTGAAACTTGAGAAATATGTCAAGAGGAAGATCTGGAAACCATTAATATATTCATTATTGGGAGTACTTTACATGAAGCCTCTACAACGTTTTCTGAAACTTTTTTGCTTCAACAGAACAAAGTGCATTTAAAGTATGATATAGTTCCGATCTTCATTAAAACATGTCATGTAAAAACTTGCAGAAATCTTTACTTTTAAAACACTAAGGGTTCTCATTCACCAAAAAAAAGTTTGTCACTCAACCAAAATTCATGATTTTTGCATAAAATGAAAGGTAGTGGGCCTGAAATATTTCATAGCTTGCTATTATTACGCTGTTTTATAATAGAAATCCTATTTTAATAATATCATAAAATTAAATTAATGTACACTTCTCTGCTAGCATTTATACATTATTTCATAGTGTGAGTTGTAATTAAGCCATTGCACGCATTTGACATTTCCTCTTTGAGAAAATATGAGTATGGTTGTTATTTGAGCTTTCTTAAGTTCGAAGAGTGTTTTTAAATACACGGATTATCTTTAAAGGATTGTTGAAGTGTAAGTAAACAATGACCAGCAATTGTCCAACCTTCCACAAAAACAGAAATGTCTACTATAATTATGTGGTGTATTCCATTTTAAGGGAAGGTAAGCACAAGAATTCTTTACATAATACTCTACTACATACATGTACAGATTTTGGTAAATATAGAACATTTCTATTACACTTCTAGAAACATGAACTCCATATTCACAATGAATAGTGATGTATTATTTCCTAAAGTGGAAATCTCCCTCATTTTATTAGTTTTCAAGATTTAATACTATACAACATGAAACAATGTTTTAGGAGCTTTCCATTTTCCATATAGTGAATATATAGAATGTGTAGTATTTTTCTAATTTTTCCACAGCCATATCTCACATGACTAATTTTTAGCTTGCATCCTTGCTATTTATAATTTTAAGATATGTCCCAACTTTCCAACCCATTCTTCAACTATATTGATTCTTGTTGCTTGCATATTTTCTAACAAACTTCCTTTAATTTTAGATCATTAAATGTAGTCATGCACTTTTAATCTGTGTAATTGTTGAGTAACAACATTGATGAGGAAAATTTTCAGTATGCCAGGCATTTTTACTAGTTTAATTTGTGTAAGTTACTCCAAATATCAGTTCTGACATTAAAACTTTTTGTGGTCAAGTAGTAAATATACTATCAGAAACTGGAGAAATTTCATCCCTGATTATTCAATTTACCAGAAATGGTATAATGTAAATACCCAGCTCTCTCTTCAAAGGGTAACTGACAATTTTACCAAGCCAAAGAGCAGAAGTAATTTAGTAAGAAATTTCTCTATAACTCTATAACAAGTCTAAGTCTCTACAACAATTGAGCCAAAAACCTTAAGGTTGGAGCAGAGAGTTATCGGTGAATCAGGGAGCCAATCATCAACTGCAGGAGGGGGTTGAATCGAATGACACAGCTTGTGATTGGGCGGCACGGTCCTTTTTTGGCAAGTAGTACACCATGGAATGGACTGCTTTACCTCTCATTTTAAGTAAGGCTTGCAAATTAAGGATTTTCTGCTGGAAAAAATTCCTATACCTTCAACTGGTATTAAGCACATGAAATGTGCATGTCAATCCAACACACTAACTACAAAATGAAGCCTATCTTATTTCATAATCACTGAAATTCTAATAAAAGGAAGTTTTGTCACATTTTTCATCATCAGGCTATGTGATGCATTTGATCAAACATGCGCGCGCGCACACACACACACACACACACAAAAAACAACACAACACCACCATCTTGTATTCATATTTTTTCTACGCAATTTGTACAGACATAAAATACTCTGTCTCTACAGGAATGAAAATATCAATGAATAGTCATGGCATGAACAAAGATTTACCTTAATTTATTAAGATGTTTTGGCGGAGGAACTCCCGTTTCACCCAGGTGCAAGAGCTGTGATTTCTTGTAGGCATCATACCGGAGGACAAAGCACAGCAACAGGCCCGGCATGACCACGTCTCCAAGGCCCAGCATGGAGAAGTGGCCCTGGTTATGAAGTGAAGGAAACACTAACTTCCCAGGTAAGGAGAGCTTTGGTGCTTCCTTTACAACTCCTCCAAGGTGCAATTTCCTTGCCACCAGACCCACAGGATTCTCTGCAGGGCGAGTCGCCACCTGTGCAGGTATGAAAACAGTTTTTACAATTGTAATTATAACTTGCAAATAAATCTGAAGTAGACGAGACCCGCCCATTAAATGAACATTGAGAGAGATATTTGACATATGTTTTACATTCTTTTTTATTATTTTGTACACTATATTGTATATCCACTCCATTTATAACCCTAAAAAGTATTTCATAAATCTGAGAAATAATACTGAAATTGATTATTAATTTGGTTATGCACTGCACACATTATAATGGAGGATACTATTATTTGATTCTAAATCTGACCAACGAAGTCCAGGAACATTCACTTTTTCCCCTAATGATAATATTAAAGTGTGCTTCTAATAAAATTAAAGCAATTTGCTACCTTCATTTTGCTAACTGTAATATCTCGCTCATGTCAAAATGACAACTATTTTCAAACGATAATTGCAACATACGCAATAAAATATTCTAGTAATGAACAAATGAAACTGGACGAGCATTCATTTATTAGTTTCAAGATATTAATAAACAGAGTTTACACAATACATCCAGCTAATTAGAGCAGGCAATAAAGCCCACTACCTTTCATTTAAAACTAATCTCACAAAATTAATTTGACTAGAAATCAAAAACTTTTAGATGAGAACTTTTCAAATATAAAATAAATAGATTTTCTTAGCATGTCATGCCGTATTCATTATGCAATCCATTTGAAAGTTGGGTTCTTGAGTTCAGATTACATTATTAATAAACAAAATAACACGTATACCATTCTGCCAAATTTTCAAGATTTTGAACATCCTTTTTCAGGACTTATATTAATAATAGTTAAAAGTATGAGTATATTCAAAACGGGAATACTGCTTTGGATGTGTTGAGACGTATAGATAGTAAATATTTTGTATGAAATTACAAAAAATGTAGATGATGGGGGTGAGTGGGAAGAGGCATGGTAGGCAGGCATGGCCCATATATTACAAACACCAAAGAAACAACAAAAATATTAGAAATTTTTGGAAGTAAAATGTACAAGACACATATATATCCATAAAATGCCATTTCTTTCACATAAAATTACAACATTATATTTAAAGCATATCAAAGAATGCATGGAGATCTACAGTGGACTCGTAATTTTCTGAGGCAAACTAGACCGAGACACACACACAACCAAGTGTGTGTTGCGAACATCAAGAGAATGCACTGGTGACAGATTCTCTTTCTCTTAAGGAAACAAGATCACCCCGATCACGCACATCAATTTCTCATAGGGACAGTTTTTTCTTTTAAGCAGTCTAAGCCGTAATTTTGGTTCGGAAGATTCTTATAGTTAAAATTGCATAGTTTAGAGTAAGGGTTTCCTCCACGATCATTCATCTTACGGATATTAAAAATGTCTATGACAAAGAATAAATAGAAGGCAGGTAAGTTCTTTGTGAAAGATCAGACCTTAAAAGGAGGTAGCTGCAGATGTGAGAAATTCAAGGTAAACAAAATACAATTTTTAAGATGTAAGGCTGAGATAGCTTTACAACAACTTTATTGAAGCAAATGCTTTTCATCATTGATGATTTCAAGTTTTTGCTATTTTGTTTGTGAATGAAGAACTCCCCCAATCACAATTTTATAAAAGTTAAAATTTGAAACAATAACTGTTTATTCCATTGCCAGTTCAAGTTTGAATGAAGCAAAAGGTGCTTGTCTTTGCACAACATTCATCACGCAGACGGTCATAGGCGAGATGACCACCATGCTGCTTACTTCCTATGCCTTTTCTCATCTTTCACACATGGAGAGGGAACATAAGTGCAGTACTCATGTTTCTTTTCTTCCTGTGTTCTTCTATAGTGAACGGAAAAGGCTCTGACAACTTGAGATTACCCTGAGCACGCTTTTTTAAGGCTATTTCGTTAATAGTTCAAATATTATTTTTTCAAATCAAATTAAATCTTAATAAATAATACCTAGAAATTTTATGAGTGGTATTACTGCAGATGCCAAAATCTTAAAATCTAGGTGAAATGTAGCGGAGCTGAGATTTTAAATTTGGACGAGGCAGTAATAACACGAACATTTCATGGTATGTTCAACATTATATCGGTCACCATAAAATCTCACTATTTATGCAAAAATTTACAACATTACAGCAATGGTAAACAAATTAATTCTGTTGCTGCAACACTTTTCTGTATGGGGTTTTGCTTGCGATATATCTATATCTATTTAAACAATATTTGTTTACTGTGATTTGAGAAAAGATGGATGCATATATTTCTCCTGAGCCTAATTAGCCGAATAGCCTAATAGCCTTTTAACAAATATTGTTAAAAGAATTGACATTCAATAAGTAGGTTGGCACGTCAACTTCCAGATTCATCGATAACTCCAAATTGGCAATAAATATGAGTACCGGAGGAGCGCTTTTTTATTCGGTGAAATGCCAGGTAAATGAGCTAATTTACCTAATACACATTTTTTAAACGCACTATTAATATTACAATTGACAATTATCTGCTAAACTGATATGACTTACTGTTCTTCTGAATTGTTTAAATCTGATTTGTAGAAAAAAATACCAGTTTTTTTCTTAATAAACATTTGACTTGCAATGCATCCATAGTTGCATATATACGTTGCTTAGAATGTTAAATTTCTGAGGTAGGTACAGTGAGGTAGGTACTAATGTACTTATATCTGTAGCATTCCATGTTATAAGGGGTTAAAGTCGCATGTGACTGATAAATAAATAGAGCCACAATTAAATTATTTAATAAGAATAGTAGAATTATACATAGATCATTCTGTTTTTATTTGGCTAATATTGGTATTAGCTACAGAGCACTTGCTAAAGTAGAGCAATTGATTGTGAGGCATCTTGTATGTTTGCAAGAAGTATTTTGGCATCAAAATATGTTGGAAATTACATGTTGCACAGACTCAATGATGTTTTACATAATTCCCAAAGGTCAGGCCTCATCAGTGAAACAGGAATGCATGGCAAACCTTCAATTGAGGTATAGTGAAGTTCAGTTTGGTGGTGCTCTGAAGAAATTTGCCACTAATGAAGTGGGACTCTACACTGTCATGCCTTAGGAACTTCACAAGCTATCTCATTCTTATCTAACAAAATCCTGGTATCCCTCCTCATTACTGTAAATTACATAATCTATCCTAGCCACCTCATATTGACTTAAAGTTAACTGAGCTCACCTTGACCATGACATTGGTGTTGAAAATGTAGGATGAAAAGAATACCCAGAAGACATCATATATCAGCAAGCCAGTGAGCAAAAGTGTGGATACTTTCAGGCTAGGCAATCGCACAAATGCAATGAATGCCACACACAAGCCCATGCCCATTGCTGCAACAAAACATATTCATGTAACTGTAGATAAAACATTGATTCCCTACCAACCATTTGAACTCGCCTGTTGTCTCTAAATTATTTTCTATTCTAATTTATTATTTTAATTTTATTTTTTTAATATTCATAAAATTCTATTATTTTAATAGTTTAATTGTATCATCAAACTAAAACTAAATTGAGATAAAATCAACGGGAAAGTGACATTTAAGGACTGCTTTAAAAGTCAAATTCTCATAAATTAATTTCAACTGTTTACCCTTGTTTTACATTTTTACATCATCCACCAAAGCTATTCCAAATAGGCTTACCCTATAATCTTTGCATTTTGCTCATTTCTCTACTCAAAGATTGTTGAAATAACAACCACATGCAAAATAATGTTAAATTTTAATACTCACCATCCATAAGTAACCAATGTCCAGTAAGAACCCATATACACACTATGAACACAGCCAGTGAGAATGATAGTAATTCTGCTCCAGTAAAACGTCCACACACACCAAATGAGATCCTGTAATGAATAAATGAAGTTTTCTAAAAATTAAATAGGACAATTGTACATTATAATAATGTACTAATTAATTATATTGATAATGTATCCCCCATGCATGCAAAATCAATTTTAAAAAAATACATTTCTAGCTTTCATTAAACTATTATCTACTTGCCCTTGTTCTATTGCTAATTTCCTAAGAAAATACTTCTTTGGACTATAATTTAATATCAAAAAGTGTTTATCTAATCTACAGAATGGTGCACTATTAGATATTTAATATATACCATTGGCCAGAAGAGGGTCAGGGAGCTTAGCTACATAAATTATTAAAGGCAGTGATCCACGAGTGTCAACTTACTTGTTTCCATCAGAACATGGTCGTATGACATACTGGCACATAGGAAGTAATAAGAATGCTAGGGCAACAGTTGCAATAACTGAGAACAGAATAGAAAAAAGCACAGTGATTAGTAGCGTCCAGATGTAAGGAAATTTCATATTATTTTCCACATTGTTAAAACAGCAAATATATACTGTACTTTGTAAGACACTTCTTGACAAGCATGCTTATTCCGGGGAAAAAATTATTTTGCTTGCACTATCTAAGATTTTAAGTTATAATAGTATAAATTTGATTGAAAACTATAGCAAATGCACCTTTTTTTCTCCTAGCAGTAAATATTATTTTTCCCAAGAGCATGATAAATAAAAATATAAATAAAAGAACACAATTTAAATGAGAAATACCCCAGCATAATGTCAAAAATTACTGAACTGTTTTTATTACTATTTTTAGCACTGTTTTTAATGAATGCAATTTTTGAAAATAGGTGTTCAATGAAAATGAGACCTGTGCCATCCATTAAGCATTGCGTGTTGTATACGGGGGGGATTAAAGATAAAGTTTGGAGCAGTTTTTGAAAAAACTTTGAAAAATGTGATTGAGGCTTCGTGAAAGTACCCCTAAAAATCAAAATATCCATTTCAAACTTGCAGGATCTCGATTTCCTTCAAATTGATCTGGGAATAACAATTTTGGAGAAAATTAAAAATTTTTTATCTTTTAATTGTAAATTTCAGATATTTATGTAATTGTGCAATTGAACTACTTTGCACACTTCTCCCAATAGCATTTTAGACAAATTCACAGTTCATCCTCACATTTTAAAAATTATCAAATAAAATATATTGGGTTAAAAAAGAACAGATTTCAGAAAAATATTGAATCGCTTCAATGATCTTGAATATCAGCCATAAAATCCCTGATTATAGGTCTTCCCAGCTGTAACTTGCACACATGCCAAGATTAAAGGTCTTATTAGTCGCTATTCCAGCAGAAGGTTAAGACCTGGTAAGGTGGGAGGGGAGATTCAAGGCAATTTTAATAGACTACCAAAATCCTAATTTTGTGTAAATATACTATAATAACACAGACACACACATATATTTATATATATATATAATATATATAATTATATATCATATATTAATATATTTATATAATATTATATATTATATATAACTATACTATATACTATAAAATTCTTTTCAATTTGTCAACCATATTGATTTCTTGTGACATGGATGTTTTCTGCATAAATTCATTCAATAGTAGATCTTTAAATGATGTCGTGCACTTTCAGTAAACATCTGAGCAACTGTTGAGTAATAATACAAAGAGGAGGATAAGTTTTGGCATGCCACACTTTCCCTAAAAATGTAATAACGAAATTCAATGAAGTAGATTTTTAGTTTCAGTTCAGATGTACACACAGTACATTTGGGCAATCCGGGAATCAATGAACTTCATTTTGATAGACAGTCTGCTTTAACAATGATGCTGTAAAGAAAACATAGGACATTAACACGTCATGTGCTTTAAAAACTTACTTGCAGTGCAGATAGCAAAGAGCATCTGCATCGAGTCGAAGAAGAAGAACATTACAAGAAGCGATACTGAGGCACCAAGAGGGAGACAGAGAGCCTGCATTGTGTCCAAAGTCTGCACATCTACAAAAAAAAACAAGATTATTGATGCTCAAGGTAGATCACAAAAGCATTGCTTCTCAAAACAAGGAAGAACAGTAGTGTAATGATTAAAATGGTACAATGGGACTACCAGAGATTGAAGTATTTAACAATTTGCATAAATAAAAATTACATCAAAACCTTCCTCAGAAATACCAATTTATGGATTTTAAATTACCATTAACCCTTTGCCTGTTTCTCAAATACTTACAAGAACTCTGTTTGATGCAGGAATGTTATTTGGAATTAGTTATTGAGAAAACAATGCAGTTTATTTGCTTTAGTTACTACACTGTACTAAATACCTAAAAAAAACCTATTTTCATAAAAAGCATTCTAGCATCATTATTATTATTATAAATATGTGTCTACCTTACGACCATGAGAATGTCTGAAACAGGTTATCAAACCGAAACTAACGAATACACCAAATTATCACTGAGATACAGCAATTTAATGTTACAAAACAGAAATGGACGTGCATTAGAATTCTTCTTGTAATTTAGATGTCAAATGTGATATTTTTGACTCCTACCATATAAAAATCAAATTATTTCCAACAAAGCAACAAACTTAGAAAACTGAAAAGATTACAACTGGAAATAAATAGTACATCTAAAAGGAAAAGTTCACAAGAATAACTTTCAGAACGTTGCAAAACATTATTGTCCCTGGGGTCAAAAGACTACCCCAAACAGAGTCTAAGGGTTACAAAGTGCAAAACATTAAAATTTGACCACTAAATTTTTCTCCTAAAACTTACTGAAATAGAGTTATAATGCACATGTACAATGCCTCTTGAAGGTATTAACTGAGGACGTAACAGAATTGGTGTTGATATAACAAAGCACTGACTTTTATACCGGTTTATCATAAATGCCGGTATATTTAAAAAGAAATTAAAAATTAAAAAGGGAAACATTTCACACTACTCTTCTTATTTCCCACATTATACATCCAAATTCAGTAAAATGATAACATAATTTTGTGTGAAAAACTCATTATCAAAAAGTTGATGAGAAAAAACAACAATATATTTTGTAAAACTGGCCTCATTGAATATATTTGCTATTAAAAATGAAACTCATTTACGCTAATGAATTTTCTTTCACCAAGCACCAAATTACGCTAATTGCAAAGTTCCTGGTTATAAAATTATAACAGAAACTAATTCCTTTTATTTTTTTTATTTTTTTTTTTTTTTAAATACTCACATTCAGCAAAGCGTTGTTTTCCTGGTATCACTAGTTTGGAATATAAAATCTACATAAATACAATTGACGATTGGCCTGTACACATCGAAGTTTGATACCATAATTAATTTTTATATCAGATTAATTGGATACTTAAACTTTTAAAATATATTTCAGATTGTTCAGGTAAAACAAGGATATAAAGCAAAATGTTAACAATTTTTAAGAAATCCCAAATGAAATATCTCTTAACACTTCAATCTTGGCCAATGGGAACTAAAAAACATCTCTTTTTTTTTATCGTGTAATAAAAACATTAAACAAAGGCCAAGAACACACAACAATTAGTAGCATGAACATTGTAATATTGTGAAAAATTCTCACTGAATCTACACAAACTCCAAAAACAATTGTTCAATTCAACTATTTTCATACTGAAACACTTCTCTTCATAATGCAATTCATTCAACCCTATAGCAAAAGATAACACTCTAGCTTTCAATTTGTACAGCAATTTTTGCAACTCTGCCCCTGGCACGCTGATGTGCCTGCCCCTGGCACATCAGCTGTTGACAGTTGCTATTGACTGTTGTATCCAATCGGGGTCTTAAATGTCACCATAGTGACATCACTATGGTGATGTTCCTCGATTGGATGAAACAGTCAGCAGCAGAGTTGCCTAAATCGCAGTGATAGTGAAGCCCCAATACAATATTTTCAGTGCTATGATGTTTCTTTGAGGTTTTCGTCAGATCTAATTCAAAATTGAATATCATTTGCCCATTTCATATTTCACTAGATTGGAGAGGAAAAACAAGAAAAGGAAAATGAGAAAAAAACAAAGAGGAAAACGGAGACAAAATTCGAGAAAGATGCAGAACAAGAAGATAAAATATTAGGGCCAACAACCCATACCGTCAAAAGAATCCTGTTCAGAAACTTAAAAATGGCAGCCAGTTGGTTATTAGGAAAAGACATTGCAAACGGAAAAAGGAATATGATTTATAATTTGGTACATGGAATGTCTTGTCCCTACACCGAATTGGTGCCTTAACTAATCTACTGGGGGCATTGAAGAAATGAAGAATGGATATATTGGCAATGCAAGATGTAAAATGGAGAGAAGAGAAAAGAACAGGGAGGACATGTAATATGCAATAGTAGTAATAATACAGAGCCAAAGAAAGAAGTGGAGGAGTAGTGGAGGAAAAGATGCTTGTAAACTACTAAAAAAGTTAGGTTTTTTTGAATGGTCAAAAGTAAAAAAGCATTTTTTAAACCATCTTACCACTCGCGGAACATATCAGAAACACTTCATAAATTATGATTTTCAGAATAAGTTATTAGTGAAAATCACCAATTAGCAAAATGGTGGAATTTGTTCCGTGCATGTATAATTGTTTGAGAAAATTTTTCAATGCACAGTACTTGTCAAAATCACATTATTCAACTTAACATTGCGGCACAGCCGACTGATGCAAAACGAGAGTACAATACCAATTGAAGAAAAAGTTCAAGGAATTGTGAAGTAACAAATTTGTGACAATCATTCCTCTGTGCAAGAGTTTGTTGCAAATCCAGTAGAACATTTTGAAGGAATTCATATTTCAAAATAATAAAATGGAAAAGGTTTTCTTTGATGAAAACATTGGACTTATGGTATCATACTAGAGTGTACAATATTTCATATTTATGTAGTCACAATTTTAGGACTGGTTGGGTTACAACATGGAATAATTCAATTCACACTCCTGAATAAGGATTAATTTTGTTTTTCCAAAATACTTTTTAATGAAATATACAGTTCAAAATGATAATTGTTTATCAAGTATCAAGCAATGCCCATAGGCTGAATATGGTTTCTTCTGCCTCCTTTTATTAAGGTATCAGATGTGTCACCTGGAACCTTTCTGAAAAATTTATTTCATATTATACACTAGTTACGTGAGCTTTGGCAAACACATTTTCTACTATGCCTTGATGTAATCAGAGCTATTACTAATATGACTTCCATGAAAATTGTCAACTTAAATTTTGGTAAAAGCAATATGGTCATTATTAAGAATGTGATCAAGGGATGTAATATGTATTTTTAAAAGTTTTGGGGTTATGCATTAGAATGAGAATACAAGTTCATTAGGACATGTGATGAAGGCAAACAGTCTTCAAAACATTATGTAACCAGCATACAATACGAAATAAATTCATCACGAAGTTTCAAGCTGTTGATTGTTCTTAATGCAAAGAGCCAGAAGAAACTAATAATGGTGAATGTTTGAAACATCTTGATAACTTTGATAGAAATATTACAAAATGGTATGGCTGATATGGTAGTATTTCATCCCTTAAACAACATAACCCCTCAGACATTATATTTGTCTATTTATATTCAGATTCGCATTTCAGCACCATCAAATTTACATGTAGCTTCAACTGACATTCATATTTCATAAACAATAATATCTCTCTGAATTTTTACCTCACCACTCAGTATTCAAGGCTTTGCTTTAAGAAGCCTTAAAAGGCGGAATTCTTGTGAAGTCACGCTTACACTACATTTCATCTGAGAAATCTTAGGCTGAACATTGTTGAAATACTTTATGGCAAAATTTTGAATTTTTTTTATTTTGTTTCAAAATAGAAAGTAAGTTTTTGCTCAAAAAAATATAACATTTTCCAAAACTATTCACATTACATTTTTTTAGAGCTAAACCTTACACACTCAACTCTTTCGTTCATTTTACATGAAACTGCCCCAATTTTTTAAGCATTTACAAATAAAATGAAAACTCTTCAAAATCAGAATTGATGTTTGCCTTGGCACTGGAGTAGAGCAAGGGCAAGTACACAAGAGCATGCATCTTGAGAAGGGAGAAAAAAATTTCTTGTAGCAATGCAGAATTGGCAACAGAAGTTTCCAAATTAAATCATTCAATACATGTTTCCACTGCCTTGCCAGCATATTTTAGCAGCATCATTAATCATTGAATTTTTTTTAAATTTATGAAGAGGTAAGTTCAATTAAAATCCCACTTGCTGTTATAACCAGAATTGTGGAAAAGGTTTCCATAATTTTAGAGATAGGTAATTTAACATTATAACGGTATTATTTCAAAACTGAAAACGGCATAATTTATCTCATTCCAGCTACAATTGACAATTACGATAAACATCCACAAAGACTTCCAAAATGACATGTGCTAATTCTATCTTCATTTAAACATTCTCAACACTGCTCCACCCTCTAAACACTAATAGGAACCAATGCCTTATTTTTGGCTTGGGAACCTTTATCTCCACTTTAATCTTTACTTGTAAATTGAGAAATAAGCTCCTTGCATATGTTGCAATAGTAAGGGTTCCCACCAATAAATATTAATCACAATAGAATCATTCTTCTTAACCCTCATGCAAGTTTACCACAAAATGTTATGTAAATTAATATTCACAATATTAACAGCAAAACTTAATCTTGTACATCATCCTCTATAGCGAATGTATGTAACTGTAAAAAACTCAATTTGGTGTAACACAGCAATAGTCACTAATTTTGTAGTATCAGCACAAAATTTTAATACAAATACGTAAACTCAACCTTACATCACTAATAATGAACAATTAATACTTAATACAAAAATTTTGTCAACCATCTCTAATGTGCAATAGAAACTAAATTACACCACAAATTGTTTATGAAGTTACAGACAAATCTTTCACAAATAAATTCTATGTCAAATGCTGGAATACAGACTGAGAAATGCATATGGAATTGCTCTTACTGTTATCGGGTGAAGTGCTTGCAGCTGCAGGCAGCCCGGTCAGACTTGGAGCTCGCTCCTTTTCTTTTTCTCGTTCACGTGCTTCTTGCTCCATATTTAATGACCTATATCAAAAGATGTTCTGTTATTTCCTGTTTTCTTTCACAAAAATTCTCAGAGCAAGAAAAATGTTTGTTTCCATGATAAAGTTCTTTCAGTTCATTGCTCACCTTTTACACACACATTAAAAATCTTTCGTTTTTTTCCCCTACAAATTATAAGCTCTCTTTCCTCATATTTAATAACTGTACTTTATCATGTTTTCTTTAATAAAAAATTAGGTTCTTGCTCCATCAGTCTACTTCAAGGATAACACAATTCTGGGAAGTGCAAGTTCAAGTTGAAGTTTCTTCAGAAAAACAATTTTTTTGAAATCTTCAATATCCCAACTTACAGTTTTTCCTCAATTATTCAAATTCAGATGGGTAGAGTGTGTAACATAGGAGAAAGGAGTGGGCTAGGTTTTGCAAGGTCTGAAGAAGAAAAAATAGAAGAGAGAAATTAGATTACATTAACAATACTAGGAAATTAAGGAAAGCAGCAAGACATACTATGTAAAACTTGTTTTAATAAAAATTATTTAACAAACTATTAAGGGATAAATGACACCACACTACAGCCACGGAAGTAACAAAAAACTTAACTAAATCAGTGAAGTACTTAAAGAATCATAAAATGTATGCTGGGTAACGCAAAGTAATGCAATAAAATGTCCAAAACTCAACATCATATTGATTTTCATAACGTGCCTGATCCTTAAGGAACTATATTATTTTCCCTGATCTATTTTCCTAAAGAATAGAAATCATTCCTATAAAAAGAAGTAAACACTTTCGCATGGTCAAAACAATTCTACTAACAAAAACAGTGGATATCATCTTCAATCGAGAGAGTAAATTAAATTCACAAGAGGACTGAGGACACTTAATGGCTTTTGGCCAATGGTACAGTGAATGAAACTTTCTCAGCACTTTCTCCCACCAACTGCTTCATTCCCCTCCCACTATCATCTCCTAGCCACAGCAGCTTTCACTGTACCTATACACCTTGCATTTGCTTTACAGTTGACTAGCAGAGCATGCAGTAAAAGGCAAGGCCAACTTTTTATACTTACATCAAAATCTTGTTTTTAAAACTTAAAATACTAAATGCCAATCCCCTACATTTCCTTCTCTTTGACTACTTAATTTCCACTAATATGTGATTGAAATGAAAGATTTTAAAAATTCCAATAAACCTACATACAACATAACACAAACATCAAAATCTCAATTATGCATATGTTACATATGCAAATCAAATGACAGCATCCACACAAACTATAGTAATTTTAACATATGAACATTTTCAATGAAAATGTCCAACAATTACTGAAAAAATGTAGCAAACTTACCTAAAGCTGCCGTACACAATCAAGAGAATTGAAATTAAAAATGTAGATACTCTTGATGAGTCCATAATGGAGTAAGCCCTGTATAGAGACAAAAAAATAGAATTATACTTCTAATTTTGAACATGATATATTTAGTAAAATTGCCATAAACACTCTAAACTCAAATGAATTCTTGAAGTATATCATATCATAATACTTCACATGCATCTCGAGCACACCACAGTCATTTCTCATTTCTTAAGTTCTTAAAGAGATTATACAATTATTTATTTAGGTTACATAACCCAACAAACGAATATTTTGAATCACACGAGTGTTAAATATGTAAACTTTGAATATATAAATGTTGAAACACAGATGTGAACACAAAGAGATGATAAATTTGCACAGCCAACAAACGATTCGCTTGGAAACGTCATTGGTGAAATGTAGAGCAACTGCACACACCACACGGACAGCAACACTTTTTCAGGAAATGTAATAAATTCTGAGCTCACCATTGATAATCGGCCGGTGTGGCCATGGTAAGGGCCTCCGTTGGCTCGCTAGCACCTGAAAAACAACATAGTTACACTTCCATAGAACAGCTGTCATTTTCGAGGTGACTATCCAGATATTATCGGGATGTAATTCAGCATGGAAGAAAACATTTCAATACTGCTTATTCAATTAACTCTTCACTTCTCAAACCACAGAACAGTCAATTAATAATAAAATAACTTTATTAACTACAGTAACACATAATTCTGAAAAACAGGCGTGTCCTGCTGGATCTTTGTTCTCATTTTTGTCGTGGGAAAGCACGGAAGGTTTTTCAGATTTGCTTCGACTACTTACCTGAAACGAAACTTCATTTCCTAATGAATACTGAACTGAAATATCAACTCCAAACACTGTTCATAGCATTCGCCAATGCTCATAGTCCACAAAACACCACCTTAACTTCATTTTTGCACTGCACTGTCTCGCGAGATGCCCAACCTGCCTGCCATTTTAGTAAACATAATCACGTGATAAATAGTTCAGAAAGTAATAACCAGATTTATTCAGTACAATGGACAACAATTGACAAAAAATTATGCCAGAACTTATGAATAATAATAAATTGAACGTAATTCGTCATAAATGTAATAATTCAATTTTAAAATGTTGATAATATATGGAATATCGAACAAAAAAAGGTATTCATCCGCGTTATCAGTGGTTCGGATACTCAGTGTGCGCGCTTAGTTTGCGCTGTATGAATGTAGATATTCTGAAGTATTATTCGAAAGAAAAATGTTTTGAAGTGATAAGATTTGATTTGTTATACTTTCATCGTTTGTGTTATAAACTTAGTACCTGTCTTCATTTCATGAACATATGCACTTCTCCATTGATTTATTATCAAACCCCGCAAATTTTGAAGTTCAGTTCATTGTTAATTTTCACGCAAAACACACTCAGAGAATATCCTTATACATTTAATTTATGGCATGTACTGAATAATTTATTAAAATGTAGAAGCGACCTCCTTAAGAGACCTACATTAAACATTTATTATATTCCAAAAAGTGAAATGGCAAAGACGAAAAATTGCTAAAATTTATTCTCAACAAAAATGTCGATTAAAGTGTGATCAGCACGCATAATGATATTCACGTCTTAGCATGGATAATAATCCCTTTCTTCGAGAAAAAAAACACATTGTTTTCGCCTAAAACAATGTTCATAGAAAATATACCAGCCCACAAACTTTCTCTACAAAAGTTTCGAACACTGGTATCTGTTCGGAATGAGTGGATTTGGGTCTCTCCGACAGATCGTAAATCCGCTGAATACAAAGTACTGTGTACGCATGGTTACCAGAGCCACCGCCCCACATGCGGACGTGCAGGTGCGTACAACTTCCGTTGTGGGACTTGCGCTCCGCTACGTCTTAATAGTGTCATTCACCTAACGCTGTCATGTGTGTTCCGCGACAAATTTGAACTTCTAATGAGGATCCTACGAAAGAATTGCAGATTGACAGCCATTAATAAAATATCGTATTCATCGCGAGAATATTTCGCCGTAAACAAAACAATTACAGGTAATTTGCCATTGAATACATATAGATGATATGCACTGTGCTGTACTGTTTATCTTAATTTCACTCTTAAAACAAGAACACTGTTGGAAACAAAAAAAATGACGTTAACGTTTACCATCCAAAATGTAAATGTATTTGCAATCTTACACAAAAAAGCCAGTTTTAAATCAATCTTACAAGAAATTAAGAACAATGTTTCTACAAATTACTTATCTACAACGGTATATGTAAGTGAGCGCAGACTAAAACAAGAGGGGAGCAATTTCATTCTCGGCTCCCTTTTCCACTAAACTTTTTACTTATGTACGACATATTTTACCAGTAAATAAAAAACATACAACAAGAAAATTAAATAATAACTGGAGCCTAATAATAATATTAATATATACGACAGACAGGGTTGCTAGGTTACACAAGGGCATCTTCCAAAAATGTGTACAATTACACAAATTGTCAACTTAAAAAAGGGGAAACTCATAGATTGGAAATATTTGTGGAAATATTTTTTTAACATAAAGTTTCGAGACTTTTCCAAAAAATTCCCAGAGGCCATGGACAATATGTATGTATGTATGTATGTATGTGGACGAAAATCGTCTCGATCATTGAATCCGCGTACATCTGACAATATTGTAAGGTATAAGAGTCTGAAATCTGGGCGCCTCCCCCCCACCCCGTCCCCCTAGAATGGTCATGGACCTATAGCAAAAATGCATATTAATGGAATATGTATTTTTTTTATGTATAGACGTATAATATTCGAGTAAATGATGTCCGTTTGTGAGTCCGTTCGTTCTCACTGTTTCACCACTTCCCGTCCACCAATCGAGACATGAAGTGTCATTTGACGCATGTCGGTCACCTGGTGGGGATATATTTCTGCGGATCCATCCAAAAGATTCTAAGAAAACCCTCCAAAACCGTGTGTTTTTGCGATTTTTAGGCAACTTAAACGTGCTTCGAGCGGCTCACAGCAGTGTGATCAATTTCTCAGTTGATTCCTTTCAATGAGGCATTGTTTTTAAGCATATCCTTTAAATACATTCTGAAGGGGGAAAACAACTAGAAAACCGTGTTATTTGAGTGTTTCAAGGCACTTACAGTGGTGAAATGCCGTAAATTACTACAATTACTGCCTGTCTGGCAGAACGTGAAGCTCATAAATCATGAGTGACAATATTTAAACCTAATTAAGCGAAGAAACATACCCTTTTTTTAAGAAAATAAATTACTTCTGTCAATGAATAACATAAATTGAAAACGAATACCTCTTTGAATATTTTTAAAAGCTAAATGAAGATTTGATTATTAAAACACTAGCGAAACCCGTCGTCCCACTGTCCATCTCCCTCCCCCTCCCCTTTCTCCTTCCATCTCTCTTTCTCAATCCATCTTTTATTTTCTCTCTGCCTCTCTCTGTCGTCTCTCTCTTTTATCTCCCCTCTCTCTCTTCTTCTCTTTCTGCCTCTGTCTCTATGTCCCTGTCTGTCTGTCTCTTTCTGCCTCTTTCTCTGTCACCCTCTCTTTCTCTCTCTCCCTCTCTGCGTCTGTCTGTCTGTCAGTCTCGTCTCTGTCTGTCTTTGAATATTAATAAATAGTATAATGAATATTAATTAATATTTACATAGAATATTAAAGAAGAGTAAAACATCGCCTTAATAGCAATTTTTATTGAAAAATGTAGAACTGTTTTTAAGAGAATGGCGTTTATGCGTTTCTGTAAATGCGAAATTTGAAACTCTTTTCCCAGAAAATTTTTGAGTTTAAGAGAAACTTTATTAGCAGTCATTTGAGTCACTTTAACTCACAAATACAATAGTGTTTACAAATATCTGGAAATGAGAATATTAAATGCGTGAGACTTATTTAAAACTAGTGGCGCTGCCAAAGTACATACTTTCTCCAGGGGCGGATCACAGACGAATTTGGGGGCTTGTATGTACAAATATATATAAAGATAATATAAATTATAAACAAGGTATATTATTTATCAAGGAATGCTTTTAACAAAATTAAAAGATTACATTTAATATTTAATGAATAGGTTATGGTTTAAAATAGTAATAATTGGTTATTAAACTCGTTGAATTAAGAGCTTCTTAAGAGAAATGAAATTTAAATACAATATATACGCTACCCATTGGACCGACTTACATATCCTTAACTGCCGACCGGGAGAGGTGGTTCAGGGCATTAACTAATGCCTAATGTCTAGTGCTACTGACCGGGAGATTCTAGGTTCGAGTCTTGATGATGGCAGTACTTTCGTCACTAGCCAGATAGCTAGGTCAAGTTCTATCACTGTGTGGGAACTAACTCTAGCAGCCGGCTGCTTTGATCGGTAGTTCTCCGGGATTTCTCTGACCAACACTAGGCGAATGCCGGGACACTACCCTACCAAAATGACCGTGCGTGATCTTTTCTTCCCATTCCTTGTCCTATCCTACCCCTTTCTTACACACACTTACATGCACCACCCTGCCACACGTGCAGGGAGACGGATCGAGAGCTTTGAGATGGTCCCAGCTGGGGGATACCCCTCTGGTGGGGGTACTCTCGCTAACCGAAGGTAAGTCGGCGCCGGATTTAGCCATCCAGGGGGGGGGGAGATCACCGCTACTTCCCGAGCAAAAACAGGTACTACACTTACGGGACGAATGACGGGGTTGGCGCACCCGGAATCATTATTAATCAATCTACCAATCAACGTAACAGCTGTCAGTCCGTCCGTGGACAACTGCAGGGCCTAAACCGTTCAGCCGATTTTCTCCAAAACTGATATTCGCTGATCGAGCTTAATGGACTTGGGATTCTAATGGGTATTTTAATTGACGAGTTTTTTTAACATGAATCTGGCATTTACCTTCTTATTCGTTCGCCCGAACACGTTCCAGAGGGCGCTTGTGATGCGTAGTGGTATGAGTGGCGGCAAGTTAACTCTGGTTAACTCCGAGGATCTGAGATCGGGTCTCGTAGCAGAACATTTTGTTTGTGGAAAACACTTTTGCTGGATTATGTAATAGGATAATAATTTTGAAAATTTGTTCGTCAATACTACCACCAATTACTGGGGCACATTATTGTTAGATTATTGTCGTTACTTCCTGCAGAAATATTACAGGTTTATTTATCTTTTATTATCGCTTAAATCTTTCCTCACGTCGAATCAAACTGTCCCAACATAAAATAGTATTTTGAAGATGAAAAAAATAGACTTTTTCACTGTAGATCAAACTGAAATCGACGACAAAAGAGAAATCAAATCAGTATCAGTGATAAAGAACGAGATGCTATTGAAATTAAAAACGCGTCCTAGTAATTTTATTCCGCAGCTGGTTGAGTTCAACTGATCAACGTAGGTCAAATTACCGTATCATCTTACTTTCAAGTATACACAGAATTTTATGATAGTGAAATATAACTTTTTAGAGACATCGAATAAAAGCAACGAAAACGCACCTGATTTGAAATGCTTGCTTTTGAACATTGTGCATTCGAGGCGAATTTGAAACTGCAGTTAATACTTCACACAATTATTTATCAGTAAAAAATAAATAGTTTCAGCATAGAAAATACCAATAAAAAGTGCAAGATATTTTACCACTTTCAAAACAAAACATAGCTTTTGTTAATATGAACAAAAATGTTGACATGGTTACAAAGTTTAAAAGCAAGCGCAGAAAGTGTATTTTCTCAAATAGCTCTAGGAATTGATAAAAAATCACTTTAAACTGTACATACATTGGGAACTGTTTTAGCAATTAGTGTTTAACCTATTCTACTCCGTGTGTTTTTTTATAAATTTCAAACACAAATTATGCAAAATTCCACTCTTTTCAAAAAAAACTTTGTCTCTGAAAATTCTATTTTCAATTTTATAGTTTTAAAATGTTAACCTTTTTGTAATTTTCGAAAAATATGGAAAGTTCATCGAAAATGTGAATAGCACCATATTTTAACCACCCCTTATTGCATGCAAGGAAAAAAATTAGAGCGAATTTTGAGAAAAATTAAAAAAAATTAATTGCCTATACTATTTCACTAAAAAATTACACAAAAACAGCTCACATTTTCAAAAAATTGAAAATAAAATTGAATATCTGTCTTTAGTGAACAGATTTCATTAAGAAAAAATTGTATCTTCAATATTGTAGGAAGTATAGTTGTAGGAAGGCGCCCCCAGAAAATGGCACTTTTGTTATTTAAAAAAATTGTGAATTTTAACGAACCTGATACAAGTATGAGGCCTGCACCATTCTCTTAAACTTTCTTTTTGCTACTTGAGGACAAATATAATCAATAAATTTGCTGCAAATTTTGAGAAAATTTTGAAAATGTTTTCAGTACCCTCAAAAATCAAAATATCTGTTTGGAATTCATACGGCCTCGACTTCATTAGAATCAAACGGGGAACATCAATTTTGAAGAAAATTGGCTCAACTGTTTAGGAGCTATCGTTGACCACAGACTGACAGACAGACATTTTGCCTTTAATAGATTTTTTGGTATCGAGGATTCACAAAACATGGATTCTGGCTATATCACGAGTTAGAGGAAGTAATCTACTACACTGTATAGCAACAGGATTCATTCACTTTTTCGCTACTAGGAACCGGCAATAATAATTTTATTTCAATTATGGTGCATTTTAAAATTTATGAGATGAATATTTATTAAAGTAATATACTCTATTTAAAAATAATATAATTATTTAAAAGTATTTAGAATATTTTGTAAATTAATTGTAATAAAATAAGTAGTTTTATAAAAATGTAACATTACAGTTTTATAAAATAATTAATTTAAATTATTTTTGTTTAAGTAATATTAATTTTAATAAAGCCATACGAAAAGCAGTTTGCTTATGTTAAACAATTTATTTTTAATAATCTGTATTGCTCACAACATGTATTTGATGCACAAGTTATAAATATAATATATTGTAGCTGCTTGAATTTTGTTTTATATTTTGAAATTTTAATATAATGCTGCATATATGTATAATAAACATGAAATACTCTTTTGCCTTTGACAGTTGATTCGAGTGTAATGAGTCATGTTTGTAAGCACAAAATTGTTAAATTTCTAGGTAAATAAAGTTTAAAAGCAGTACAATTGAAAGATGATTTATTAATACGGGATATTCACATGCTGAACATTATCCTGCACATTATGTAATTCGGAACTAAAGTTCATCACTTTATTAATATATGTTATTGGCTCAGCTTAATAAAATTATTGTTTGCATAATTATTATTAAATTTCTTCTCAAAATGCAGAAAAATTAAATATTTTATAATATACATTTGAAGATCTACTAAATAAAATGTTAAAATATATTTTATTTAATGTGTCCCAACTTTGGGGGGGGGGGGGTTATGATGGTGATTTGGCAGGTTGGCATTTTAACTTGTAGTAATTAAGGAGTATGGATAATTGGTTGGGAATTTCAAGGGATAAAGATATTTATTTATAACCAAAAGTTTGGTATATTTTTAAATCTATTCTACATAAATACGTTACAATCAGAGATGAATATGCTTAGTGTAATAAAAATACAAATTCTTGGTACTTGCAGTCAACTTCCTATTCAGTCATTTTGACAATACTATTAGTTTACATGATCAGTTTAATCACTCAATCAATAAATAAAAAACACAACTTACATGCACAGTACATAAAATCTTTAGGAAATACAACAAGGTTTATAAAAGCCTATCTTACACTAACAAATTACAACAAACATAAGCACATGTAAATATTCTTCAGACCTTGCAGTCCAGCTGACAAGTTTGTGGTAAATAATTTCAGTTAGAATATACAGAGACCAGTGAGGACTAGTTGATAAAGTCACAAATCAGTTTTTTTATCAACAACTTCATTAGCATTTTCAATCAATGATCAGATAGCTAATATTATGTTTTCCATTATTAAAAAGTAAAATAAATAGACAAATTCAAAATAAGTGTGACATTTGGTAAGTATTAAATCACAAGGCTTGTATGAAGGAGCTTTTGAGAGGTACATTTAAGTTTTCTGGGAGTAAGCAACAGTAATGGAACAAAGAAAAGAATAATGGAATTTCTATCTCTTCATTGTAATTTTTTAATCACAAACAATGTCTATGATGAGATAAAGTTAGACAGAATAACAACTGTTCATGGAAAGTTTCATGACCTAACAAAATTATATGATGTGATCTGAAAGATGACAAAAAATAAATGAATAATAAGAATTTTAGAGTTAAGTTAAAATAAATTTCACAAATTACATGAAATTTCACATAAAATTTGAATTCACGTTTATTTTCAGGATCCACTTATCATGACATTAAGATTTTTACAGTTCCGAACGGAAGAGTCATAAAGTCACTCTCTCCCAATTTGGCTGCACATTTGACCCCATTATCTCCAAGTATTCAACCTAATGCTATAAAATTTTAGGAGCACTTTGGTGGAAATCTTTTAAGCAGATTTAAATATTTTAAGTGGTGTTTCTATTTTACAGCATAGTAAATTACAATATTTTTTCTTAACATTTGTGCAGAAATCCAGAAGTATGAAACTTACTGTTTGTTGGATTGCGGCAATATATTATGATTACTCTGTAAATGAGTATTTAATGATGTACATATCATTTTATTCAGAAAATTCAAAAGATTTAAGAAATGTTAGAACTTAAAAACAAAAAAGGAAATTGTTGTTTTATGACTCCCTTTAAATGTTGTTGAAATATATTAATAATGAAAACAAATTCACAACATAACTGAAGGTGATAGTGGGGATTATACTGAAAGGAAAAAAAAATCATGAAAAAAGAAATTTGTACAATTGCATTGATGAATAGAACAAATTACGTAACAAATGATTCATACATTATTAACGATTCATACAATCTAAGGTAAGGGTTGTACTAAGCTATTATAACTCGCAATGCTTCAATTATCAGTTCCTTACTACAACTCAAAAGCCAACAATTTGCACTTGCCTTATATCTAATCTTCTGCCTTATTTAAATTCATTACTTATATATAAAAAATAAATTATCAAAAAATTATTTAATGTGGAATATTGTTTTTCATTACTGGACGGTAGTGGATGGACACCTCATAACATGAGGGAAACTTAATACAAATGTGAAATCATTAAAATATAGTATTACTATTGACCTGGCTGTGAACAAATGACTCATAACCCATTGATGCAAACTCCATAAAAAGTAATATTGATATTTCAGATCTTGGTCACAATAATCTTCTGAAGAATAGATGCTAATGAATACAACTTAAATGCAGGAGTATGGAAAAACCTGAAAAACATTCTTTTATTTATGATTCAGAAGAAAGGTGTTTTTCAAAATTATCAATGTAATGTATCAGTGTAATACTTAATGTTTTCACTGTGCATCACTAACCTTCAAAATTAAAAATTATTTTTTTCTCTAATTTTCAACCTTTGAAAACCAAAGATGCTTTGATTAAAAATTGTAATGCATAGCGATTAATTGATTTAAAATTATTGTCCTAATACCATTTCCAGATTTTAAGACAAGAAACTAGTATACTTATAGGAAATATCAATTAGTAATAGAAATAATTGGTTGGAAAGAAAAATGGAAGAACCAAGATGGAAGGGTAGAAAAAAAAAAAAAGCACAAAGTAGTAACGTGTTCAAAATGCACACAATAAAACCTTCCATGTGATACTGAGTTTTGTTTATCAAGCAATTAGAGAAATGCAAAAATTGAAATATTTAACTTTGGCAAGAAAAATTGATTAATCAGAAGTTAAAATAAGCATAAAAAATCAAAAGCAGATTGTCTCTTATCTGCACTTCTTAACAAATAAAAATTTAAAACTTAACCCCATTAATTACTATTTTGTTTAATGTGACTACTTCTTTTGAACACTCTCCTTCATATCATGGCCTTTGGTTTCAATAGGCAACAGAAAACATGCAATAGCTGCCATCAGTGCCACTACTCCATACACAGCAGTTGCCAGCAACAGTGAAGCCTGCATCAAAACCTAAAAGAAAATATCTTTGGTATAGTCATAGTAATGAATCTGTTTCAAATAAATACAATACAATACGATACCCCCCTCACCAGAAAGCCTCAATCTTTTGTATCTTATCAACACATTAATTTCCACTGACCACACAAAAGATAAAGCAGTTAATTTTACATCAAGCACAACCAGGTTTTCTCCTTCATTTGACCTTTCATTCTCCTTCATGTTTTAGTTCTTTTCTTCATTCACTATATTTCGTCATTTTAAGTTATTTTCAAAGATAAAATAAATCAAAATTTTCCATCACGTGCACACTAAGTATCCATTTTGAGTTAATCACTTTTGGCATATTCAGGAGGCTTCCGTAAACATACACAAGATACACAAACTATTCAAGTGTTGTTCTACAGTATTCTAAACCCAAATTCAAGTCATTAGATTATAACAAATGTTCAAACACAACATCCCAAATTTAGTCAGAAAGACATGCCTAGAATCTGGAAGTTTAGGCATTTGTTTTCCCTAAAATAGACAACAAAAGAGGCATTATTTTCATTAAAATAGGCATTTATTCTGAATTAAATACGGAGGCGAAAAAGACTTGTCTATTATGACAGATGCCTTTTAAATAATGATACGAAGTGAAATCAAATTCAGAATAATTTAAATTATTATTCTCAAACTTAAATTTATATTAGCACTAACTTCACGAAAACTTAATTTTCCTTGTAATCTTAATTGCAAATAACCACCAGATATTTCTTAAAACTTTCTTCACACTCAATCTACTATCAAAAATAATATTTTTCACTACTAAAAATTATTCTCAGTGGTATATAAAACTGCAACATGTCTTTGAATTTGTTTCAATGTAATACAGGTTTCACTTGTAATAAAGACTTTATGAAGTGCTATTATGGATTGAACTATTCTCTTCTGAATCCATGAAAATGGTATAGTCCAAAACACTGCTATGATTTTTGTTTCTTGAACTTGTGTAATTGCTAGCACTGAGCAGAGGCATACTGTATCACACAGAGTGGTTTGTCTTCGGACAAAGGAATGGAGAACATTCATGAGGATACAACTTCAGGAGTCTAAAAAAAGACAAACATCAATGAAAGCAGTCCAAGAATTTTGACTGCTATCACATCTGGCTTTCTCTGAGCTGTTTTTAACTCAAAACAATGACCTAATCCTGAAGCCTGAGGTCAACACTTTCTGCGACAGAATCCTCATGTTGTTAAGCTTCCAGGTTGATTAATATTGATGCAGGGAGAAGGAAAATAAAAATGAAAAAAGAAGAAAAACTCTTCTTTAGTCTTCATGTGTATTATAGGACAATAAATTTATGTTCTTTTTATGATAATCCATAAAAATCCAAATCTCCATCCACTCAAAAAAAAAACTGTAAGTGGCACTTTTGACATGTTTTGGTTTATTTAGTACGATCCATTTAGAAATTTAAAAGAAAAAATTTGAAGCCTTTTTTGAGAAAAATGCAGACTTTTGAGCTCATTTTCCCAAAAAACTTTTGACTTTTCCAAAAATTTCATTAGAAGTCTTTTGAGACCCATCCACTCACAAATGCAATAATGTTTATAAATGACTAGAACTGTGTGTTCAATGCGAATTCATTGTTACAAACCAATATTACCTGAGCCACATATGGTGTCACCATGGCCCCAAGCCTTGCCATTGCACTGCAAGTACCCACACCTACAGCACGTAAGGGTGTGGGATACACCTTAAAAAACATATTTTTAATTAAAAATAAATGTAATTATGAGTACAATTAGTTACCAAATTTTGAAAGACAATGATATTTTCAGACAGTATTACTGCATCATTTGATCAGCTCTAATGTCTCTTAATTGCTCTATATAAACAAATTTAACATAAACATTTTTATAGTGTACATTTGTACTATGTAAACTAAATTTAAAAAATCATAGCTCTCAAATTTAACTCTAAAATAAGTCTGCTTAAGAAAAAAACATGAATGTTCCTATTCTTCTATGTTCATATTCATCAATTATTCCATTAGTTTCTCAATCTTTCAACTGAAGCACAACAGCAAAAGTGACCATGGCTACAGATATGGAATTAATGAGCAATAAAACCTATCTCTCTAAATCATATCTTTGAAACAAAAAAGTCAAGAAAGGGAAGAAGAAAAATTTGTGACAAATGTCCTTTAAATGAAAGGGTATTCTACTAATTTAGATTCCAAGATGTTAAATTAACCCAAATCATCTTTAAGTACTTCAAAACTAATGCAAATCTTTTCCACATGCATTACAGAAATTTAAGGAAATGTTACCTCAGGAGTATACACATAGGCAGCTTGAAACACTCCTGCAATAATTCCTCGTGCAAGAAACAACATAGTTGTTAAAAATATTCGACTGCGAAATTAAGAAATAAAGAATTACACAATTTGTTTACATTTATGCTAACATCACAAGAAAACACTGGAGACATGAAACTTACTTCTCTGTACAAATAAAAAGAAAACAGACACAAACAGCAAAGACAATGAACTGAACAGCCATTGTTCCTTTACGACCAAATCGTTCAATTACAAAAATTGTTGCAAAAATACCTGAAATATAGGAGTTTATTAATAAACATACATTTAATATGTTTATCATATGTTATACCTACAAATTTGAATGAGTGCAATGAAATATCTGAATCAGAAATAACACTAGTGCTGTTATAAGAGCATTGTAATGGCAAGGTAATCTTCTAATACTAATTGAACACATAAAAGTGTTTCCAAAGATGAGCAGGGTCTGCAGGCAGTTGTCTACTTCACCACCAAGTGTATACTTACAGTTCAGACACTTCAAAAAGAAGAAAATATCTTTCCGCATTAATACAGATGTAGGAGGGTGTCAAAAACATTTTAATTTTGCAATTTTCACAATACCAGAGATTCAATGAAAATTGTACCTATACTATAATTTATTAAGCAAATATTACTCTATTTAAGTAAAAAAAAAAGAAGTGAGTTTTGAAGAAAATTTCACTTTGAAATTTTTTCCAAAATTGTTATGATTTTATCCAAACTTACATGAAAAGTATTCATACTTGGAGATAATATTGTATTAAATTGGACATAACATTATTTAACGATCTAATTTTGTAGAATAGATTTCATTAAGGGAAAAAATATCTTTCTGCAATAATACAGATGTAGGAGGGTGTCCAAAAACATTTTAATTTTCACAATTAATATTTAAAATTCAGGGACTTTAATAAAATGGCACAGGTACAATTTTCATTAATGTACATTACTATGTTGCGACCTGTCCTCCCCCTCCCTCCCAGGATATAAGTCTGTGAAGATAAAAAAATCAGTTATTTCAAAATATTTTCAACCTGGAAATTCAGCTAAAGTGGTCCACAAAAGGTCCACATAGTCATGTGTGGTGAGTTCACGACAGTCTGCTGTGCAAGTCTGGACTGGATGTAGGCCTAGACCTGCCCACACTCTCCCAACAAAAGGTTGGCTGTTGCTTGAGCTACTGTTCAATAAGCCAGGAAAGGGCGTTGAACAATGGGTTGTTCCTGAAGACTCAAACAGCTCTGTTGTCATCAACACCACTCCATAATAGCAGAAGGCACAAGAAGTCCTAAAAGAGAATGTACATTACTGAAGCAAAATTATTTTTCATAGTGCAATTTTTCCAATGTGTTATTTGTGACCAACTATCAGAGAATGGACTTTTAGGTTTACCAAGTCATTATGAAATAATTTAAAAACAAAAAATTAAATTTAAATTCAACACATTCAGATTGCTGCTAGGAACTGGGTATCAAATTTACCCCGAAGATGACACTGCCATGGACAGTTCAGAATGCAAGTTTTGCATCATGTTTTACTGACTCACTGTTTTATATACTTTGCATTTAATTTGTTAAGAACTAAATAAAAAAATTGAATTGTTAGGGAAAGAAAAACTGAAGAGTGGCATGGGGAGCGTAGCACATTGTTTACAGGCTTCTGTTGGTATCAGCATTTGAAAAATTCTTTCCATCTATACCACATGGACTCCAACTACGAAGAATAAGATCCAAATATTGTTATTGTTCTCATAAAGGAAGATGAATGGCATTTTTGGGCCTTTTATTAGTTTGCAACTATTAAAACTACCCGAAACCTTTTTTTGAAACCAAAAACACAGATTTTCAGATCTGTATTTTTATAAATAAGCCTCCTACATAAAATTTACTAATTTAAAAACAAATATTGGTTCTTAAAACATATCCCAAAACAATATTCCCCATCATTTAATAAATATAGAATGAAAAATGGCAGGACCTGTGGAACAAGAAAATACTTGGAGAGGTACTACCTGAATAGTATGTTAAATAATATTTTGGAATTTTGCCTACACTTTCTGCCTACTTACACCTTGAAAATATCCATGCCTTATAATTTTGGTTCCACTAACTTTGCATGGAGTGATTGGACCACAACTGTTGGCACAGTCTCACTTTGGGTTAATTAAAAGTTTTCAGACTATTCATTAATGGCATACCAATTTCAGTTTAAGAAATTGTCTTAATACTCACTTGACTGTTTGTTAATACTAAGCAACAGCCTATTTTACATATAATAAAAAATTGTTGTATCACAATCATTACATAGCTAGAACAGGACTCACATTGAATCAGTTCTTTTTGCACTTATAACCATACCTTCTATACCATACACCCAACAGAATTTTGCAAGACATTTTTTTATTGTAATGTAATAGGACAATTGAACCACCAAGCCAAGTGAGGATTTTTACTCACAGATATACAAATTGACTGGTACTTTCACACCAACTTCCAACCAAGCCACTAACAATTTGACATAAAATTTCATGGGTAGTATCATTTTAAAAACAAATATAAAAAACAATACCAGATAAACCATAAAAGGAGAGATGTGCGTCTTAACTCAGGACATAACAAATCGCGTGTGCGACCACGCAAACTGGGGTTGGATGAGCTACTGGCATCATCCATAACTAAGCGACCCAAGAGCATGGGTTTTCCATTATCAGCAGCTATTTGTTGGATGGTGGCCAAGGCACGATCAGGGTGGCCAGAGGCCACATGAAATCTTGCACTTTCAGGTAGCCACTGCAAAATATACAACAATTTTTTCATTGTTTCTCCTTATTTTTGAATAAAATATGGACGTATTTTCTATAGAAATCAATTTTTAGTGTTGATGTTCTCTTGGTCTATTTGTTTTGATTACATTTTTCTCACACAATACAAATAGAATGGTTCTTGGAAATATGCTAGTTGGAAAAAAACAAACAAACTAGTGAATCTCTTTACCTCTTAACATCTCAGACACCAATGAAAAATGCAACAATCCTTTTAAGTCAAGGAAAATTACTTGTAACATTTTTACAAACACAGTACCAGACCTTGATGACAATGAAACACAATGAAAAGTAAAACAAAATTAATTAATGACAAAACATGGGGATTGTTTGATCTCTTCCAAAGAGAACACGATTATAAATATTTACGGAGTAATGATACGAATTTTTAACGTATGAATTGAAACCAAAACTAAATGGATTGCGCTCTACAAAAATTAAATTCCTAGCTTTCCATGAGTTCTCGTACTCCATATCCTCTGATTTTTCTTAGTATTTGTGAATTTTACTCACGGGTGTAATAAGAGCAAATGCCAGCAATGGAGCAGTGGACAGAGCCAATAACCACTTCCATCCAAAGGTCGGCATGACTAACAAGGCCAAGAGTACTTCAAAGCAAGCACCCAGAGCCCAGAAACACTGGAAAAAAAAGACATCCAAAGGGACTTTGAACTAGCAAATGGTAAATTTACAGCCTTCCAAACTACTGACACATTTTGCCTACAATTTAAAGAGAATGCGATTGGTTGGAGCATTGTCATCTCATTTCCTTTACTACCAAGGCTGAGTGATGTGATTTAGTAATCATAAACATTTTCTCAAAATATCAATAAAGGGGAACTCAAAAATTTCAGAGATCTTTCTGTTTGCAGTCTTGTAAAGAAAGAATAAATTATTAATGAATTGAATGAAATATTTTCTAAAGATTACATTCATTGTTGACTTTGTGAGCTTCTAATTGAATACCGAAAAATAATTTTTTTAAATTTATATCAAGTGAAAATATAGTTTTCAAACCATACAATAATGATCAAGGAGAAAAAAATGTCATCAATCATTCTTTTAGGACTTCAAAATTGGGCAATTTAAACTCTTGTAAAAAGTGAAAAACTAGCCATTTTGCAGGTTTTCTCAGGCTCACACAAAAAAGAAAGTAAATGAATTTCAATATCCTTTTTCCGTTTTATATAACTAAATCTAGAACTATGTGTGTTTTGTGATTGCAGATGCCTTAACATCATGCCTATTATGTACAAATGAACAACCGCAACCAGTGATTAAAGGACACCATACCACATGCCCACATTAATATAATTCAACTCAACAATCAATGTTTAAAGAATTTTTTTTATTTTAAAAACCATAATTTTTAAATAAGGAAAAGCATTCTATGAAATAAATAAATAGAAATAACCATAATGAACTAAAATTACATAAGCAGAAATCACAAGTTTAGAAAATTGCATTATGGCACTTCGACAGTTTTTTTCACTGTTTTGTGTAGTTTAGGTAACTGCTTAGATTGTTTCACAAAGAGAAAAATCAGTGAATCATAATGCACCAATGTTGAAAAAATGTACAACTTTTATGAAAAATGCAAACACATTCAAATTAAAGATATGAGCTTCCACAGTTGAAAAGGAAAGGACATTTAAAACTTTTGTGATTACTTTTTGTACAAAACATTGCTTATTCATTATTATTTTAATATTATTTTAGAAATCTATTTCTTTCTACCATGTATTAGAATGTGTACGGTTTCTCTTTTCACAAGTTTTTCTGACCCAGAACAACCTTACAATTTCAATTAAGTAACAATATGTTGAAATACCTAAAATTGAAAATTTGTTAACTTAGCATTTATATTAGTGTTTATTGTATGCTCAAACGTCTATTTTCTTTTAATACAACAATACTTTTTTATTATTGATTATTTTTTATTAATTTATTGTTAGTTTTTTCCACAAAATTTAATATTTTCTCACATTTTTGCACTAACTGCTATATTGATAAAATTAATCCCTAAAAATGATTCCAAAAATATTCCAAGTTGCTTTTCCAAGATCACCAGGGTCCAAGATCATGATAGTCTTCTAAAATAAAGAGATCACTAGGGGTCGTATTTTAATGAAATGTATTTTTTTCCTTTTTCCTTTAGAACAATGCCTTTTAGTACAGACATTATCATGTTATGACAAAAAGAAATGACATGTTTTTCATTTATTTTTGCATTTATCGTTGACTAATTAGTCATTTCAAGCATTTTTTGCTCATTTCATTGACTTTAATATCATTTTAATGGTACTTGCTTCTAATAATATTTACGAAATGCAACAAATGTTCTCTGCAGAAATTCTGAGTAGCCTCTTCGATTTCTTCACATTACACAAAATTGTAATGTCAGTCATTATGAGTATGAAAGCTTCCTGTAATGGCTATCAGTACCATTGTCGGTTCAACTGATTTCTGGATCACTAAAGACAGATTTCTGGCAGAAAATAATCTAAACCAAAAATTTGCAAGTTGAGTCGACTTGAACAAAGGAAGAAGCCATCAGTACCACATCCAACACCTTGAATTGTTCATCTGAACTGGCTTCAATCAATTTTTTATTACATTTTCCCTTGCTTTTAGTGAATTTTTAACCCATTTTAAGAGCATTTTATTGATTTTTTTAAAATTATATTTTAGGTCATCAAAATTCACTCCCTAGTGATCGTAGAGAAGTTTTATTGTTAGCTCTAAAATGAAAGTGAATATTCATATCAAAGAGAGTGAAGCCACAGATAAGAATCCCATTTACAACAAACCACCAAGTATCCTGCAAAACATATTAACTCACATCCAATAGTACCACACACTTAGCACGTTGCTTAGTGGGCAGAAATTCTGCATACAAGGTTACCCTGAAAAATGTGTTTCAAAAATTAATACTAAGGGGAGTAGCACAAGTGATATCTAAACTTCAGTATAAATATTGAAAATATCACTACCTTACAATAAATTAAATTGCATGTAACATTTTCACTAACACATTCTTTCCTGCTCTTTTGGTACTTCTTTCTACCCAGGAACTTTAACAATAAATAATTTAATTAAAATATTCTGGGATATTTCTCAAATTTCTTTTGGTAAAATTTTTGTTTTTTAAAATTCACAAACATGTATTAATGCCGATAAAAATAACAAGTACTGATGCTTAAGTTGATAACACTGACATATCTATTGTTCATTGCATTGTTGGTATTGATAACAAATATTGCATAATAACCTACAACAAGGAATAATTGACATAGCCAATTCTGTAACTGGCAATGAAAACTTTTTATTTACAATCTCTCATTCTGTCTCATTGCAAGTCATTGACAATTCTGAGATTCTAATCATGAAAACCACTAGATGATAAAATTAGTTTCAGTGAACTGACCCAAAGTAATTTAAGAACACATCTGCAAAATTTATGTACTTTTTCTTATTAGGGTATCTATACTCTTTTGATCAAATTACTGTAAACAACGAGTTTCTTTATAAATGGTTCTAAAATATCTGAGGATAAAATAACATAATAATTTTGAGTACTTACGATTGAGGCACACAACCAATTGCAAATCCTACTAATCCACGTAGAAACAACAGCCAGAGAAAATTTGGAGACAAAGAACTCAGCAAGCCATAATAAAAAAGTAATACAGCACACAATGTTAAAGCCTGTAATAGAAAATAGCTTCTATAATAGAAAATAACTTAATTATTCTTACAAGGAGATTCAAATAGAGGAATAACCTCATATTTAGTACATAATTTCCATTGCATTTGTACACTTTAGAAAAGTTCTTTCTGATATAAAACAGACGTAAATACATTTTACTGCCTAAAAATCAGCACTTTTCACATTACATAACTTTCTCTATACTATGTATATTACTCCATATAAATGTATGAATATGAGAAAGTAAAATTGAAAAAGAAATAATTAATTGCACTCTGTTATTACAAAGCAAAAAAGTGACTATTTAACCTACAAGCAGGCATGTCAAATTTTGTTCTATGCATAGGAACAAGGCATATTGCGTAGGCTTCATATATTTCTGTATTTTTACTTGTTTCTCACAGATATTCAATACTTACTATCTTAAGTTTCATTAAAACACCTCATGATACATTGACTATTAAATACTTAATACACGGTAACTACTAACACTACTGTAACCATTATACAAGACAATGAAAAAGAACCAATATTATTAAGTGTATGAACAAAAGTATCAAAATCACAATTTTAGTAACCTGATTAAATAAAAGAGTTTTATAAGTTAATTCCACATACTGCTTCAAAAGGAATGAAAGATGGAATCCTTTTATTTTTGTTTCATTCATTGCTAGAAAAATTTTATATACTTGACAGTGTGCGGATACATTATGTTAAAATCTCTTGTTTATATCCCCCAAATGAGCTACAAGTACATAAATCTGTAGGAATCGGTTATCTTGAAACATTAGTGGTCAAAGCAACTGAGTGTGATCCGGGAGATCTTAATTTAAATGCTGGTTGGAGAATCCAATACTTAATCTCTCTGAATTAAGTTATATGAGCACAACAATAGATACAATTCCACTGTATAATTAAGAGACTTTTGACCTCCTTATTAGCACCATTTGGTCCAGGCAATGGGTGAATATTTGTTTCTGTACATGTAAACTACTTAGTTCATTAGTTCTGAACGCGTAATTATATTTCAGAAAAACAAAGTTTTCTGGCCCCACTGGAACATGAGATTTAATGTCATCCTATATGTCAACTTGCAGTTTCCCCTTTTCAGGATTCTTCCCTTACTGAGAGACCACTCTGTGCCAGAACACACACTAAGCTCCCAACTGAACTCACAAGGTCTGTGGTAATTTAGGGGAGATAATAAGGGGCAATAAAAGAACAAGGATGAGGAACGAAAGGTTGCATGCAAATGCATGTGCTGTTTGTTAAGATACTGCTCTGGCAACCTGGTATTGACTGGAGAAATCATGGTAAATTACTAATCAAAGCAGATGAATAATACACAAGGATTGAACTCGACTTGGCTACGAAGCTTGTGATGAAAGTCTGCCACTATAAGGACTCAAACCTTAGAACTGCCTGGGCATTGATGATGTAGGCTTTAATATGAGCCATTGCAGCCAACTTAAAGCAGTTGCTGGAGTTTGGGTACAATTCCTGCAAAGGGCATGGGCATTTTTCAGCAGATTTGTGTCATGGTAGTGATGTCATAGTTTTATCCAAGTCATTTGGAAAAGGTGTTCATTCTTTTTTGTCAACATTCCTGCCTAGAGGTTAGCCCTTTGCATTCCGTACGATTTGTGTTGTGAACCCTCACGAACTCTCCTTAAATTCTGCGCACTGGCCAAGAAGCATGGTCGACTGAATTAATGATGCAATCAAGGTTTGGTATATTACTATACCAATATCATAAATATCAATATCATCAATAAAAAGTATCTACAGTTTTTTATGACAACCATTTATTGTTAAATAACATGATGTTTCATAACTTGATTGGTTGCATTATCAGGTTACTAAAAATTACAGAGACAAAATCACTCCCCGAGAACAAATATATAAAATTTTAAAAATTCTTTTAAAATGATTAAATTTTAAACAAATATGAACAAAATAAAAGTCATAAAAGACACTCACCTGACTACAGAATTAAGTTACAAAACATTTGTTATTTGCTAACAAATTATAGTCATAAAAAACAGTGGATATGGTTTATATTTACATACAAAACTGACAATCAGGACAATTTCATGTTTTTTTATCGGCAAGTTCTAATATCACTATCATGTTTAATTTAAAACAAGTACTCAATTCTTTAAAAGTTTCTTAATTTTCTTTCTTTGTTTAAAATTTTTATTTCTCTGTATGATATCTTTTGACGCATTTTTTTTCCTGTTTCCTTTCTTCTTCCTCTCCAAACACAACAGCACAGTCCTTATGCTTATTTCCTGAAAATTTGTTTATTATGTGTAATTTTTCATTGAGGTGTTCATCATGAGAAGTTGATTGGCAACCTCGTTTCTGACTTCTCCTTCCCTCTTCCCCAACACGTGCTAGTGTGCATACTAGCTGGCTATGGTTGGAACATTAGAGCAGAAAACGAAAATCTTGATGTCCATTCCCAACAACATAGGAGTGCAAAGTGTTAAGGGCTGACATGAGTCTATGGGCTTCCTCTATTTGGTGTATTACATGCACAAAGCTGTCTAAGAAGAGTCTACAAGCTACCTCTATTTGGAGGTTCCATGGGACAAAAGATAACTCTGAAATGGTAGAAAGTGGAGAATAAAGGCACCTGATGTTCCTAGAAGAGCACTGATTTGGTGTGAAATAAATGGAAGTTGGGAGTAACACAAGCAACAAATGAATGTACTGAAAAAGTAACTAAATGGAAAGATGCACATCTGATGAAAAAGTTCTAAAATTAGCAGCTTAAATGTCAGCTGGAGTGTTAAAAAAATCAGTATTTCTAAATTGTCTTTTTATGGTTTACATGGTCTTGCAATATGTACAATATTATATTGTCTGGAATATCAAAAACTTAAATTCTTTAGATATTTTTGTGCATTTTTGTTGCATACATCACCTGTTTTCGACCATATCTGTCACTCAAATTACCCCAGAAAGTGGAGCTTAACATCATTCCCAAAAACACAACCTGAAAAAGATATTTTCATTACACATTTCATCATTAAATTAATTAATTTTTACAATTTTAATTCAAAATATGTTTTGAAGAGAGAGGTGGGGTGATGAAGACAGAAGAAGAGTGGGAGAGGGGAAGAGGCAGAGAGAGGGAAGCAGACAGAAGAGAAGGGAGAAAAGAGGAGAGGAGACAGAAGTGGGGAGAGAAGAGAAGGGAGAGAGAAGAAAGGGAAGGAAAGAGAAGAGGCAGGAGAAAAGAAAAGAGAGGGAAGGAATAAGTGAGAGAGAGAAGAAATTTTTTCAGGGGAAAAAAAAAATAGTTTAAAGAGCTTATAGGTTAGTAACAATAAGGTGTAATTAGCAAATGTGTTTGTTAAAAGTTGACAATACATGAAACATACATACAGTAGTAGTGAGCGCTTGCTGATACCGAGATATATGCCATTCACAATGAAGTGCTGGACTTAAAACACTCAATATTGTCATTTCCATGCTATCAGCCATCCAACACAAACCCGTAAATAAGGACAATTTCACTTGAAACCGACCAAATCCTAAAGCATTAACAGCTTGTGTGACCGTGAATGTATCTGGAAAAAAAACAAAGCAGAAAAACTAACATCGTAACTATTATGAATCAAAATAATATGATCGCAATATGAATTTATATTTACAAAGCTTTTCTTCAGCTGTGAACTGCTCTGACCATTTTAATCAACACTTTTGTAATTTGTGCAAGTGAAAATACAAGTTCAGTTGAATGTCGTTGCCTTGATTAGCTTACCATCAGGAACTACAGACACTGATGCCATTTCAATTTCTTCTACAACTCTACTGCAGTAATCATCATCAGGAGAAACAATATGATGACGGTCCAAATTACTACTTGATGTTGTCCCAGTATTGTCCAAATCCTGGTAAGAAGTTCGAGATCCTTCCCGTCGAGTAATCTTCTGAACGGCAGAAAGTAACTGGGCCATGACCAAGCCTGTTAAAAGGCATAAATAAAGAGATATAAACATTAATCCTAAAAATGCATGGAGATTCAATAAACACTGTATGCACACCTTTTAAGAAAAAATTTATTATAATGTAAATGGCGTTATAACAGCATGAACTATACTTGACATATAAATTAAATACACTTTTAGAAGGTCAAATCACGAGTCGCAGAATTATTGTAATCTAAAGAAGATATTAAATGTTTCTCAGAAACATGAACACATATGAAGCAAGAAAATGAATAATGAAAAAAAGTATAATATTTGGTATGATATTGTATAAAGCTAGTAATTTCGAACTTTTTTTTGTTTTTGTTTTTTTGTTGCCATTTCCAACAAAAATTAAGCTTTTTGATGTATCTTAGGCGACTCGCACTGCCTACTTCAAAAACAGTTAGGGTTGCCGAATTCATTAATCGTATACGATGTTCAACAACAAAATCATACCCTTTACAATTCAGATTCCAGGCAATGTATATTTAAAAAAAAACAGCAATAATAATTTTGAAATTTGATAATGAAAAATCATCAACACTTTCATTATTACGCGGAACTATGACAGTTCACTCTCGCTTTTACCTTTTCTATAATAACAATTTACGATCCGTTTTGATTACAATTTTCTATCGACAGAACAAAACGGAATCGAGAAAAACGACGTCTTCTTCTTGGACATAAACAGACTAAAGCAACAATTTGACGTTTGAAGGCTCGTGTGCTGCAACAGGTCACTGACGGTCATTTCTCGCTCTATACCACTCCACCCACACCAACCCATAGATGTACTCTTTGCACCAACCTTGCGGTACTTCTACTCCTATAGAAATGAGCGCTGAAGTACCGCTTGACACTATTTGTCACGTCATCACAGTGCCATAATTGAAACCACGCGGGCTTCATGTGAAGATAGGCAACAATATAAATTGCATGGAATAAAACTAATTCACAACAAAAATGTTGCTTTTCCTGTATTAAAATAATGTAACCTAAATCTAGATGTCATACGTCGAATAATTTACAAACTGAGGCGAATTACACTATAGTTCAGTTGCATAAATTTGTTTCATATTTGCGGTCAATGAACTACTTTTTTTGTTACCGGTAGGCATTTTTCGTCTATCTTGGGAAAAATGTTCAAATATAGGTATTAATGGGGGATGGATACAGCTGTGTGCCTGTGGAATCATGGCGGCTACGCTGGGAAAACTGAGGCCGCTTTCGATTTCAAAAGCCATAACAGCGACACCAGTTTCTTCAAGGTAATATTAATACATTATATAAAACTGAATGGGTATATTTAGTATGCAGTTTATTACATTTTTCAGAACTTACGAATATATGACGGTAATACAATAGTGGGTGTAGACCTTCATGTCTTTGGCAAGGTCAGAAAGTTTTGAACTTACTCTTTATATTTTAGGTTAGTGTCTACTAGTACTGTACATCAAGAAAATGAAAAAGGTTGGTTCAGTAAACTGTTGGTTCGTCGCATCGAACCCACGAAAGAATCCCACTCGCGTTTGCTGTCAGACAAAGAAGTTATATATGAATTACAGACTCATAATATGAGACCAGATTCAGTGGAGAAGTACCTGCAGAATTAGTAAGTTCAATAGCAGTTTCATATGACTACCTTACGTTTGTTGGATAATTGCACAAGGATGCATTCACAGTAGTTTTGATTTGCAGTAAAGCAAGTGCACAGCTTATTCACTCCCGGGACCTGCATTGTGAGCTGGTAGGCAGTTGGACTGTACAAGTGGGAGATCTTGACCAGGCCTTGCATTTGTGGAGATACACTGGTGGATTTGCCTCTATTGACAATGCTAAACTGCAACTTTCAAAAGATCCGGTGTGTTATTTTTCCAGTTGAGGGATATTCTTTTCTCAAACCTTGAATCTAATTGACAACAGATTTGTCATATTGTGCTTTGTTTTAGGATTGGGTGAAACTGTTAACTGAACGTGGAGGAATGTTACGGTCCCGTCACTTACAGTATGTTCTCGCATTCAGTTACTGGCCCCCCATTGTACCGAGAACTGGATCAAATATATATGAAATTCGTAGTTATCGTCTCAAACCTGGAACTATGATTGAATGGGGAAATAATTGGGCAAGAGCCATTAATTATCGCCGCAATAATGATGAACCATTTGCTGCTTTCTTTTCTCAAATTGGGCGACTGTATAATGTCCATCATATGTGGTGTAAGTATTTTTATCCTGATAAATACTTGTGATATTCCCCTTTTTGTGCATTTGATAAGATAGTATTAAGAATATGACATTGATCTAACGTTTATGAGAATTTTGTGTCACAGGTTATAAAGATTTGCAGACAAGAAAAGAAACGCGTGAGGCAGCATGGCGTTTGCCAGGTTGGGATGAATGTGTGGCTTATACTGTACCTTTGATTCGAGAGATGCATACACGTATATTATTGCCTACAGATTTCTCACCCACTCAGTAATGCATAACCAAAAATTTTGAGAGAGCTAATATCTGACATTAGTTAGAGGTCATTATTAGAGGTACTGTTTATAACTTGCAGCTTCTTTTGGTATCAGCTGTACACCTTTTGCAACACTTTAGTTGTGGCTAGTTATAGTTTCCTTGAGTGTATTATCAAATTATTTTTATTATGACTGTGGTTAGAATCTTTATAGATATGTATTTGAATGAACAGAATGAAGATATGAAAGATAGTTCTGCACCTGAGAATTCATTTCACACATTTTGCACAAAAATTAAATGAATATTTTAAAGGTTGTTTTTTGATACTTGGTCGTTAAGTACAAATATGAAGGAAATAATTGGTCTGGATGTAGTACCTAGATTTGTGTTTGTCTTGAAACAAAAATTGCATAGTAATTTGATAACTACCCAGAATAATAGTTTTTTTTGTACTTGTTTTCCACATCTCTTGCCATAAGATTTCAGAGTATAAGTAGAACTTTCAGAGAAATCGTTAAATTTTATAGTCCTTTCACATTAAACGCTTTCAAAATAATTCAGTAATTCATTTAAATTTACATTCGTGCTTCACTCGTAGATTGCAGGGAGACAATTTTTTTCTTTGTTCATTCATATTCAATTGGTGTACAGTTAAAAGAAAGAAGGTAGTTAAATTCCAGGGAAACTGTCGTGTGACAGTCATTTTACAAGAAAGTAATTTGTGATAGCAGTACCCAAATATTTGCAAAATTTCCTAGTGTTCAAAAGTTTTCAATTATTTGTTGTTGAGTTAATCCTGTTTACCTATAACATAATTGCCTGATGAACATAGAATAGCCGTATGTAATAGTGTTGATTGTACAACAATTTATGGATTATATATTACAAAGAGGTGTTACAGCTAATCAGTTGTGTCCAAGGAATGTCTCCTCCAGTAGTCATTCCGATTTAGAAATTAATAATGTATCTACCTATTGTACATAATTTACAAATCATTTGTGACAGTCAGATTCCAATTTACTGCAGTGGATTTGTATTTGTAAATGTAAATGTTGTAAATTTACCTAGGACTGTATGTGCAGAACTGAATATAATGCACAATTTATAATACAACTTTTTAATCAAAATCGAAGTATCATTGGAGACTGCTGTATTAAATTAGCTTTTGCACAAACTAGTCTAGCTTCATGGTGAAGACATACTCTTTGTTTCATTCCCATCAGAATGAAGGAAAAGATGTACAGCAATTTTGCTTGCAATGAATATAGTTCAGCGATTTTTAGGGAAATTGCCATTTATACATAAGTAAAGCACAATTAATTAACTTGCACAGTTTGTTAATGTGCTGTGATATTGGACTGAATTGTGAAGAATTCATTGCCTACCTCTCAATGTAGAGTGAACACTCTCATGAAATATATAACTGATTATTACTCAACGTTGATTAGGAATTTCCAAACAAATGAATGTGATCATGAATTTCACAAGTAATTGAAAATAATCAGTAATGATTCAGTCCCATTATCACCTATTTAGAAATACTGAATCTGTATGTACATATTGACGAACAGCTGAAATGAAAACTAATATATCTAACACTACAGCATACATATTTGTACAAATTGGGCTGTGGTTGTCAAGCAATTTTTAAAATAGGGCTCATTTTATATAGGGAATTGTGCACAATAAGAATGCTACTGTGTCCAATAATACTTGAATTTTCCTTGAGTGTGCATGTGTGTGTGTAGACTGTTTTTCTACAAGTAATTGAGTTATTTTAATTCTGGTTCATATTATTTCTAGAATAAAAAATTGCATTGTTGCTCAATGTTGCAATTCAAAAATTTGTTTTTTTATAAGTATATCCTAAAATGGTGATTGTATCAATCAGTTGTTAATAAAAATAAATTTGATCTCTAGTTTTGTTAACTTATGTCAACTATCATTAATTCCCAAGGTATTGTCTTGTAGTGATTGTGTATTGCATGTCATGTATTTGAAGCTTGGAATTTGAAGTTTTATAAATTTGAACTCCCTGCGAAGTTTTTACACAGCAAGGTTCTGTTCAAAGATCTGAGTCAAGAAATTATAAACAAATATTTCTATTGAATCTTTGGATTTACTAGAAAATTTGGAATCAAACTTTGTTTAATATTTGAGGTGATTTTAAGATTAATAGAATTTTGGAATTGCTATGACTAGATTACTTTCCACCTGTAAATAAAAATTAAAAAGAAACATAACATTTGTAGTGGGTTAACAGCAGGATATCTGTGATTTCGTTATCGATGTTCATTGCCGGAGCTGGATTTGTATTGTTTCTTCATTTGTTAGAATCAAACATTTGACATATATTTATGAATTTAAATTATTTAAAGCACATTTATTAAAATTGCTAGGTATAGTGAACAATTTTTAAATAAATTTGAGGAAAACCCACATAACATTGTGTATTTTAACATTTTATTTGCAATATATTCCATATCCTTTCAAAATTATTTGTGGATTATTTTTTCAACTAAGTCAAACTTTTAGCTGTGTGAATAGGATTTGGAGGTAGATCTGGATTTAATTCCACAAGATATTTTAGTGTAGTCCCCAATATTCTTCTGATATGTAGGAGAGTTTTAGCCATCAATATTGTGACTAAAAGGCAGTTTCACTTTTGGACATAAAACAATGATTTGTACCTTGCTGCTTTGCAAATGGTCAGTTACCAAGTGTTGAGCAACACAAAAGTCATGTATTGTACCAGAAATTATTAAAATTTGTTCTGTGGGTAACATAAATCTGAGCTCTGTATATTGCGATGTAATGACCTATATTTGAGTTTTGGCATTATATTCAATGTAATAAGAGTACTGCCGAAGTCAATGAAATAATATTAATCATAAAGTCATAGTTAAAAAGTGAATGGATAAGATAAAACATCACCTGTGACTGAAAGACTCTTATATGGTCTTGTATTTCAGTGCTAATGAACAAATCAACTCTATTACAAATAATGGTCCCTTTTAGCCACTTGTAAGACTTTATTCCACAGTATTTTGAAATTAGAATTCTATTATTTGTACCTTCTTGGTAATATGTTACCTTACACTGGAGAATTGTAGAACTGCTTTTACTCTTATTGGCAACAAGATTTTCCGTTTTGATTATTCAATAGTTGGCTCTGTGAATAATTGCAACAAAGTAAGCAAAATATTTCAAACATTTCATATTTGTTTTCAAATAAATTTGGCACCTATTTATACGGAAATCAAAACAGAATACATGGAATTGTGCAACATCAAATGATGTGGGAAAAGATGTATTTAATTAGCCAGAAAAGACTTATTCCACACAAGGAGAATTGTTTATAAAATTGGAATCAACTGATGATAAACTACAAAGATGTATAATTTGAAATAGCATTTGAAGGGTGATGTATACAAAAGATCAAGAGTCCATTTGTCATCCTGAAGCTTTGCACAATGAAAGGACAATTTGATCGGGAGAAAAATGTGTTACCCTTCATTGTAGACTTCACAGGGACTGACAGAGAAGTAACATCAGTTTATTTGTCAAATTTTGGATGGGATTGTAAGGAGTTCTCAAATAATTTTAAGACAAACAGTTTTTTCAGAAGATGATATCATCTTGCAATATGATTATTATTAATATATATATTAAACAAAATGTACAAACAAAAACCGTATTTTACGGAACAAAATCAATTTCCTTAATATTATATAGTATGTTCAAAAGTCTTATTTGCCTTTGGAGCTTTTTCACCTTGGTCACATGATGTAAGGGAAAAAGCAGGATAAAACAAAACTGTTTACACTGGTATCATTCATTCTCCTTCACTATTTACTGTATAATATATTTTTATGTATATATATAATCATAAGATAGTTACACATTAATACATATCTATGTTTACAATAGAAAAGGGTTCTTATCAGCTTTCATGGAAGGGAGCATTTTTTTAAATATTTCCATTTTCACTGCCATGTTATATAATTATTACAAAGTTTTATTTATTTTCAGTTAGCTTTATTGTAATCTGACTATTGTTTAGTTTTTGGTTCTGAAAAGGTTATTTTTACATTTCAATGAGCACGCAATGATGCAATATTCTAAAGCAACTATTTTCATAAATGACTACTTTTTTGGTTTTTCTCCTCCTTATTCCAAACAGACCAATGGAACTAGGGTTTAAAACCACAGAAATAAAGTACTGTATCAAGCATATTAATTCTTCTCATAAAACTGCATCTATGTACAACATACTGTTCTGAACATTTGTAAGAAGTGAAAGCAGATTGGGTATAAAAGTGTTACAAAACAAAAAAACAACTATTCAAAAATCATCATACAAGCAAGTACAAACATTTCAAAACATTTTTAAAGCCAACAGTCGACTGTCGCTTTACGTTTTATACGTCAGCCATCTGCACAGTATCAGCACGTCAGTCAGCAGTGTCATCTTATAATACTTGCTACTCCCCTTTAGTCATTTCTACAAAACAAACAATATACGCATCACACAGAATATAATTCTTTTGCAATATAAAAGGGATGTTGCAACCAACTGGTCACATCCATGTTTTTGTTTCAAACAATAACTTTGAGTATCAAATAATATTTGATAATAAAAAATTATCATATACAAGATTAACACTAAACTTTTAAAAACAAGAATGCATATTCATGTGTAAATATATGTATACAAATATAGCATTATATACATATATGTACATTTTCATCAATCCACTTCGGCAGGACTGGGCAAAGACCTGTTCTAGTCAGTCACACACACTTGCACACAACATTGGCTCGTGTCACAAATATTCAAGAATTAAAATGAACAAGATTTTCCCATTATATTATAAAGCGTTACTTCCCTTTTCACTGGAGAATAAGATTGGGCAAAGAGTAAAAGTTTTATTTTTCTTAATATTTCTAAGTGCTTCCCAACTCTTTCCTATAGCATCTCAATATGGAAACACACTTGCCCATTATTCATAAGGACACGAGAAGAAGAAAAAAAAGGAGAAAGAAATATAAATAACTTGTTCAATAGTCTTGATTGACAGCGAAGAATGTTTGAATCTAGCAAGCTTGATTATTTACTACAATAATAAAATATAAAACTGTTAAAACGTAAAGTTGTATGTCTTCATGCATCAGTAACAAATGAACAACCACATGCTGAAATGCCAAGTTGGTTGGGACCATGACAAGGATGGTTAAGAATGTATCAGCACTAGACACACGAACAACCTTTCCCCATTCCTCCAGCTTTATTTGTTCCCTTCAAACTGAAATACTGCTTTAATTATATAGTACTTTCATAAAAGTAAATAAACTTCCATACTTGTAAGCTATGGATGTGGGCAAAAATTGCAAACATTGGCAATGTTATTGTCATTAAAAATACCACTAGTCTACATGTTGGGCAGTGTTTCAAGCTGGAAAATAACTGTACAGGTGAGGAACAAGAGTATATAAAAATTATGGAGCACAAGCACTTTACTGAATTACTTCAAAACCGTCAGTTATCTTGTGATCAAGATTACAACATTTACATTACCCAACTGCAACCTACATAAACATTAAGCATTAAAACGATGACGAGTGAATAATTGCGTAAAGTATTTAATATAATATCTTAATAATTTTCAGCCGAATGCAAGCTGGAAGAAGGGGGCATGGATAGAACACTTAAATGTATCAAAGTGAAAGAGAAGGGAACTTTAGGTTCGCAAACTCGCATTAAAAAGAATGAGGGCATTTGGACCTCTATACTGGCAAAATATACAGAACTGAATCTGACATCACTAATTCAGCAAACACAAACAAATAGGGCAATGCAGTCACTTCAGAATATGTTTTAGACTATGGATCCTACTGAAGACCCATTAATAGAGCATAAATCGCTGGCAAAGAAGGGGCTGGCTTCAGAATGCTTGAGCTGTCTGCGGGGCCTAAAGATTGAGCATATGATTGCTTTGCTAGCTCTTCGTAATGTCCCTCAGTACACAGAGGTTTCAAAGAATGCAAGCATAGGTAACATTAGACATCAACATGACAGTTTCACGGCCATGTTGCCATTGGATGCTTTATGTCAAAGACTCTGGCTTCTAGTCATATACACACACACTGATTAGAGATGTCCAGAGACTCATTTACAGTGGAGGACAGAATATCCAGCTGTAGAACGCAAAAGGGGCTTGTACAATGCAGCAGTTTACTATTTTCTGATAACCTGACAAAGCCATGGCAGAGAATAAATCACTTCTGAAGCACCGGGCAGTTCATAAAGAGCGACACACTGCTCAGTTCGCTTTATGCACGCAAAGGAAAGAGTGAAGACCTCAAAAGGTTAGAGGTGGTGGATTAGTGGTGGCAGACAACCACACAATTGTGGCGTTTTACTTTGATGCTTGCGATGACGCAGGAGGTAACAGCATAACTGTAGGCAGCATCTGCTAGAGACTGCCTGGCGGGAAAGATGTGGAGCTGTTGCTGTGGGCCAGGCTTAGCATGGAGCCTGAAAGACTCTCCTCATCAGGGTAAGACTCCTTTGTTGCTTCCGCAATGGCTAGAGCACTGCAAAACAAAAACAAAAAATATCCTTCAATAATTTCATCACCTATATTTTCAAAGCAGACAAATCACACCCGCAGACAAGCACTTTTGTTTATACTTCACATTTCTTAAAACCTATTAGTTTTGGCATTTTTTGCCTATTAACAATGTTTGAATTCCTTGACTTTTCTCGGTATTCCTACACTTCATCGTATTTCCTACGCTAATTTTGAAATTATTATTTAACTGTAATCATTATTTAATGTTGAAGAACACATTGTTTTAAATTTATATTAGTTTTACAAAAACCAGAACATTGCAAGTAAAATATTTTATTTCAACAATAGGTTTTGTCATTGTTATCTTTATTATTGTTTTCTTGGTGACAGCTACAAGCTAATATAACATACACACATCTTATAATCACAATTAATTCTTTATTTTGATTTATAGTGATATAACATGTGAACTCTATTATGTAAATCTCTACATGTAACAAATTATTTATGTTTTTAATATCATTTTACAATAATTTAATTAATTTATTCATCATAAAGTCATAGGTATCCGAGCTATTCATAAATATGTTCAGATTTTCCCTGTCAATGTACAGTGAAACTCCGTTTATGTTTCACACTTATACATTGTTATCTGTGAGTCCCGGATAAACCCCTATACTTCCCATGCTGAATTATTTCAGATATACGTTTCACATTTATTCATTTTTCATGCTTATACATTCATAATAAAGACTGTATAACTTCCAACACAACATAGGTAACCAATACGAGAAAACATTTACGTTATCGTGGAGGAACCCACGGATGTTATGTGCAATTTAGTATTGAGATTTAAATTCAAAGGCGTTTCAAATGGTTTCAAATTTTCAACAAAAATACTGGATGAACAAATAGGGACACTGGTATCGTCCGGGAAGGTGTTGCATTATGTTCCCCAATATTGCATGATAAAAATGCGGTATTGAAAGTAATATTGAAACTCAATGGAATCAAAGTCCTACAATGACAATTTGACCTGTGTTAAATGAGTGTTGCAGTGACGCGTGTCACCTAAAGCTGCTGCGTTGATGCCTGCGGGCACGAGTCATGTAACATGCAGATTACAGTCTTAGATTAACATTGTATCTTATACGAAACAGCACACGAGTGCTCTTGCCTATGTGTGTTATCATGACTTGCTTGAGCTGTGGGCAAAACGCATGTCGCCAAGACCGCTCTTATGCAGTTTCGCATAAAGGCGACTCCACACATTACACACTCAGCATTCGCTGAGCAGCGAGCTACTGCTTGCCCAATCCTGAAAAAGCTGATGTGTTCGGGGAATGTTTGCTCCCTAGGCGGTGGTGAATACCGCAATTTCGGCGCTCTGTGAATTGTAAGCAACCTGTCCACACTAGTCGGGATTCGCTGAATGCCACATGTGCGGAGCCGCCTTAAGATACAATGTTAATCTACAACACGTGTTACGTGACTCGTGTGCGCAGGCATCAACGTGCGTTGACACAGCTGACTCATCTGCACAAGTGACGTGCATCAGTGCTCTTGAGACAGGCCCAAAAAATGAATATCAGGGCTATCTTTTCCACCTGGCGAACGCCTGGCCCATGTGACTTCTAAGTAACAAGTGATGTACTTCAGCTTCCGATCTCCATCAGGGGTTTGTCCACTTTCCATGATCCACTGAGCAAATGCTGAAAAGATGCGGCCCCTTGTTTTGCTTCTGGACATAAATGTAGCTTCACAGAGGGTACTATTTTTTTAGCAATACAAAAATAAAATAAAATCCGCAATTTGTTTAGTGATGCAAATAAGAAGTTCCTACTTCCAAGTTATAGAAAACTTGTTTTCAAATGTGGCTAACTGTGCTTCTTTTGAAACTTTTATTCATCATTCAACTATTTATAGTTAAAATGTTGGGAAGAGATTCTGAAGCTCAAGAAATGTGCAGATGGTACTGCTCTTGCACATGTCACACAGTTTTTACTCTTCTTTGACTACATAAATCAAAACTAACAATGGTCCGAGGGTTGAAGAGGCCAATGTAAAAAAAATAATTGAGTTTTTGTTTTGCTCAAAACATTCAATTTTCGTTATATGTTTTTCTCACACACACCCCTCCCCCCAGTCCATTGAAAAATGTATAAGTGAAGTTTTACTGTAGTCTGATGGGAGTTTATAACCCAATTTACAATAAAGTGAGAATGTAGTTTAATCCTTTCTTTTCCTTTTACCAATTTCTTAGAATGTTCACTGAGCATGTATCATAACTTTTAAAAATACAGTGAAATGCCATTATATAAATGCCACTCTGAATTTCATTTTCATGCAATTTGAACTTTACTTTTTCAAAATATAATATTAATTTTTCAATATTTGAAATTCATCCGGCTTTGTAATTTAAAATTTTTATAACCATATTGTTTATTATTCAAACGATTCTATCATTAAAGCCATTTTCCATAAATAAATGAGATTAGACGAGCTGTGTGCAACTTCCAGTGCAAGTAATGTTATTGGCTGGGTGGAAGTCCAAACTTTACAAACCACCAATGAATGTTAGACCAATGAATTTGCATTTTTTCATCTTTCATTTAATGCCACCTGAGAGCCCTCTCCTGAGGTTCTCTAATCCAGCATTTTCAATATTTTCAAACCTATTGGTCTCAATCCAGTACATCTGCAGTGAATGCTTCCATGAATATAAGTACAATAGTACTATCACTAACTAAATGCTGTAACCTGCTCTGAAGCAATCAGCTTGCAAGGAGTTGTTTACTTTGCCACAGCCTCAGTTCAGCATTGCTGCTCATGTGACTTGTATGCAGTTGCTTGATAGGTGTGCAGATAACACTTCCCACTATTAGATTTCAATGCATATGTTGGGTAACAATAGGGTTCAGCTGTGGAAGAGGCCATGAATATGACCTCAAGACTGTTGATAAGTTAATATTTTAGAATTCCATCCCTCAGTCACGAAGGTGCTACTGATATATTGAATTAAGATTGAAGTAAGTGAAGGCCTTATTTGTTCAAGACTTGCAAGACTTCTAAAATGTAACTTGCTAAATGTAGCTTGATTGTCTGTAATCAGAATCAGAACCTCATCACGGTTGATCTCGTCAAGTCGTGTCTGGAGTACGATCAGAAACCCATCATTGTTCAGTCTTCGTGCTGGATGCACTGTACCCAAGACAGTGAAGATCTTTGGCTATCCAAAGTCTGATGAAAAAAAGTAATTCCAGATTCTGACCCAACATTCCTTGTACTTGCATGGTTTAAACTATAAATTTTGCATTCACTTATAATACTTGTGGAATGGAAGCCACTAGAGGACAATAAGGAAATGTGTAAAAGCCTGCATCTTCATTTCAGATCTCATACTGCTTTATAGATTATGTGCAATGCAGTTCAACAACCATTTGTCTACATATGCAAATGTTTACTTGGAAAATGTAATACGAAATTTCCTTCACAATTGCATGATGTTAAAAGAATATTACATGACAGCTGGCCAACCTGCAAACATTTTGAAAGACCTAATGAAACTTTCCAATGTTAGTGCTAATATTTTATAGTTTATATGTTCAGTATACAATTAAGTTCTGTACCACCCTCTGTTTTACTTTCATCCCCTCAAAACTCAGTAAAATGGTTTAATGTGTAACTAAAATGCCCAAGTAATTTTATCAAACTTCAATTTCTGGGAGGCCTATTTTTAAATTCCCCCAATTTTTTCATCAGTTCAAAATGTTCTGTATCAAATTAGTGTCCTGCCTTTGTGACTGGCCCTCATTTTTTAAAATTACCACAAAGCATCATACAGCATTCACAATATTTCATGAATACTTTTGGGTGTCTGGAACGTAAAAAATGAATTCATTTTAGTTCTAATGAAAAATATTTCTACACTAATTTGGTTTTTATCAGACCTTTTCAAATGGATCAATAACAAAAAATTAGGTTTTACAGTCTCTCAAAAATATAAAGAATGTTCAAATATAAAAGTTCTATTCAGATTATTCCCACAAGTTGTTTAAAGATGACACTTGCTAAACCAACCTGAAGCCAAGACGAGCACTCTCTTCATCAAATTGCTCTAATTCACGTTCCTGGCGTTCTTTCAGCAAGCGCACACGTTCTGAGCGCTCCTGTAGAAACTGCTGCGTTTCCAACTCCATCTAAAATGAGGAAAGATTAAAATCACATCTTTCATCCCCATATCAACTGATGATATAGAAGTACACTGATTCCCAATTAAATAACTAATTGAATTTTTATTAATTACAAATACAAAAGATTACTTAATTAGCAATTTCAGGACATTCAAATATCCTTTCATCGATGTTTCAAAGCAATATCATTCACCATTTGTCAGATAAATAAAGATAATAGTAAACGTATCTTAGATTTTGAATAGATCCAAACCATGACAAAATGATGTTGATTTATCTAGCATTTTAAATGTATTCCTCCAAAAAAGTTACTAAGTTACACTTTTGTATTAAGTGTTACCGAGCAAATGCCTACCTTGTTTTCAAGAAGGGCTCGCCGAACAGATACTCTGTCCTCCAGTTCCTTGCGCTCACGATTGCGCTGTGCCTCTGCCTGCATTTTGTTCTTTGACTGGTAGGCCATAAGAATTTCTAATTCATATCGCAGACGCTCCTTCAAATGATGGCACTCTACTTCTTGCGATTCATCCAGACGGATCTGAAACATGCCAATCCATCTCTTGAAAGGGTTACCTTTTGAAGGAAAGAATTACCGTTTACTTCCATTTCCAAACTGATGGCAATTTAAACATTAGATGCTGATGCGTAAATGGTATTTTACTGCAATAAGACTTCTTTCATACAATCAGAAACATCCAAAAGTTTAGCCAAAATATTAAAAGGATAGCAGTACTAGCTTGCTGAAAGTTGCACCAAATGAACCTGAAACCTAAGGAAAGCAAAAGATTGATCAAAACTCATCAAGGAAGATTTAATTTGAAATAATGAAGCATTCACGTTTTTTTTTTTAATCATAATTTTTCATGAGTACGATCAAAAACTTGCAAATGTTTTAGCAGAACCAAGCATAGTGAATAAACAATTAAAATTTTGTAGCTAGTTCTTTCTCACTGTAATTATAATAGGAAGTTGAATTTTGAATTTCATATGAAGATCAAATTTTTAATTTCTAATAATTGTAAATGCGAAAAAAATTTTCTTTGAGAATAACCGTCATGCATTTGCTATTGTTCCAAATATATTCATGCTTTACACAAAATTTTCAGAAATAAGTTGCATGCTAGACAAGGCACCAAGTGATCACTGCCTTTAGATCTCAAATAATATCTTTTAAGTTTCTTACACTGCATTCAGATGGAACCCTGAAATAACACACAAAAGGAAGGCTGCATGTCAAATAGCTATGCCCTCAGTCTTTGAGGTAATTTATAACATCCAGAATTCTTTTAAAAAACCTAATCTCATGCGTTAGAGATTTCTTTCCCTCTTGTGTGAAGAAGATAAAATGATTCCGATTTTTTCAAGCAAAGTCTACCCACCATACACAAAAGCAAGTCCATAACAATGGCACAATTAACTACTGACACTTTTAGCAACACAGCAGTCCTACAACTACTCAATGGCTGAGATGTACAGACAACTACAGAAAACAATATTTACTAAAAAAAATGAAACAAGACCAGTTTATGCTGTGCAAGTTTCCATGAGGAAAAGGTTAGATCCAAGATATTTATAATTATTATTATTAACAACAGATTTTATTAACATATCTGAGAAGAGAAGAGTTCAACAGGCACTTGAACAACATAAGCTAAGCCTTCTCCACACAAGAAGAAGAGACAATTGAGAGAAATAGTTTTTGGATAAATTTAGGTCAGTGATTACCTGAATTTCCTATAAGGGTCCCGACAGTCAGACATGTCAGTTGAATGGCAACAGAGGAGTGCGTGAAAGCTACTGATCACAGGGAAGTCTAAGAGAGCCCCACTTGCTTTAAAGCTTTAGCATTACTAAATACATCAGCACTTCCAGAGTGAACACAGCACTTTTGCAGACAATGGTGCAAATTTATTTAGCATTCATTATGCACATCATAATAGCAAATGGAGCACTCTTAGCCACTCTTATTTAACTATTTCATCTAATGTATGTGATTAAAGTTTCTATGAACGCAGGAAGAAATAAAACCTACATTATTGAAGCTGCACTTATTAAGAGAAAAATAAATTACTAAAAAGAATTATTTTATTTACTAAACAGAGGAGCAAGTGAAACACTATTTTAGGGTGACTACTTTGTTTTAAATTTTCTGTTAAATTACAAAGCAAAACCCTCCAGTGAAACATCAACTTGTAACATTTATATAATAAACAAAGAAAAAGCTATCTTTTAGGAAATATAGCCTGCAGTGAAATTTTACTACTATAAGTAAAGATTACGTTAAGAAAGATGCGAACAGACGGAAGACAGCTTTTTAAGATGGTTTAATTAAATGAGTGATAATTTCCGCTAATTTCTTCTAAAAATAAAAGATTGTTCCAAGGGCTCTTTTAGAAGAAACATTTTCATACACAAATAACAATTTTATTTCAGAAATGTAATTTTAATTCTGAAAACAAAGTGGACCCTACAAGGATAGATCTACTGCTGGAAGAAAAATCTTCAATTGTTGGAATATTTCACCATTATGATAAATTTATATTTTTCAAATGTGTATTTTCTGTGGCATAAATTTCTTGCAACTTCAGTACTTGAAACTCCGGAATATACTAACACTTCAAAAGGAAAACAGTCTTAAGTGTTTATTAATATAATTTTAGAACTGGTCACTAGCCAAACAGGATTTAAGCCCGCATATTTTGCAGAAAGCACAGTTCCTGTTCTAACACATTTTTGACAAAAAGGAAAGAACATAATATAAAATTTGTCATGAAAAATGCAATATATAAATAAAGGTCTCAAATGACTAGTGATATTTTCACAAACTCTGAACAATCCTAAATTAAAATTATAATGTCCATAATTCAAAATCTTAGACCCTTAGGTCCATTTACAACTATCATTAGTTTTGTGCAAAAGCAATAAGTAGGTAGGGTCCACTTGTTCCAATAAGGAAAGAAAATGCTGACAGTTAAATTATAATTCCAAGAAGAAAATTAATATTTGAAGTTTCATCTGAACATATTTTCCCCATCAACCATGAAGATGCACATGCATGCCAATGATTATGTTTCTAGTTCTGAAAAGAGATTGTATAATGCTGATTGAAGTTTGAACTGTCAAACACATTCTTTCTTTATATCAATATATTACAGGTCAAATACTAAAGATAACAGAAATTAATTTAAATTAATAACAGAACACTCACCGACTGCTTCTGCAACATCTCTGCAATGCTCTGCTCATACTGGTCACCTAAAAGAGCCAACTTGCGCCTTTGCTCTTCCTTCAGCTTCTTGATGACTACTTTCTGTTCATCTTTGGCTGTCGTCTGAAGGATCTGTGCCTTTAAGGCCTTGTATTGCCTTGTTTGGATCTTACAGGTTTCTCGGAATTGTTTCCGGATTTGCATCTCCTTTTGCTACAAGACAAAAAAAATTAACTTCAGAGAATTTTTGAGATCTTGACATTTGGAAACTTCAAGTATCGTCTCCATTCTTATCACACAGTTAAACACAAATAGCCGATAAGTTTCCCCAAGTCCAATAGGCAATTACCTGACAATCATTTTCAAATTATGTAAAAATGCAACATATTAAGTTATCTTCATAGCTTTCACAGAAGCTAACCACAAGTCTTTTGAGAGAAAATCCTTATATCTTCTCAGTACCTATTGCACGAATATCTGGTACCATGCTCCAATATGGCAAAAATACAGACCTGCTAATACATTTATCATAGATACTGAAATTACTTACACTGCAAAATATTGTACAACTATTTTAAAAATTATTTGCTAAATAATATTCGTGTATTGTGACTCACTTAAGGGCATGATATAATGGTGAATAAAAACGTTCAATGACAGTACAAAAATAAACATGCTAAATGATGTAAAAATAAAAAGGAATATGCTTAAAACAAAATTTGATAATAGGCATGCATTTATGACCTAAAATTTGAGAGAATGACAAGAAAATATATCTGAACAATATGTTTTTTCTGAAGTTTATTGTCGAGGGAATGAAGCATTACAAAATAATAAATATTTGTTACTGAAAGATTTGAAGTGTGCGATGTCTGTCTATGACCTCAATGGAGAGCAAAATGTTTCATTGATTTAGAATATTGAAAAGTTTGAATAAAGAACTACATGTTATCCTCCCAACTTAAAATGGCATAGTGTTGCCTTCTATGTGAACTTATGCATTTCGTGCCAAAAGCTCTGCGAAGTTATGATACAAAAACAAGAACATTAAAAGAAAGGTTTTTAACATTTAATGAATATTTTTATATTAATATAAATATACATTAAAAAATGTATTGTTTCTTATGGAAACAACCAAACATTTTGTTACACTCTCCCACATTACAAAAATTTACTTTTCATAACAGCTTACATTTTAAAATATACAAAGGCTTTTCAGCTACTATAATGCAACCAAAATTAAGATTTCACTGACAATTGCAAGCATTAATTTTGTGTTTACTCTTCAAATTTGAGTTTAACAGTGATTATGAATGTAGAATTCTGCTAGAGTAATGTTTAAAATCAACAATATAATATTTTCACTAAATATTAATTTTTGCCCCCTCCAAAAAGTAATTTTGTATTTCACGCGAGAATTGTCACTTATGTGAAAACTTTTTCAAATGGTTCAAAACTTGGTTTTTTATACCAATATACAAATATCCATTACTTTGCACATTTGCAGCCAGTAATACTGATTTCTATGTTTGGCCGAACCTAGATTTGTGAGCTTTTCCCCCCTTCTAAACCTTACTTTATTAAATATACTCCCCAAATCACATTTAACAGATTGAAATTTAACTTAAAATAAAGTATTTATTTACTGAGAATATGACACTAAGGGCCAAATTCATAGTCGTCACTTGTAGGATAAGCAAACCCTTCAGTGATAAGTGCTTTCTCAAAATAAGTGTTCACATATAGGCGCTCGTATTTCATAGACGTTCCTTACGACTGCTGAGTGAGTGTTCCCTTAAGCGGAAGGGAAATGTGGCAAGATGGCATTGGCGGCAGCTGTTTCGAAGTTCTTGGCAACTGAGTTTACATACGCACTTCATCTTGTACAAAGGGTGTCCAATTTAACAGGGGGTGGACACTCCAACGTACGGCACATCGCAAGCACGGCAAAATACTCTAATATGTCCTCATACAAAACGAGATGTTTTGATATTGGTATATTTTACTAATGAGATTACTACCAATCGCTAATAACAAGCAGATTTGCAACAATATAATCTATGATTCTCATATAGTTTCAATGACTGACACCGGTATCATGTTAATATTATTAAAATGTATTTATTACAAATCCCTAATAATAAGAAATGTTTGGTAAAAAATATAATCCATGAACCTCGTATCAATTAATGAATCAATTGATATCAATTAATGAATTTCTGCAATGGCTTGTGCATTTTCTACACATTATTTGTGTGCAATATTGGGTTGTAATATAATACTTAACATCAGTTTCAATTGATTCCTCAACATTAACTTATGCTCTAGTATAACTAATGAACATAAGGTGGTGGTATGGTAACATGGTATGAACGTAAGTCTGCCAATATTGGTAATGGATTATTAACATTTCATGTAACTGAAAATGTCAACCCCATGTAGCATTAACATAAATTCCATTTTACAATTTAAATTACTTCCCTTGTTATTCATATTATGAAATTCATAATTACTTGTACTATGTCTTATAAATCAGAAATGAATAAAAGTTAAAAATTTTGGAAACATTCCTGAAATGATGAAGTTGCATAACATCTTAATGCAACGAGAACTTTTAATAAGGGGAAAATTGGCAATTCTCTTTTAGTCATAGGGACTTTGTCGATCATCGGCACAAGTGTATCCACTACAGTAGTTGTATTGAAACGAAACCTCTTTCGGAATTGTTCATCATTCTACATTTCCAATGGGTTGCTCGTATCTCTAATATATCTCTCCGAATTTTGGCAGGGTGCGTAGTTTAAAACTCAAAATTATCTTTGAAGTCGTTTTCCATAACATGTTTCACAAATGATAGGTTTTTACTGCCTACACTATACAAACACCAGCAAAACAAATTTAAAGTCTGAACGTCGCGTAATATTATAAGCTAAACTGGTTACGACTGACGATGCGACGGAGCCATAATGGATACTTAAGGGAGCAGGCTGCTTTGCTTATAGGAATGAGTGCTCACTTAAGAAGACTTCACTCAAGGGCTGTTCATGAATACGATTCGTCCACTTCAGGGAACACACTGTGTAAGAGACTACTATGAATTCGGCCCTAAGGCATTTGCAATACTCAAGAATGTATTTGCCCAATGTACATAAAATACAACAAGGTTTGGTTGTAATCCTTCAGAATATCTGGGTAAACTGCTGCATCGAGAAGACGCCTGAGAATTTAAGCTGCCATCTTCACTTAGTTTGAAAGGTGCTGGACAGTGGCATCATGTCATGTCAGTCATAGTCACATTTGCCAACTACAGCTGTGCTCAGACACCAGCAGCTGCTGGACCATCAAGCAAGAGAAAAAAAAATCTTGCTTAACTTGTCCCAAAATTTGAAATTGCATTTTGTGAGAACACTGTTTTAATCACTGAATTATTTTGCATTGTATCATGGAGTACTTATGCACTGAATAAACAAGAAAAATATAAGTTATCAAGTGTCAATGACATGAACTATGTACTGAAGAGGACTGGTTCCATGTAACTATAGTGTAACTTCACTTCTACATTTTTCAGGGGACTGAGAGGGAAAAAAATGAATAAGCGAGTAAAATGCATATATTAAAAATTTAATATTATGAGCTAAACAAAAACCCAATAGTTTCAAATTTGTGTGCTCCACTCTTGGATCTGCTTGCAGAATTGCTACTACTTTTGATTTATTTAGTTAAAGAACAATACAAAATATATGTGATGTAAGGGGGAGAAGCAGCATCTGCACATGTTTTTTTGTTGTTCCAGAATCCCTCTCCTTGATTTTAACTATAAATAGCACCAGCTCTACTCCTACTCAAAGTGGACAAAACCTGATCATGATGGGGGGTCAGTGATTCGGAAGCTGATATACATTACTTGTAACATAGGAGAAATGCGAGCCAGGCATAGGCCTGATCGGAGAAAAACATATGCTATGTTCACACTTTATGTAGTCAGTTGCTTAATGTCATTATAAATGATTGATTCAATCTAATTTCATTATTTTCCGTAAGGTCTGTGTCACATGAGCATTGTGTTGATGCCAGATTAAACACCCTGAATAGCAATAAAATTAAACAACCTGAATACTACATTCAACACAAACAAATCCTTAGCTCCTCTAAGATAACAAACTTTCTCACTTACTAGTCACCTAAATTGTTATCATTCAGATATTATATGGTCTTAAAGGGACTTCTTTTATGACCACATATGTGAAACACGCTTCTAATAATTTAGTGTGGGAAGAACAGAAATTTATCCTGGACTTGGCAAAAAACAGCAAGAACAATAACTTCTAAATCTAAAGGGCAACATTTATAAACAGAGTTTCACTGTATTAGGTTTTTTTAATGATTAAAATAAAATGTTAATAAAAATAAAATTTCCCCCCCAAACATCTTGCATTAAAAATGAATCGAACAAGACAGTCTTATAGATAGGATTATTCTTTCCCAATTTTATCTCATTATTGGAATTGTACACACTGATATTTTATTAACAAACTGAAATTTAACTCGAAACATCAATTTTCGCTTTATTGTATTAGAAATACAGGTTTTCCATATGTCCCAGAGTTGGCTCAACCACTCAGAATAATATATCCTGGCTTACCTTCAACGACTTGGGCTGCTGCTTGAGCTCCAGGGCATGCTTCTTTCTCAACTCGCGCTCAGCACGTTCCATGTAGTCCTGCTGGTTAGCCAACTCTGTTGAGTGCTGGCGCTGCACTTGTTCTTCGCGTAACTGATGCACAGCTTTCTGCTGTCGGTACTCAAGCTCTTGAGTCTTCTCATGATGGCGGAGAAGCATTGCATGGGCCTGCTCCAGCTGCTGTTGCCGCTTGTTCAATTCCTATGGCAACATTTATCACCTCTTTAATTTGCTCATACCTTAAACTGGGTATTTTATATCACATATACAAGTGAAAACAATGTCAAAATACATCTCAAATTTAGATTAAAGTTGTTCATGGCTTCTTATAAATTCAGCAAATTAATGAATACATTAAAATGAGCATACGAAATAGGTAACAGATTAACATTATTTTTGATCCATAATGTTGATAAAAATTAAAATTTTAAACTACTTTCATTCTCCAAAGTTATGGTAAAGGGGAAAACAAAAATCATAATTATACCATAAAGTAGGGGTAGGATTACCTTTCTCTTCTAAACTATGAATTATTACACCACGCTAAAAAGGCACATCCTATAGTCAATTCAAAAAACTGACAAAACATTAATAATCATTAATAATAATTTCATTAATTTTGGATCAATTCATTTTAAGTGGTCCAGAATTTAATAAATTGGTCGCTTGACCATCTTGAAAAAAATTCATATTTTGTTCATAAATATCCTTCTGATTTGACTGTTAAAAAAACACATCTTAATTAAAGGAATTTAATATGTATTTTCACATGGAAACATTGGGAATGTTCAGATTCCTGGAGAGATTCTGGGTGTAAGAATTGCAAAACATGCCAATACTTACTTCTCGAAGCAATTCCTGTTCAAGATTATGATACACCAGCATTTTTTTCCTTCGAAACTTTCTAATTTCAAGGTCCAAATATTCTTTTTGACCACGAATCAACCGTTGTTCTTCTTGTGCTTCCATTAATTTCATATTGTCTTTCTGGCTTCTATAAATGAAAAATAATTGTTAGAAGAAACAGCAGTCATTGTCTTACCCACAATACTAAACTCATGACAGCATGCTCACATAATAAAGAAATGTCCACACAATATTATTCACAAATATTAAAAATAATATGTTGTGATAAAAATCTTAAAGTACTAAAGCATTTGACAAATTTGATATGATGCGAACAATTTAGAAGTAACTATATAATTCATTCACAAAAGAGATTCCAAACTCAGGAACCTTTACATGCTAATAATGCTATCATTCCGTTAATATGGCAGTACATGATTTTTGAAAGTTATACTCTTGCACGTGGAGCATGTTTACTCATGACATAAAAATGATAACACATTATGTATCACAATAAGGCTTTATATGGTACTTTAGTAAATAAAATCTTCACAATTCCGAATTATGTATACATGACATTATTAAAAAATACAAAAACACAATTTTTTACTATAATAATCCAGAACTTCATCTGGCATAACATAGTCCTCATTTCCTACTTTTGTCAGTGTCAATTCTGAATCTGATTCAATCCATTCAATATTTTAGCATGTGAGAGAATAGGCTTCCGCAGCCGGAGTCAGTAGCTACTTCGACGTTCAGAAGACAGAAAAGGAGACTCCGAGCATTTCGCCCCGAGGAAGGTCACAGAATGGTAGCCAAATCTTCGACACTTGTGTCCAGGACGCAGCGTCTCCTGGACAGCCAAGTAGCTATTTTAGCATGTGGCTCTGATATGGCAGTTTACCATTTCATCCAACCCAATCACAATAGATGAAATATTTACTCCAACAATGTTTAAGGACAATAGACTAATGATTAATTATTTCTCAATGCGTGGTTTGTAAATTTATCTGATGGATGAAACACCAGTACTATAATGAAGCTATATCATAAGGACTATTATTATGCAGCCATCTAATAAAAGAATTATACAATGGGAGTAGAAAGAAAGTCATTTGAAGTAATAGTCATTTCTCCCTCCCTCCTTGCATTTTTGAACAGTCTGATGCTCAGGCTGCATTAAAATGCACTTGTCTTTCTTTTTAATACTGCAACATTTTTTCCTTGTATGCAGATTTCTGTTAATTTGGAAATATCTTGAAAATGGGGGAATCATCAACAAAACATTGTAATATTTGATGAATGTTGACAGAATTGTCCAAACAAACTGTACTTCTTTGCTAAGTATTTTATTCACAGCTTCAACATATAGGTGTAGGACAAGTTTAAAAAACAAACGCACAAGACATGGAGAGAAGGAGAGTACATAAAAATTTACAGATCTAACATTGAGGTAATTGTAGCATTAAGAAAAATCTTTAATAATAAAGTGGTAGGGAGTCAAAAAACATTTGAACTTCGTAATTTTCAAAATTCCAGAAGTTTTAACGGAAATCTAACCTTAGGCACTTTTTAAACAGCACATTCAACTGGATTTGAACAAAATATTTAAAGAAAAAACTAGGAACAGTTTTTGAGAATATCATGTTTGAGTATTTTTGTAGAAGTCTTTGTGTTAGGAGTCAAAATTACTCATATTATGAAAAATTGTAGAATTGTTTAACATCATTTCAAGATATAATAGTGAAAGAGATTTCATTAAGGAAACATCTACTTCTTCAGTAATGATGTGGTAGGATGGTATAGAAAAAAATATTAATTATTGCAATTTTTGAAATTCATGTCTTACTGAAAATCAGAGTTGGATAATTTTTGTAAGCATATTTTGCTCTAATCAAGCTAACAAGTACGAGAAAACTAATAATGCTATTACAGTACATACTTTTTTGCACTTAGTACTCGATTATCTAATATTGCCACACACAATATACCACAATTACTGTTCAATCACACATTCCAGTCCTCAATTGTAAAAACTATTACAAATAATAGATCATGAGGTGCAAAAACTAATTCTTTCGAAGGTAATATCAATAACACAAGTTTGACAATTAAAAATGTTTCATATAGCTATGGACTTTTCCCAACAATGAGAAGGAATTCTCAGAATTTCAATCTGCCAAGCCATGGTTTGGCTTTGCATCATGTATTGCAATCTGACATCTTGTGAAAGTCAAGGAAATGAAGTGCGGAAAATTTTAATGTGCAAATTTCAAACATTTACACTAAACTCTCCATATTTTAAAAAATGTACATGACCTTTCTTTGAGAACCAATTTCTTAGAACACATTCCATTAAGAAAAAAAAGCATTATCACTACTGTTCTTTTGCTATGTTAATTGTTAGCAATTTTCAAAAATACTGAGATTCCCTGAAAATGGGACCAGTAACACTGTCTTTACCACTCTTTGTGACATACAAGAAAACAAATTTAAAGAAAACAATTAGAGCCATTTTTTGAGAAAATGGTCATCTAAAAATTTCCTCCATTTCATGCTAAAAATTACTATTTGCAAAAAATTGAACATGAAATTATTTAAAGTTCTGTTTTTGACAGATTTCATCAAGGGAAAAAAAAATTTCTTGATTATTGTAGTTGTAAGAACATCGAACAAATTTTGAACTTTGACAATTTAAAAAAGAATCTGAGTTCAATGAAATCTGACCCATGTCAATTTTTGATTTCTTCATACCATCTGAGCATGATATTAACTGAAAAAATTTTGAGCCATTTCAGAGAAAATCTTGAAAATGTACTTGAGGCTTCATGTAAAGTAAGCCTCCCGCCTCATCAAAATATCGATTTCAAATTCAAAGGGCAGTGACTTCAGATCAATCAATTAGATATTTGTAAATCCTGCTTACGTTTTAGCCACTATGGTTGTTCACAGATGGATGGATGGACATATGTTTTGCTGTAAATTCAATTCTCCCGTATCAAAGATCCCCGAAACGTTAAAATGCACAACACAATTTGTTGAAGTAATTTACTAAATAAAGAAACAAGATTTATTCCCTTTTTCATTTCTAGGGCCTTGCGATAAGAGCATTGGTTCCTAAACCGATGAACATAATAAACATTGAAAAATGAAAATTTGTAAAATGTAACTAGAATTAAAAAAAGACCACAATTGTTTGCCCTTGCATTAGGTATGTCTATGTCCAATTAATTTATTGACATCTGTACACTAAAAAAAAAAAACATTTCACAACCCAATGTTGGCACATCATTAGATGTTCAGTAATACAATATGTTTTAAACAATTAAAAAGTTTCTTTCGTCATAAAATTTAAATCTGGAAAAACAATATACATGATGAAAGCATTTCAACTACAAATACAATATAAATTTTAAATACAATATCAAAGAAACCTTTAGAATTGTATGACTGCAACAAAACCTCAAATGGTATATATTTGTTTTAGCTGATGATACGACCTCATTATGAACATCCAATGATGCAACTACATTGGGTCAAGAAACATTGTTATTTTAGTGCATAGTTGTCAATAAATTCGCTCACAAAGGTTGTATTAAATAAACAATTGGTTTAAAACATGAATCGATCTGATTGTCTTTAATGTAAGAGGATATCACTGCACTTAGAATTATAAACAGAATTTCAAATAACCAGAAAAAAATCTCTGTCATCCATACATATCTTTTGAGCACCTCATGGCAAAACAATGACTAATAACCGGAAAAATTTACATCAAATAAATTAAAATAATAGATAAATATCAACACAAACAATTCCATTAAGTAAGCATCTAAGCTAACCAGTTTAAGAAAAATTTAGAAAGCAAATTTTACTCACTGTAGAGTTGCATCTCGTTGCCGTTTCGGGGTGCTTTCATCTAAGCTGAGTTCCCGCTTCCATCGTTCCTTGCTGGCCTTGTATTCCTTCTTCTTGTGAGCTTCAAAAGCCTTACGATCAGCATCATGCCGTGCTGCTATCTCCTTGTGGAGCTTCTTCTCAGCAGCAGCATGCTGCTTTAGTCGACGATCCAACTCTTGCTGGTGGCGAGCTTGCAATCTTTCAAGTTCTTTGGAGAAAGTTTGCAAGAGTCCTTCGTACTCCTTATCAAGAACTTGTTTGTGACTGTCCATTTCCACTTTACACCGCTCTTCCAACTACAAACAAATTACATCAATGTAAAATTTCAAAGTTTAAGATTGAATTCATTTTTGAGTGGGCAGCTAATTACAGAAATATTTATGACCTGAATTTACTTTGGTCTTATTGAATAAATTTCTGTGCTTCCAACTCAAGTTTTTCTCTGAAGTATTTGAATTTGAACAACTCATTAACACTAGAATCAGAAACACACACTCTAACATACAAGAATCCAATGTTTCTAGTGATAACAGCAATTTAGAGAGAAAATAAAATTAAAAACAAAAGCACAAACCAGTTAGTTTCCTTCTCTTTTCAGGTAACACCTCATTAAAGTTTAACAATTTTTTAAAAAATACTTAATAACGCAATTCTAAAAATATGTTCCTCCACTACGTTTTACTCTGCAAGTTATCTCAATGCGAAAGCACAGTCCAAAACATGTTCTTACCTTGAGTAAGGCAGCCTGGTGCTCCCTGCGCATCCGCTTGTAGCCAGTCATTTGCTCATGCATTTCCTCTTGCATGTGCTCCTTGTGCTGTTTCGTGACAATGGAAGTGGTGCGGATGGTAGCAAAGTTGTTTGGAGTACTGTGGTCACCACCTGCACCAGCACAACTGGTGGAATTGCTTGGCTGTAAAAAAATTAAAAATCAATCAATCAAAGGACCACATTCATTCTCCGCCTCCAGAAAAATTCAGAAAGCCACAACAAACACAGTCCATGTGGTTTCCACACAATAATGAACAGTTTATCAACTTGCACATGCTGGTAAATTCTGAAAGTTGTTGTTATCCTAAACAGAAAAGTTTTGAAATATTTCAAAAACTTGGCAGCAGATTCACAAAATAAGAAATATTTGAATTTATTTAGATATGAAAAATGATAAAGGAAGGAGAAGAAACAACACATATTTCTGTGTTCAGAAAGTCAAGCTTTTTTGCAAAGTTCAAAACACAAATTCCGAATATAAAAGAAATGGTTACAAACATCACAAACAGCATGACAAATTCAAGTTGTACTTTTAATCACAAGCTCGAAATTATTGCAATTATCAACTAATTTTATAAAATAAACAAATTGGTAATTAACATTCTTTCTAGTCAATTTGCTAACCTTACATTTTGGAAACCTTATTTACAAGAAGATACTATAGAATCATTTGTCTCTCATCTATTAAGAATTCATTTTCAATTTGCTATCTTTTGCGCAAGTCTTAAATAAAATATAGCCAAAAGAAACGCACAATAAGCAAATTCAGAAAAGATACACACTTTAATTACACTCTAGAAAAATATGAAATACATTGCAAACACACAAAAGTAAGCACAAGCTCCAGTATAAACTATTCATTACATTAATTTAAATCATTAGCCCAAACATGCACCATTTACTACATACATTCTAAGGCAGATACAAGCATAGTAGAAGATTATTTTAGTTGGATAAATGCTGTGAATTTAACACACAAATGTGCTTAACAGTTTTGTAAGGAAGTATGTCAGAAGTTCTACGATATTCACAACTTGGTTACAAGTAGACAGACAAAATTTTACAACGAGTAAGGCATACTTAAGAAGGACTACAGCAAGGCAGCTTGGAACAAACTAGGGACGTTTCCTAAACATTTTCCAAACCAAGTACAAAATGTCATTTATGAAGACATAGATCATTTTTTTATTGTCATTGTGTGGAGGCACTCCGAGGCATCAATATACAATAGCCCACAACATATTCAAAAATTCTACAAAAGTTGTAAAACTAGTAAGAGAAATATTAACAAGCAAGTGGAATGGGAAACAGGGAATCAAGCATTCAAACCCAAAAGCATAATACAAAGTCTACCAACTACATTATTTTAACAATCTGTTTTATGAGAATTGTAACTTTAATAAGGTACTGTGCTGATATTTTTACTCTTATCTGTCAAAATCTCTAAAGTCCAAGTTTTCCAAACATGATTTCAAGGAAATGCATGGTTCTATTTTAATGTTATGGGAGCTGAAAATATTGAGATCAGAATTCTAAGTTTGTGAAATTGAATATGGCTATCTATCAAACATCATAACTTCAGTTCAATTATTTTTAGTGACCTAAATGTAGTCACTGAAAATTTTGAGTGACAGAAATGAAACAAATTTGCATTGATTTCTACAAAAAAGACTGAAGACACTGTTAAACCTCTCAAAATGGGAGGGATAGGTCCAATTCAAACATGCAAACAACTGCTTATGTTTCAAGCATTAAAAATGTTGCTAAAGTTGTTACTGCCTAACGTTCAAAAATGAACATGCTAGACATTCTTTATCCAAATCTAAACTACAATGTTCAACAATGTGCAATATAATGAATTAATCATAACTAATTAACCAATAAGAGTGATGCACTTTCTATAACAATGAAGTATTTTTATTGTACTTTGTTTTCCATGTGAATGGACTGCACAAAAAATAAAATAAAAACAATAAAAAATAAATGAGTGATTACATGTGAATGGACATATGACAAAATGTCAGGCAATATTCTTCTATTGAGTGAACAGACAAAACTCTTCATCACGAATTTGATTATACAGTGAAGTTATCTAATCTGTAAGTCAATGTGGATTCTTGAAAGTCTACATTACTGAAATAGAAATACAAACATTTCCCTGCAATATATAAAACACCTTTTCCTGATGGGCAATGTAATTAGAGCAAACATTTTTCTTTGATTTATCTTTTGGGTCAATGACCCCCCATCTCAACCAGATTTTTGGTTCACTTTCCCACGACCCAGCATCAAGCTGGGATGGTCACTACTGTAAACATAGATTTTCTACCTGAATGTGCTTCACTGATCTCTATGGGATATTAGTTGGAAAGTTTATTTCCTTTGTCAGCTCTTTATCATTTAATGATCGAGGTCGCAAGGTAAAAGTTCTTAAAAGATCTTATATTGAAAATAACAAGGGTCATGTTATAAAGTAGTTTTTGACTACACATAACTTGAAAAAGTTTGTGGCCTTCTTGTTTCATACAATATAATATACATGTAGATTACTAAAACAAAATCTACATGAATTAAAAAAACAACAGTTATCACACCTTCAGTTATCTTATGTGAACAAAGTTTAAGATGGACTAATAGTTGTGGCAGATAAAATGCTGCTGAACAAAACCATACAAAATGGTTTTCCACAAACCAACATCACACTGCTCAAGGGCAAATAAAATATTCTGTAATATCTCATAACACTGCAATAAATTTAAAAAAAATGAAAGTATTGATGAATCTGCAATAACACAGTGTAGTATATATACAGTACAATTCTTTACATCTTAAGAAAATTGAACTAGTGCTGCTATAGAATGACAGACTGTCTTGTCTAGTAGTTTTCTGATCGGTTTAGTTTGGGCTAGTTATTCAGTTTTCCCCCATCCTCTTCCCAGATGCTACGTATCAACACCTAAAATACATTTTTTCTCCCATATTTTCTTAATTTTACACTCTCTTTAGAGTTGAATTAAAATACAAGCTTAAGAATACCATAGAAAGTGAAACTTCTTTTTATATGCACGTTTTCATTGAAAAATTTGAAATCGTTTTTGAATTAACATTGAAAAATTTTCATAAAAAATAATTTGAAGTACTTGTACTCGCAAATGCAGTATTTTAAGAACGCCTATAATGTAAATATTAATAACTAGAAATGTATCCAAAAAAAATTTCATATTTGTAGCTTTTTGGTGAAAAAACATCAAATGGTGTTTATCCTATTCTGTGAATTTAGTATTATCCATACAGAATATTTGAAGAACAATATTAGAGCAATTTTTGAGAATATTTTGTTTTAATATTGTTCATATTTAACTCAAAATTGCATGTAAACAACTAATATTAAAAAAAAACTAATAATAACAAACAAATTTAATTTGAAGAAAAAAATTCTACCTTTAATCTCGTAGTAGTAGCAGCAAGATGCAGAAAAAAAGAATGAAGCTATTTAAAAATATAAGAGTAACTGAAAAATCAGACCTATGCCATCCTTGTAAGTGTATTTCACTCTATTCTTACAAGAAATTTAAAGTAATATTTTGAGTGTCTTAAGAAAATAAAAGATACAAGAGTAAAGATAAAGTAAGAGACATCCCAAGAGTGTCACAGAAAGTAGTGAACACCTAAAGTTTAAATGACTTCCTTCAAAACCACTGGGCTTTGAGCCAGTTCAGTGACGGGAATATTAATTATCACAACATTCCAACTAATAGTTTAGGTACTTGTGTTGTTTAGACAGACCAACCTTTTGGGAGGGGAAAAAAAGAGTAAATATCAATAAAATAGTGTCAGGGGACCCCAAAATGTTAATTTCCATTGAAATCTATTTTCAGCAACATCACAACTACTATTCCTTGTTACATACAAATCCATGAAAGTTAAAAGTTCCTGTTCCATAATACAACACATGAATAGCAAATCTTCAATTGCAATGGTCCCTTCCTCAGTGTTGCTGTTGCATGATGACAGCTGTCTTAAGCAATGACACACGGAGCATGAGAATTCTGTCAGCAAGTGTGGATTGAGAATAGGTGAAATAACATGCAAAATTGAGTTTTATTGTTTCTGTCCTTTTCCTGAATTCCTGTGTATCTAATGAATCTGTAGGTACCTTGCGCACAGCCAAAAGCTGCAAAGTTTTCTTTCAATTTCTGCTTACATTGGAAATTTGTAATGTAGATGGTATGGACCATAATTCGGAAATAGTAAGCATTGGACATTAAATAGGACCACATATTGACTTCTTGTGTATGACATCACGAGAAAACTATTTAAAAATATAAGTATAAAAATGTTATTTATTATGATTTTGGAATAGTTGATCTCTCTGTAATCTTCCTTAGGATACATAGTTTTTCTATTTATCAGGCCCAAATTGTGCTTCAATTCAATAAAAATCAACAAGGACATGTAGCTTATTATAACAATGCATTAAATTATAATAAACAAATTACGTTAATTATTTAATGAATTAATAAATTAACAAAGTTCCATAGGTCAAGCATGAGAAATTGTGACTACAGGCATTATAAGAAACCATTTAGTAAGGGCTGGCAATACTTCAATGTTTAAAACAAATGTAGAAATAACAATAATAATAATTTTATGTTATATTCTGCAGGCTGCTAACAACTTCATAGAAGACTTTTGATTCCTCGGAACATCAACAGTACACCTTAGAAACAGCAGAGTTGTCATCCTCACATCTTTTTTATCTACAGCTAAAAGTTACTAATTTGACCTGGAAATATTTAAATTGACGAAAGTTCTTATGTCAGTTAAGATGTTTAAACCAATGAAGAATTAATTTTAGTTATTTAATTTAGACTCAATCTAAAGTAAGCAGCGACCTTTGACATCAGTCATTTTATACAAATAAAATATAAGTAGTTAACTAAATTAAAATCAAAATAAGGCCAAAACTTTACTTACAAAATTTTACCTTGTGACCACAAAAATCTGAAGCTCATTTCGATTAAAATATTTTCTATTATACGAATACATGTCGAAATCGCTATTGTACTTTATTTCACAAATGCCAGACAATTTTTAATTATAAACAAAAACATTGATGTAAACTAATGAAATAAGCAAAATGATAAAGTCCTTGTCAGTTGATTAATTCATAAGATAGCAATTGGGCAAATATAAATCCAGTAAATTATCTCACCACACATTCAATGTTGTACATATTTTCTGAAAGGTGAAAAATATTTATAGCAATTACTTTTTAACAACTGATTCTATGATCAAAAATAATATTTAACAATTTATTTAAATTCATGATTAGAGAACCCTGATGTTGAAATAATGAACAACTATGCGAACTTTCCTATTTGGTGAATCTTTTATGAATTTATTTATAGTATTTATTTATGAACCACACAATTTATCATTAAAAAGGAATTAATGTATTTTAACAACAGGAAACTAGCCTGAATTTGGAACATTCCTATAAAATTATTTCTAAAATTAAATCACTTTTATTTAAGTTGTGACAAACACCTGACATGTTGAATCTTGAATTTCACAGAAAGCGATAAGGACTTGTCATTCTTTAAATGGTATTTCGCATATGATTTGAGCACAAAAAATTACGAACACAGATGCCAAAAATGACAAAGACATTGAATTCAAGAAATTTTTTTAAAATGTTATTATAAATTAACGTAATAACACGTTATAATAACAGAAATTAATTATATTTTGAATTAGAAGAACAGTATTCTTAAGAAATTATTTTAAACTTCCCTGCTATTGAAAATTTGCCACAAAAATGAATTGCTACCATTAAATTAGAATAGCGCTTAATATAGAGTAATACTGAGGATGGCTTTCTCGGAACAAACTTTTCATGGTAGCCATAATCTGAAGAGTGGAAGTAATGATTCTTGATTGTTTTTTTAACAGTTACAGATGTTTATATACCACTTCAAAACTATATCTCAGTATGAAGAAAAAGTGGCTGATGACTCCTAGTGATTCACAGAATGAAATGATCATGATTCACTAGTTCTAGATTGTTCACAAATAAATATTGATCATAAATACACACCCGTTTTTTTTTTTTTGTTTTTTTTTAAGGCATTGCAAAAAGATTGTTTAATGATAAATAATTATTTTATACAGATAAACAAGCAAGACTTTTGCTCCTTTCATTCAAATGATGCTTATAGACCTAAAAAACCTATCAATGTCACAGTTACGAGCAAAAGAAGACCAAACAAAGGACAAATATTAACCATACAAAACAAGAACAGTACTTTGAATATATCACAACAGAGTAGCTGCATGATAACTTTTATTCAGAAACAAACAATGAAATAAAATAATGAAACATTTCTGAAAACTAAATATTCTCACTGAAATATTTTGTCTATTTTCACTAGGGGGTGCTCATTCGGCTGGGCAGTGGAGTACACTTTGGTCACCCTGCACATGACATCACCATTGAGAAAGTTTAAGCAACCTGACATGTGAAGGACTTTGTTTTTCGTGGTTTGGTTGTGTTTTGTTAAGTATTTGTGTTACCAAAAATATACACTATCAGGATTTAGAATACACAACGTTACATTTAAAGTTTTTTTAGTGTCAGAGAAAATGATGGTGTTTTGGAGTACATGTGTATGACGTGTGTTTGTGTTGAGGTTAGGTTATGAAATTAATTTTATTATATTCTGCAAACATGCCTCAATGTGCAGTGCCTCATGAATAAGAAATATCTAATTTTATTAAGTTAGTGAAGGATGTTTGACATAATGAATTCAAGGGCTCTGGAATCTGTCAATCCTCCTATTGTAAATGCTTTTGGACTGCATATGCAAGCTCCAGACAATTACTGAAAACCTTTGTGCAATTTGTGAGACTATGCAGTTTGGTAGAAGAGTCAGCTTACTTCCATTCCAAAAACAATTCATAATCTGTTTGTTCCCTGATTTCCTGTCACAAAGAACTTGAAAACAATTACATCAAATACATTTTTACATCTTGAAATCAAGGCTGCCTGAAAAATTTCTTAGATTCTTACAATGATGAATATATGATCACTATCTCCCTGTTGAATTCAAAGGTCCGCTACATCTAGTTATAATGAGCAGAAAAGTTACAAATATAACATTAAACAGTTCTTGTCCTATGGCTGTTGTTCAAGTAAATGCACATCTCACATCTTATTAAACAGTTAATTCCCAATGTGGAAGAAGCACTGACAGTGGTACAGGACGACTTGGAGGAAGAACAGAGGATGACATTAGATGTTCCTCTTTGGAATGTACACCTGAAGATCTACTATATTTAGCTATGTCCATAGCTCAGCATTGTGATATGTTTGTTCTCTTGTGTGATATGTTTGTTCTCTTGACATAGATAATGAACAAATGGAGACAGTTTCTTCTCATTCAGGAGGAGGTTAGGTAGAAAAAATGTCTCGGTTTTATTGTCCCTACAAATAATTAGTTAAATATATTTTCATAAGTTTGAACTTTTATTGTAATTCAGTGGTCAGCATAGTGTATGCAAAGACCATAATGTGGTAATACAGGGACTCTGCAAAACTGTCATACAAATTTCCACCTTTGCATCCTCAAATGGCAAAGTTTTACACCAGAACAAGAATATTGACTAGGATACCACATTTAAATATTGAAGCCAAAGCAAGAAAATCAGTTGAACTTCACAAGCAAAAGGGAAAAAAGTGTATTGCAGGCTGTATTTTCTTCAGTTTTGGAACACAGTTAAGGTATATGTTTATTTTACTTTCTTGTTTTGATATTTTACAATTTTTTTCAGAATAACAGGGGGTGATTGAATGCCATAAAATCTAATGTGATATCATTCTTTCCAAGTATAGGGTTAAAACTAAGTTAAATCATACAAACAGATTACATTTAAAGTATAGTTGAAGTCATAGTAGTGTATACATGTCAAGTATAGTATAAGTCAAGTAAGTAATCCTTTCAAAAAAACTAGATAATTGATTTAAGATATTGTCATACTTAATTCTGAGTAAATATTAATAAATATTCCTCTCTATATAAGAGTATTTAGCATTAGACGTTGTCTTCACGCAGCTGCACGGGTGTGACTGCGAGAGGTTCCCAATAGTGACAACATGCGCAGAAGCCATTGTACATCTGCCCATTTCACTCTCCTCCTTATTAGTACCTTGCATTTTCACCATCTGGTGGGCACTACTTATTAATTCACTCAAATGTGAATATTTTTATGAAAATAAATTTATACTTTCAAAACAAAATCTTCTTCTTCCTTCTTAAGAAGTTTAAGGCATATGTTAAAGAGAAATATTTTAAACTTATAAACTGATCTAGTGATGTTTCAAAATAAGAACTTAATTTACTCTTGATAAAATCTCAGACTGATTCCCACACCTTTAAAGTAAATTAAATTCTTGTTTTCAGGATGCAATTATTATATTTTCATTTAAATCTTAAACAAGTTAACCTTTTAAAGGGCAACTTTGACAAGTGTAAAAGCAGCTATGAACTTTCATTTGGATTTCCTTCTGTGACAAATAACATGACTTATCTGCAGCTACCATGGATATACTACAAACATGCAACACCAATCCCGAAAGTGCAAAAAGAAAAAGCAAAGGCACTCGCCTTGTGCCGGTTACGGACCGAAGGAGGGCCGTTGTGGCCGGGCGCACCATCGTTGCCATCTGGCGGTGGGGGAAGGCTGTTTGTAGAGCTCGACTGCGATGAGGCACTCACACCCATTGAATGGATTGAGTGTTCCGATGTGATGCTGTTGCTCTTGCTGCTGTCTCCTGTGTGCTCATCAGGTGTATCTATGACAAGATCACAGAATGCATTGGAACATTTTAATAATAACCAATAGCAGCTAATCTAGCACAAATAGACTTTCAATTTGCAATTTCAAGTCAATCAAACTCGCAATTTTTGTAGAATTCAATGTTGGCATCTCTAAGGATGTGTGTAGATATTAAGCAAATGGAGATGTAGCCACTACAATTTCCTCCTTGTATACTAACAAATTTGGCAGTCTTGTTGACAATGCAATTAGTCAAATACACTTTTTGAATAACTGATCCTCAGAATTTTAGTTCCCTGATGAAAACCTACATTATTCATATTAAGGAAACACAGAGAATTAAGGAAATTCTGAACAAGCCTCAAAGTGTCACTTTTGGTGGCCATTAAATATTTCTCTGCAGCAAGCACAATGCAAGACACATGATAATTTAAAAAACAACCGTTCATTCGTCACTCTACATTACTACCTGGCATATGCTGTACCGCTACCTACATAACTTTTCTTTATGAATACATTTTAGCTAATTCAATTTATGGTGGAAGAATAAAAAATCAATATCATTGATTTTAATGTAAGACATTACAAGACCTTTATATTAATAGTCAAATTTGTTGAGCAATATATCTTTTTGTTTTTGGTCTTGCATTCTAGGGCTGCTGAAATGAAAGAACAAGAGCCAGGCTGCCTGCAGTGGCCTGTGTCACTTGCCTTTCTCTAAACTAGAGCCCTTCTCACCCAACCACCTCCCATCTGGTAGGGTTCACTCAACATGCAGTGGGTCTCCCACCACAAATAAGCACTGGTCCAAAGCATACCTTGTGAGTCACACACTTAAACACCTCTTGTGTATTTAATAATTTAATTTACTTCACAATGTTTACATCACAAAATGAGTTGCAGGTACTAAACAATAAATGTTTCATTAATAAGACATTTTCATTAATTGCATGCCCTCGTATTCATCAGTCTACTTGTAACAGAAAGAAAACTTTAAACAAACATTTAATTTTTAATGTATCAACTTTTCATATTGATTAAAAAAATATGAAGAAAGAACAAAAATATACATAATCAAGAAAATTTACCTTGGAAGTTAATTAGTAACAAAGACAGTCTCTTTCACCCCAAAAGGCAACACAGTAGTTCAGAGAACTTACCATCAGCATCTCCTGCAGTACTTTCATTTTCAAATGCATCGATCATTAGAATCTTCTTCATTTTGCGGTAATTTAAATTGTCTAGTTCACGCACTGCTGCCTTTGTGCGTTGTATTAAATCAATAAGCACATGTGGTGACCTAGGACGAACCACCAGTTGATGCTGTAAACAAATAAATCCGTTTACCATCCCCATGATACTTTGTCTAAACTTAAGCACTTTAACAAACTTAACCTAAGCACATAATGATAAATATTAGAATTAAATACACAGCTGAAAGAATATTTAACTGTCATACATTTTTCTAAATACTTTATCCCAATTGTCAGTTTTCTTATCCCAACTCATCCAAAATTTGAATTTTTCAAGTAAGAGTTAATTCACATGTGTAGGTTATCCATTATGACATAATTTTGTGCAAAACAACACAAAATCACTGAATTCTCAAAAAAAGAAAAGCATTTTTGCAAGGTATATTAAAAACGACCCAAAAGTTTCATGTAACATAAACACGATTAGAAATAAAAAGCAGCCGTGATTCTCAAAGTTGATGAAAAATATTGCAAACGGAAATTCCTACTTCATTTTTGAATATAGTGATGGCACCTCTACAAGCAAGGTTTTCCGAAGGAGAGAGGAAAGAAAGCTCTCTTATAGTTGAATTATAATTGCCTACATTAACTTACTGAAAGCAATTTTCCTGAAGTAGGGCGTTCATTAGGGTTCTTCTGTAAACATGCTTCAACAAAATGACGGAATACATCACTCCAGTCCGAGGAGCCAAGAACAGGAGTGTCATTCTGAGCAATATGGTACAGTGCACTCATGGCATTCATGTTGAAATATGGTGGTTTTCGTTCCGCTAGAACAATACACAAAAATTTATTTGATTTTTAACCTCTCCAAACATTTTGTATGACTATTTATTTATTCATTCAATTTGTAGACATTAAAAACACTGTGTTTAATTTTTAGACATTATAGTGATTAACATAACAAGTGCATAAAGAGGGGTATAATTGCATGAATGGTATGTTCAAGACAATGAGCAAAGATAGGAGAGGGTTTCGTAAGAACCATTAGTGCAATTATACCCCTTTATCAATGTGTTTCGTTCAATGTTATCTCGTTTCCATTAGAGAATAATTTTAATTTTGAGAAATTCAATCACATCTTTACAATGAGAGGTATGTGTTGGATGATGTCATTTTGGTTCGGAACAAGACATTTTAGTAGGCCTTGCATGTGTACTTATGATTACCTTGGTGCCTTAGAGAATAATTGTAATTAATAATTACCATTGAAAATGGAAAATTTTAATTGTATTCCGGTGAAATATTAGAAGCTGACAAAGCTCTGAAAACATTACTTTGTACGAAAAGTAAAGAGCATGTATGAGAGAACAAATGTGTTAACGTTGGAAAAGAGAAAGAGGTTTCAATTCTGATTGACATTTTGCTGGTGGCTATCCAGAGCAGGTAAATAAAACTGACCATTACATTTTTAATATTTGTAATATTCTAAGATCACATGTTTTGCATATAAAACATTTATTCATGTTAAATATTTTATACTATTCCATTAGCCAGGTAGTGTCAAGTATGCTTATGGCCATGTTGAAGTGGCGTCTAAACAATAATATCGATATTTTACATTATAAACAATTTACTTGATTTTCCAAAACAAATAAGGAGTTTTGCCAAAACAATTGCTCTCTCTGGGCCTTCACTTTCAAATAGATGAATTAACATATCTGTGCAATATAAAGAGACTTCTGGGTTAGAGGATTGATGCCAAGTATGAATAGGGTATGAATAGTTCCTAATTTAACTTATTGTCCTACAAATATTAAAATGATTGCCTATGAAGTTGTAATAATTATTCATATATAAGTTATTTTCATTCGTTCACTTATTATGTTTTTGATGTACATAATATGTGATGTACTTTTTGTTAACGTTTCATGGCTGTCAGTATAATTGATACATAATTAAACGATTTCAATCAGCTCTCTGAATTCCGATTGGCTGTTGTGGACTTTTAATTGCATGCATGCCATAAACATAGTGATAATCAACGATTTTTCCTGGAATTAATGAGCATATTTAGTTAACTAAACAAAACAAATATCATAAAATTAAACATTTTAATAATGAATCCATTCTATAGATAGGTAGTCTATGAAAATGTTTTTCAATTTTCTAACAAACATTTTCAAACCATCTTTTACTTTTTTACTAAGTTAACCTACACCTGAGGAAGTATTCAAATGTGAGAAATTATACTCTTTTACAAGTGAGTGACAAATTTAATTCTGAATCTTTAGATATTATTTTCGCCAAGAATTAGTGAAGCATTTTGAAATTGTACAACAGAATTGTTTTTGTTATGTAAAAGTGTATCAATATTTATTAAAATATCAATGTATAAAGAAGGTAAATTTAAAATTCTAATGAAGTGCATATTTAGTGAGCAATGCTCATGGAAATTATACAAACATCACTAATGTACACAGAAAAATATCACAGAAACTTCGACTACTGCTTGATTTTAGTGTATATTGTGGGTTTGTACACCACTTCTGAAGGGGTGAATCATAGCCAATTACATGAACAGAACACTTAAAATATATATATAAAAAAAAAGAAAGCAAAAAGATGAATCAATATCAATAATCCAAAGAAAAACTTACCAAGTTCAATGCAGGTAATGCCCAAAGACCAAACATCCACTTTCCCATCATACTGGCCTTCATCCATAGCCAATATAACTTCTGGTGCCATCCAGTATGGGGTGCCAACAAAACTGTTGGCTGGACATTTAATACTGGCAGATCCAAAATCAGCTGAAATGAATGACTTCAGATGAGAAACACAAAAACTATCTGTGTTTGATGACAAATCCATAAACACTCACAATTAATCCTCATTACTAAAGCATGAATGACACTGCAATACAATTTCAACAAAAACAGTCATCAATAATATAAGTTAAAAAAATGTATTTTAACATTTAATACAAGCCAGTTTATTTACTGGCATCATCAATCCCAAAGATTCACACATTTTACGAAACAATTCTTCTGTCAAAGTAATTTTCTCAATAATGAAGAGTGAAGTAATTTATCTAAAAACTTAGTATTTTCACACACTTTCATCATCATTGCATGCCACCAGTGCATTAATAACAAATTAATTACAAATGAATGTTTTACATCTTACCAAGTTTGACAGTTCCATTTTCTGTCAGAAGAATATTGCCAGCTTTCACATCCCTATGTATCCGACCAAGTGAATGCAAATAATGCAGTCCACGTAGAACACCTTCACAAATAGCAGCTATTTCTTCTTCTTTGAGAGGTCTTTTGTGTACTTCTAATATATCAGAGGCAGAGCCAAGGCAATATTCCATGACCAGCTGTTAAAACAATAGAACAAATATATAAATTTATTTCATCAGTAACAAAATTTAACAGAAACATATAGCAAACAATACTACAACTGATAATTACCCATGCTGTGTGATCTCTTAAGTAGCAACCTTTGTACTGAATGGTATTGGGATGATTTAACTGACGTAAGAAACGAATTTCTTTCAATATGTCTTGCCATTTTTCTAGGCTCTGTTTGCCCACATATGTCATCTTTTTGATGGCAACAATTTCCTTGGTAAGCAGACATCGTGCGTAATACACAGCACCGAAGCTGCCATGGCCAATCTCCCGTAGGTCTTCAAATATCTTGTCTGGATCATCTTTATCAAAAAGCTCTGCTATCTCTGGATCTTTCAAGCTGCCCGGCCTATAACACGCCATGTTTTAAAGGAAAATACGGTTCACCTGTACAGAAACAAAACAGTAAGAATGACCCAAGTTATCATGTTCTACATCATAACTTCTTCTTTGTGCAACATTATAATTTAATGCACAGAACTACTTGCTTGCAAAGGTAAATTTAAATCAAATCACTCACAAACTGATCTATATTCATAAAACACTAGATTGAATACTATACTAAATACAGTCACTTTGCAAATACACAGCAAAATGAGAATTCAATGGAAGAGGAAGGCTTTCTTACCTTGGTACTGATGGCATAGTAGCCCAATAAGACGCAACCTCGCCACAGTTGAGCACCCAAAGTTACCCAACTCCCTGCACTGGAGGGTGCACACACTGTTGGCCTCTAGTTGCATCCAATAAACACTGTATTCCTTATTCCAAATCTCCTCTACCCATACTTCACTGGCGGCGGCTACAACCTACAATATTCAAATTCTATATATAACAAAAAAAATAATAGTAACCGATCAAAACACGTTATACTTTAACCACCAACAAGAATTTGACTAACAGCTGATGAGCCTAGGTTAGGGCAAATTTAACACGGGTTAATAACCGTAGACATGCACAACAGGAAAGAAATATCAGGTACGCAGACTGACTAGATAAAAAAACATTTACCACGGAGATAATTGGCGTTTTATCAGGTACTACCCGCAGAAATGAATTGGAACAGAGTAAGTAAGAACTGAAACTGCTCGCAATCTACTGATCAAGCAGCCAATACACAGATGTGAAATATCACCAAACAATTAGCTTAACACTTGGGGTAAACAATTCGTCATTAGAATCGGCTCAAAAACAACAATGAGGACGCATTTTCAATCCGTCAGTACACCTCCACTTACCATCAAATTTTCACCGTCAAAATGGCGTCTGAGCATGCGCAAGAGTACTTTTCACGTCTCAATGAGCTGCATTTTTTAACAATTTCCACTCTACCGGTGAACATAAGACAATAGCCACACCACGGGTAGTTTCGGAGCAGTTCAGCTCCATGCATGAAAAAAATCAGTGAGTACCGCACACAGCATTCATCAAACTCTGGTGAGAAGATTACTAGAGTGGTATTCCTTCTGAAACTTAATAAACGTTGACAGTACATTGAACGAAGATGAGAAGTTCCTTAATGTCACTTGATACTAGTTCCATTTAGTTTCACACAGCCAACAACAGAGACCTCTCCAGTTCTGAAAGCACTATCAAATCAAAGAGAAATACAGAAATGTCATTTCGTTATATATTCTCTGTAGTAATTAGTTTATTTAGTCAAGACAGAGGCAAAATCAATCCTTCAAATCCAAGAAAAACTTTAGTTTTAAAGAATAGAACTTTCGTAAAGAAAACTGGTTTGTTTAGAAGTATTAAAAAATTACTTTGTACATATGTCCTCTTCAAATAGTTCCCGAGAGAGCAAGTAGAGGGCATGGTGATGCTTATTCCTTGTGCGTCCGAAACAGTCCGAAACTACTGGTACAATACAATTTGACACAAATTGGAAAGAAGGGTGAGAAAGGTGGAGTTAAAACCACGATTTTTCAACTATATCTTTTACTGTTGGTAGAAAACATTTCGGCATTAATACCTCTGCGGTTTTGTACATAATTTCGTGAAATAAAATATCTCGCTTTCTCCCCAATTCCAGGAGCAGATTAAAAAGCAGGGAAGTAATACAAATAATTACTTTTTATGATACTATATTGAAAGTGTGCCTTTTTGATCATACAAATAATTCTTTAAAATTCCATTAGATTTCAAAAAAGTAGGAAAATATCACAGGGCATGATTAGAAACTATATTTTATCCTCACAGTCAGAAAACATATTCTAAAAAAAAAAATGGCTGTCACTCAAGGGCAGTGCTTTACGCAAGAATTTTCAACTTGGGTGAGGTCTGAAAATTTAGAAGTGGGGTATTTTTTAGGTGTTATTGTACTTTAACAATAACATAAAATAGTTGAAACATCGATGTTTACACCCCCGGGTCACTTTTTCCCTCAGATGACTATGCTTTTCTGATTTTTTCGACATAAACAGAGCAACACTATGCAGTCAAGCCAATGACAGCGGAGCAGATTTCTTCCTTTTTAACACGAATGCTAATTTGTCGTTGTTCTGCCACCAATCGACTTTATTTATATATTATTTTCACACTTTCTCAATTTTTTGGTTCTCTAATAGTTTTATCGAACTGAGGCTTTCAGAAAATCATAGAAGGGATAAACCTTTTTTTCATGGAAATACTTTCTGGAGGATATAGCGCTTCAGCAGCATGAGATTTTTGAAACGTTCGAAGTTGGTTGCGGTATTTCACTTATAAAACAGGTTCAAAAAGAGTGTAATGTTCGCATAGGTCCAACTAGTATTATAATATTAGTTACCGCTACAAATAATACAAGTAGGTGTCTTCCATTGTAACACCACTTATTTTCTAGGTTTTGGTTTTAAATAATCAGTATTATGTAGTTTGATTGGCTTTTTAGTATTTTATGATATTAGGCCTGAGTATACTAATTATTAAGAAATGCCAGACTTAGACACATGGGAGACCGTTTATGAAGTCCTAATATTATTATCAATTTTTTTCAGTAAGATCTAAATATTAACTAAGATTTGTGCATAAAGAAAAGAAATCAGAAATTTACTCATGAAAAAATGAAATTTTAGTTCATCCCCTCAACATATTTTTTAAAATAATTTTTGAATCGTGGGTATTTTTAATGATATTGTAGGCTACACAACTCGATTTCGAAAACTTTCTGGAAGTATATATTTTGAAGATTTCTTTTACCTCAAGTATTTGAAGTATTACTTCACCCGTGATTTGTTTTCCGCTATTACTATCGCGCGCTTTTCTGATTTCATCGTTGTTTACTAAAATCCACAGATAACTCATGTTTCTCACATGGTTCACATTCAGCTCTCATAGATTATTAAATTATATCATATCTGAGTATAACTTACTAAAATCCTTTATATAAGTGTTCAGTTATCATAAAATATGTTTTATTTTTGGTAATTCACGTTCCTGCAGTTTCAAAACGGTTTAATAGTTTTTGAAAGCTTAGTGTGCACATTATTTTTTTTCAATCGTCCATAAGTCTTCTGCACTGTTTTATCCAGACAATTCCTTTAGGTTAGGGTACACCACTCAATTTTTTAACTCCCACAAACCCAGAAAGATTTAGAATTCTAAGCTCATTGGGAGTGAAGTCAACCTTCCTTATAATCCCCGAGATAGCGTTGATACTTTTCAATTCGTAGACGAAATCTATGCCCTATACTAAACTTAATGCAGTTGATCTACCATTGGCACATTTGAGCACTAGGTACCCACAAACCTAGCAAAGTATAATTAATTTTGATATCATCTCGTTGTGATTTGATCGTCATCTGATCGTCATTTGATCGTCATCTGATTGTGATATCATCTCGTTCGTATGTAACTATGTAATACTATGTGTGTTGAAAGATTACGATGTTCCAAAAGAACTTGTTCTACCATCCATTTACCGAGACATTGCAAGTCTCCAGGGATAGTTAATAAATTAGTGTGAGTGTGTATATATATATATATATATATATATATATATATATATATATATATATATATATATATATATATATATGATTTTCTGAAAGCCTCAGTTCGATAAAACTATTAGAGAACCAAAAAATTGAGAAAGTGTGAAAACAATATATAATGTTCTTTGCCAAAAGACAATACTTACCAAACAAACACAGAAAGGAAAACTTAATAATCTTGTTAATTGAGATCTCTATATTTATATTCTACACCATTTCCAGTAGAGCTTGGTAAAGTATAAAAAATGAAATCTTAATGTGAACGATGTTGAGAGTTTTTAACACTAAAGAATATTTCGGGCATTGTTTCGTTTGCATTGAATGCTGTGGAATGTCAATAATTCAGTTCTATATAGTGCTGTCAAGCATACTATTCGCCATGTAAGAAACAAAAAGAAATGTACCTGAAGGTTTAAGAAAAAAACTAGATAATAGACATGGTCGGCATTATATAATTGAAAAATTGCGTAATAATAAAATATATTCGATTGTTTTCACCCCTTTTACGCCGTTGTTAACTTAACAAGTACGCAGAAATAAGCTTCCTTTCTAATGTGTCCTAAAAGTTAATAAGCAGACGTATTTATTAAGGTATTTCCTGATATTTTTTGAAGTTTGTAATGTAACTAAAACAAAATGTAGGTCACTTATCCAAAACAGCTCGAAACGTTTCTTCTAAATGTTCCATATGAATATAAGGATAAGGTTTTCACGTATTGTTTCTGTTTAGATTTTTTAACATTCTATAAACGACTCATGCCTAAAAGAACTCTACTGGCGCAAGGAGTTCACAACAACAATTTGAAATAAGACGAAAGTAATGTAGTTGGTTAAGTTGTTTCAATAAAAGAATATTGATTAATTTTTTTTGTATTTTTACTTCATTGTTGACTGAATGAAATTAGAAGCAAATCATATTAAATTATATTGCAAAAGATAAGCATTATTTGGAAATTATTTGAGGTACAAATGCGTAGTACTTTGTTCTTCGACGAAATATGCATTTTAAGACACTATATATTTTAATATGATAAGAAATGTAACATTTTCTTGTTATTTTGTACAAAATATGGAGCAAAAGCCCATAAACATATCAACGAATCCCCGATATAGCGAACGGATATTCGCGGCAACCCGCAGTACACGTATGTTTAACGGTACACTTTCTGAAATTGGTACTTGATTTTCCAAAACAACATGGCGGCGTGTCCCAGGAAAACTACATTAAAGAACACGTACTTGGCAATTATTTAAACTAGTGTCATTATAATAATCGCAAAACAAAAATTCATTACGACTTCCTAAGATACTTGATATCACGGATTGAGGAGTATAAATTACTCAGCATTAACCGAGTAATTTAGATTAATTGATCACTGATTCCGGGCGTGCCAACGGCTAAATCCACAAGTTCCATAAGTGCAGTGTGTGATTTTATTTCAGGAGATAGGGGGGATCTTCCCCCACTGAACAGCAAGATCCGGCGCCGAGCAACGTCGGCTTGCGGGAATTCTCCCCGACCAGGTGTCTCCCACCAGCGTGGCACCGCCCCAGCAGGGATAAGATCTAATAATAAGCTCCCGACTGGCTTTCCGGCAAGTGTGATAATGTAGGGCATGTGAGGGTAAATGTAAGTAAGAGGATAGAAAAGGACAAGGAAGAGGAAGGAAAGATAGCGTGCGGTCCGTAGTCCGTATGCTAGGGTATTGCTCTGGCATTAGCCTGGTGATGATCGGAGAAATCACGGAAAACTACTGATCAGAGCAGCCGGCAGCTAGATTTTTCTTCCAGGCCGCGGTGGAATTCGTCATAGTTCACAGGCCCTGCAGAGGCCAGAGACACTGAAGTGACATCAGCTGATGCCCTGAGCACCTTTACCGGGATTAGTTGTTTACCATTATATTAAATATATCTATTAACTTTAAAAAATACTTATAACAGTTTGACACAATTTATTTATTGTTGAACTATTTACAGGGTTGCCCTATGGATTCTACCCCATATGTATCAATTCCCCAAATTATCAGCAGGGAAGTAAAACATGCGATACATTCACGGGACTAATAACCTTAGCAATTAACGCGTCAGCTAATCAATTAATTAAAAGCAAATTATCACCTTAAAAAGAGGAAATTAAGAAATATACATTTACTAGTCTTTTTTTCGAAATGTTCAGGAGGAAACTGCTCCTTAGCCCGTCCCCCTTGTGGGCCTATGCATTTCTGGTTCACCCTCGTCCAACATTTTAGCAGTTTACTATGTCGACGTGGTTTACTGCCCCCTACATGCGGATCATTTCTACTGAAGGAAACATTTACTAGAAAGGTGAGCAATTATTAATTACCTATTAATAATTAATTGATTAATTAATTATTAATGTAGTACACTTTACTCTGATGGTTCAAATACCTGTACTTTAACGAAGCTGCATAATAATGGCTCTCAACATGCAACGAGCTGCAGCGATCAAATACGAGAATTACACAATAGGCGCAGAAGAACATAAAAACGTGCCGAGTGGTGTTTGTTGCAACAGAAGCCCCTAGCCTGACGCCCCGTCGCGCCGGAGGTTGGCCCGGGCCGAGGGAGAGA